CCTTCTCCATGTTTGTAGGTGGGGAGGCATGGACCAAACGGCTATACACATAAATTACAGGTCATCCAAGATGTGGGAGGTCGTTTGGGAAGTTATAGTCAGGGATCTTTTAAAGCAAGACCGTCCACCTGGACACGGCACACACAGATGGCTGATATTAGGTAAGGAATGGGGTCCCACCTACAAACATGGAGAAGGACTACGGGGACGCGGAGCAAACACGTAGTCCTGAACCACCTCCTATGGCATGTGAATCCTTATTTAGTGCAAATCCCAACATATGTGCAGAAAATCAATTCTGGAATTCAAGACAATATAGAGAAGAAACTTAAAGACAGCCCCTGTTGTCTCAAGTTAAATGGGATATGCTCAAAAGACTAGTACGTTGTCTTAAAATTATTGTCGTTTTCGTTCCAACTGGTGTAAGCAGAAATTATGTAAACTGCAAAGCGAACGTAAAATCTGTTGCGTTGCTATCGGCACGATGAAATCCTGCTTCTACCCATTACGAAATTCATCAGCTAACTACAGTTTTAAATGGCTCAGGTACAATAATTAAAAGCAGGCCAGCGTTGGCTAGAGAACAATGAAAACTCTGCTGGATGCTTAGCCTGCTATGCGATCAAGAAAAAGCTTATGATTGACTGCATCTAGAGTATATTCACTCTGTCTCTCAGACTTTTGGTTTGCTCTCTTGTTTTATCTCTGCTGTTTGCTCTCTCTTCTTTGGTACAACCATGAAAGTCAACGTTAATGGATACTTCTCGTCATCTATACAGCTAGGTCGAAGTTTACGTCAAGGAGACCCCATCAATCTTCTTTTGTTCAACTTGGTAATGGAATCCTTAGTTAAATCTATTGTTGGTTCTCAGCAAATCCATGGTTTTACTTTTCCTTTGGCTAACAACTCGGAGGGTGCTCCTTTACTGAACCATCTGTCAGTCTGTCGTATTTACCCTATAAATACTTAATCTTGTCGTATGAGATTACTATAAATACATACTCTAAGAATGAATAATGCAAAGATACTGACAACAATACATGTTATTAACATATAACGCGATATGCCCAACTGTTATTGGACATAATTAAATCGGTTCCTTAATAATTCTATCTTCATATAAAATGACGCTGTTTGTAATAATGAGCTCTCTCTCGTCTTAATATACAATAAAGAAGTTATATAGAGACTCATCGACACACATTTCCCTTATTACTTCTTCATATATTCGAGACATATCACACAGGTCCTTCAGAAATCAAAGTCTTAACCTATGCAAATAACCTTTTGGTTTTCCTTGCCAATCAGCATGACCTTCAGAAGGTTCGGTCCCTCATTCAGAAAGGCAGCCTGGCTTCTAATGCAAGAATAAACTATAACAGGACTGTGGCCTTCCCTGTCTCAGGCGCTTCCAACACGGAATGACTAATACATTTACAGTCTTATGGCGTTATTCAATAATATGACTCCAAGTCGTCTGAACCACTCGTATACATCGGTTACCTTCTGTTACGATCGTCTCGACAACGAAACAGTTTTCAACAGCGTATCGTGGAAAAAAAATATCTAAATCTTGTAATATTTTCAAGCAAAGGTCATGCAGCCATTCTCAATGTGATTATCTTCGCTTTGGCATGTCCTTAGGGTAGTTGGGATCAACCAAAAAGCTTTTGACATTATCCGAAAGCTTTGCGAGGTTTTCTTGGTTTCATGATTTTCCCACTTATTTCGTTAGACACTTTTCAACAGTTCCTTAAGAGTGGCGGATTGGTATTCTTGGAATCGAATTGTCAACACTTAGCTCCTCAGTATCGATGATTAACTCTTCTCTTGATCGCTAGCGGCCCTTCTAGTTTTGTTACTATATGGTTGTGTGCTTATTTGCTTAACTTATCATCTTTTTCGATAGCAAACGCAAGATTGCCTTTTCTCTTTTCGTCCTTTAGTTATGAATTCTTTAGATGTTCTTTCGGCCTTTTGACGCTCTCTTTGATCCTGGAATAATCTTTACTTTGCTCAACAGCCCTTCGTCAGAACTTTCTAAGGTTTCCGTTGAAACTTGCTTATTCCTACCATTATCAGAAGTCATAAATTGGCTGGCAGATGGCTCAACTAGGGTGCAAAAGCCTTACAAGTCTCTTCAGGTTAGCCATGCTTTTATTTTATCGCATGATCACTCTTACTTGATACCCAAAGAATGAGTGAACGATCAAAGGTAACCTTCCCATGGTTGTAATCGTATTCGTAAGTTGGTGTGTTCGGATTGTTGCTCCAGCGTTTCTCTTTGATCTTTATAGTCAACTAGATCATCCTTGGTTCGACCCCAGTTCTAATACTATTCTGCTTCGTAAATTTCGCAAGCATCACCAACAGCTTTACAACGATCTGGTGGATACCAAGCTTCCAATATGCTTCGATCAACCTCTATCTAACTTTGATTTTGGAATTTGCCGATTCCATTGCAAATTCGTACACCTTGGTATCGCCTGTTACAACACAGGATTCCTTGTGCGTCTAGAATGCATACATTGTTAACATCTTCTTTCTCCTCGAAATGTTGATTATGTCAAAGTCCAAGCGTTAAACATGAAATGCATTTTATCCTGTTATGCTCCAAAAAATTCGAAGTGTGGGCTCGCGTTTGGAATCATTTCTTTGGTGAATTGACTTTAACAGTCAATACTATAGAGCAAGCAATATTTCATTTACGGTTTCCTCCTGAACAATTTTCTGCTTTCTCTAATGAAAGTACTATCGATTGCGTCTTCTGGTGCATCTGGCATGCACATTGGATGTTTATTTTCAATGGACATCCTTTTACCTCATCTGCGGCTTTTCAGACTATCCTTGATTGCCTGAAATCCTTCAAGGTTTTATTCTTGTGTGTTAATTCTCTTTTGTATTTCTGTCTTTTAATAGTTCACCACTGATTTCAAATGGGTATTTCTTTTATTTTAAATTGCAATTTGACTAACAACGCTCCTACAAAAAAAAAAGGCTTATATTATTGTTGTCAACGCTCTTATATTTATTCTTTTCAGATGCGATAGAGGAACGTAAAGTAGAATGTATGCTCTACTGCAAGATTATACTCGAGCTATTATAGCGATTTATATCAAGCACGTCACATTGTCAGCCTGAAGGCCCAACAGCTCAGTTGCTTTACCCACTCGCCAGAATATAGTGCATAAAGATATGAGCACCAGCGAAACTGCCAAGTAAGTTATCTGTGAAATTTGCAATACCAACAAGAAGCGTTGGGCAAGTATCGAAAAATAATTTACCAGACCTAGTGTGAGTTTTGCCTCCATCAAGGGAACCAAAGACCGTGTCCAGAGCTATATCCACTGCGCCAAGCGACGACACTGCCGCCAGGATGATGATAGTTCTTCCAGCAATTCTAACACTGATTTGCCAGCACGTTTGCCACGAAACACTCAAAATTCCTCATTTAATCAAGCTGAAATGGATTTCATTGTAAAATTCAAGGGACTGTGGGCAGCAAATACAAGAAAAATGAGTTGGTCCGAATGCTTGGCAGCCGGTCACCATGAAAGATACTTCACAAGTTTTAAAACTAATGAAAAATTACTGGTGATATTCAACAAATATATTCAAAGTCGCAACAAGCAGACGTAATCACCTCTCCTCTTTTTTTCTGTTGTATATTCCCACAGTCCTCTCATATATAAATATCCAACGTTTCCCTTGGCTTCGGCCAAAAGAATTTCTCGCTGGCTTTGTTCGAGACATTGTTATTGTCAGGTACAACGTCACAGGCGCTTTTTTGAGTTCCGGATATGCAGTCCTCAATGTATCAAAGCAGTCGTTTGCTCAAGATGAGGCACCCTTTTTGGAGCTCTCTCATGTGATTACCTGGGTTGATCCAGACACGTCTTGTTCAGACAAACTGTTTATTTTGCTTATTGAAATGATATGCCTACTTATTGTAAGTATTGTCATGAATTTAGTCATATCGCTTCCAATTGCTCTAATTCCTCTAGCGGTAAACGTTTTTCTCTGTCTCAAGTGTGGCCATGTTTGGGCGGATTACCCTAAACGAGCATCCGCTGCTAAACGGCATCGTAATGGTCGTTCTGTAGCATGCTCTTCCTCTTCAACGCAGCCTGTCTCAAGTGAATCTGAGATCACAGAGCCAGAAACATCAAGCGGTGAAAATGATGGTTTGACAAGTATTCCCAAGTTTAAGGGGGCCATCCAGCGCTCAGAGGTTTCTGAAGAAGCTACTCCACTTGCTCGAAATCCCTCGCACTTAAACTCCAAGTATGTCAGTGTTGAGTCATGTGGCCAATCTGTTCAAGAGGCTGGCCAGAATTCTCCCAGTCCTACCTCTCAACCGCCCTCTCTTGTTTCGGTTACTGTAGAGGTTCGTTCTGATGATGAAATGGAGGCTGTCTCTTATTCTTCTGAACATTTAGGCAAACCTAATGAAGCGTCATCTAATCATTAGCAGTTTTCTCTCACTTGCAAGACATTATTTATTTTATGTTGTAGAGGTCATCATTAAGACTACCATTCATCAATTGCATAAAGCTCTTTTTGTTTTTATTCAAAGTACCAATACAAAGCATATTAACTGTTTATAAAAAAGAAGATCTATTCATATCCACCTGGCACAGGTGGTCTAGGAGCCTCAATATCCGGAATGAGTCTTTTCATTTGATTTGCAATATGAATCTGAGATTCACTATCAGGAGCAGCACGGATAGCAAGATATTTACGACAGAATATATTTACAGGTTTGGTATCTGATGTATCACTGTGGCCCTCAAGGACAATACCACCAGACTCAGTTACGACGACCATCGCTGCAGTTACATCCCACTCCCAGCAGCCCACTTCCCAGTAAACATCTATGGCACCCTTGGCAACAAAACAAAGGTTCAAGGCAGCCGAGCCAGTGGTGCGAACACTGTGAGCTTCAGCAGCCTTTGAACTATCTGATTTCTTTCGGATCATTTCATGGATAGCGTTTATCTTAGCATCAATGACAGCTTTTGATCGATCAGAACCTGCCTCCGTAGCGATCAGACAATGTGAGAGATCCGTCAAAGGAGGTGTAGGCTGGAACAAGGGTAATCTTTGGGTTCTATTTAAATAGGCACCGTATCCTTTGGCTGCTGAATAAAGTTCGTTTAATATTGGGTTGAATACAACTCCCACAGTTGGAATCTTATTGATTGTCAATCCGATACAGACAGCGACAAAAGGGTAGCCATGAACAAAGTTTGTGGTACCATCTAATATTAATCTATTGATTAAAAATGAAAAGATAAGAGGCAAGATATTATGCGTTACCTATGGGATCTACAATCCAAGTTGGATGATCTGTAAATTCAGTCTTTTCACCACTCGCAAACGTTTCTTCACCGATAAATCTAGAAGGGTTAAAGATGAACTATATATGGCGTCTTCTTACTTGTGGTGAGGGTATGTTTTCTTTAATCTTTCTTTAATAAATTCTTCTACTGCTTTATCAGTCTCTGTCACGAGGTCAGAGGGGTTGTCCTTTTTGACATGAACATGACTAACACCAGTTCCTGTCATTCTGGAATCAATGGCAGATTTGATTACAGCACCAGCATCTTGAGCCAGCTGAATGGCAAATTCAAGATATTCTTGAACTCTACCTAAATAAAGGTCAATCAATGAACTTATTATATGAGTTTATTACTTTCTTCGTCAACCATTTTATCTAAACGTCCTAAAGAAAAAGGGGGGAGGAGGAGGAAAGAGATTATGTGGATGACAATTAAAAATGCATTCTCATGTGACCCATTCAATATCCGCTCTGAAGAAATCGTCGAATCCTGGACACACATTATTCCACTAGAAATACTGTGGCTCTTCTAGCCCACAATGATTACACTCCTAAACTTAAAGCTCATCTTCGAAAGTTTAAGGAACATACTAAAGAGGGCTTAGCTCCCTTCATCAACCCACTTTGGAATCTTATAAGCCGTGTGTTGAACAAGATTCAGCACGAGCGATTACATCAAGCGACACTCGTGGTATCCTTTTGGTTCAGCACAATAGGATTTCCTCTTCCGAGTGCTGTTGGCCATAGCACCACCAGTCTTTCTCAGCAGCGACGACATTCAAATTTACCTCTCTTTTGCTCAACAAAATATCTTTAAACGTATAAATTGAAGTTTTCATACTTTTGAAAAAGTCAATATAAAAAGTAGTCCTGAAGCCCTCTCAAAGACAATATAAATAGCCAAAATCATTCATTGGATCAATAATCAAACTACACGTTTCTCTTTTTATATTCACACAATAAACATATCTTAACCTTTGTTATAAAAGTTCCTGATCTATTCTATTTGAGAATGCTCCTTTACAAACTTATCTAGAAGATATAATGTCCACTTATCTATTCAAATCTCTGTTTCATTGGAAGTTTTTATCAGGCTACTGCCTTATAGAAACTCCTCAAACCTAACACAATTATAGTGGATTCATTAATCATGTCTCCCCCATCTTTGACATATTCTGTGCATCTGATATGTACTTTAAGGCTTTCTGAATCCCGTACATTTAGTTGCCCACTTCATCAACTGTTGTGTATTTCCCAAAATTAATTTCTGGAAAGCATTGTCAGGAAGTCCAAGAATTGAACTTTTGTAAACGATTTCTACTGCGGTAAGTATTCTCATTAGTAATAGTTTGGCAGGTATGAAGCAAGTGTGGATGTGCTTGTTACTTCTTGACGAGAACGTTCCTGAATGAATTCATAAGAAAGCTGACTAAATCTATTTTAAAGGCTTGATCAGAAAGAGTTGCAGAAGGTTACCTTGAGCATTTAATATTTTACGCATAAAAGAACCTTAAGAAAGGATGTTCATATTTTGTAAATCATGCCTTAGAGTGAATACTAGTACGTGAAATGGCAAGTTCAATAATAAAAAAAAAGTATTCCTAAAGACTAGAACAACCAAGAATAGTTCGAGATGCAGCGAAAATCTGGAAATTGACATCTGGGGAAAGCTGATGTCGGACCTTTGCCTTGTGTGGTGACGGAGATCAAATATCCTTTTAGAAGTTGCCCGGGATTAACCCTTTTATTCAATGAACAAAGAAAATAAAGACAGTAAATAAAAGAAACAAGGGGGAGGCAAAGAAAAGACAAAAAAAAGAGAAAACAAATAAAGTGAAATCAGGATGAATAGAGGACAGTAATCAATTAATGTTTTTTTTTTTTTTTTGGTTAATAGTTTCCGAAAAGAGTAGAGCTAAATTTAGAATTCTCTCTTTTTTTATTACGAGAACACAGGGCAAATTTTTTTTTTCTTTTTTCTTTTTTCGTATTTCTTTTAGATATGCGTTTACTGTTATTACAGTTTATATTCTTGGCATTTTTAGGCACTTTTATTAAGGCAGATTTAATAAAAAGAGGTAAATAAAGTCATTTGCATACAAGATAAACTTACTCATATTATATAGTTCCTCAAGGTAATAAATATAATTATAATAGTATGGATATTTAATATATGAAATATAGCTGCCCAGACACCAGCAGCACCAGCAGGTGGTAACAACAACAATAACGGTACTCTCCCAGCTAGCACAACACAGGCACCAGCAGCATCAGTAACGCCGGCAGTTCCAGGAAACTCAACTGTTGCCCCCTCAGGCAACTCGACAGTTCCTATTTCACCTGGTGCTAATAATCAAACATCTGTCGTCAATGGCAACAACACAGTCAGCTCAAATTCATCAAACACATGGGCTAATTTGCCTACTTCAGCTAGCTATGGCAACACTGTCTATCCCGGAAGCGCCACTTTCCTTACACCTAAGCCCAGTAAATCTGTTTCACCACTCTATCGCATCGACAAGAACGAAAATGTCACCTTTGTTTGGTCCTTTACCAACCTATTGGTTCGCCCTTCTAACTTGACTTTGGCAGCTGTTGCTCCAAACAGTGTTACTTATACCATTACTGCCATGCAAGGCGCAGAAACAAGCGCTGTCTGGCATCTCAAAGATGTACCACCTGCCTCACCACTTATGATGGGAATGTATCAAATACAACTTTATGATCAAAGAGGTCCCACAGCAATGGCTCAGCCTGGTTGGCTTTCTCCAGCTAGTGGCCTAACCATTGCGTTCTATTCAGCAGAGTCTTATGTTCCTCCTTCTGGCAGTAAGTTTCCGCTTGAATGTTGTAATAGACATGTATCTAACATGAATGTAGGTGATTACTGTCCTACTTGTTTTTATAATGCAGGAAAAAGATTAAGCGAATCGATTGGACCTATTGCAGTTGCATTTGGAGTTGCCTCTGTTACATCTGTCTTGATCTTATATGGCATCTTGTACTAGCCTGTTCTTTACTATATACCGTAGATAAACTTTCTGTATTGTTATTAAAAAGAAGATATAAAGAAAAATGTAGTAGCAAGATGTTTATGATTTATTTGTTTATGCGCTGGTTTTATTTTGTTAAAGGTATAAATTAGGTCTGTGCTATTTAAAAGCAGCGTAATCCCTTTTTTGCACCTCTCTTTTCTTATTTTTGTTTGATTCTGATATATCATGAATATGAACCTCTGTCTTTACTGTGAGAAGCAGTTGTTGGATGAGGTACATATACTAATGTGTCGACGTATGCTTAATATTTTCTGTAGAGCGCCTCATTCTGCTCACTCGCTTGTCAAATAAACGAGGCTTCTAAACCTATTCATCATATCTTAATCTTATTCAACAGAAGAAATCAGTTTACATTATACCGTGTATCTTCTTTACACTATCATTCACGCATCATGGCTTTATCTGATGCAAATACCCGTAACAGTAGTCCTTGTTCTTTACTATAAAAATACATGCGTCATTGCATTGGTTGGTAAATAGAAAAATGCCTTATTATTTGTTTGTACCACAATGATTCGTTTGGATAGAGAATTATTTATTCCGGCTTACCGATGATATATAAAATAAAATAAATGCTTGTTAGAATGTTTGATGCCAAATGTATATACAGACTTACAGTAGAGGTTGATGCTCCATGTGTCTTTATTTAAAATCAAATAGTATTGGATACAACGTTTTGAAAGGAGGGAGAGGATATATCTATCTCAAAACACTCGCCAATCATGAAATGCAAAAGCGTGAATAGCTTTGTTGCTGCTCATAATATAATCGTATTTCATTATTTCTCAACGTATATAAATAGATCCTATTTCTTTTCTTGTCATCTTTATATAATATTTGAAATGAAGGTTCTCTATCTCTCAATTTTGACTGTATGCATGCTTGCTATAAATGGATCGGAAGGTCGCCTCTGCTCGGCTGTCTGCGTACGTACTCCTGAAGAAGCTCTGTGTCCTACTACAAGAGAACGTATAAACAAAGGAACAGATGATATGCCTTGCTGGACATGCTGCACGCCACAATGATCTGTTTAGGTTTCAAAGCTGCATAACACTACATATATAATAACTTGATGCTTAAAAGAAGGCCTTAATAAACATCATTTTTCCTTTACGTCACTTCAAAGATTCTTGGATTCTATTTATTAATACGTTATACAAACTTGGTTATCTGGGCGTAGATGAAAAAGGATCCTGTCGAGGATCTTGAAAGCACATGGCTCGAAACGGATTGGTGTCATAGGGTAATTGCTGTGATTGACCGGTAGGCTGCATATACACTGGAGAAAAAGGGTTCGTTATCCTACGCTGTAGGGATACTCCTGGTGAGGAAGGCTGAGGAAAATAGGTAGGACTAGCTATTGGCATATACGGCAGTGGCAGTTCATTGTTTGTTGGAGGCAAGTCAAGTGCCGCAAAAGGATTATTATCTGTTGGAAGGTTAAGGCGAGGAGGAAATGGTTTTGGATTTACGCCTGTTGTGTCTTGATGCGTTATTTCTGGAGATGGTTTATCTAGTTCTTCAATATAATCTTTTAATGTGTCAATAAGCGTAGTAGGTGCCTATTTAAACGCGTCATTACAAAAATTAACCCTAATAATTAAGTAATATATATCTTACATGATTTAAAGGTGGAAGCTTCATTTCTAGTGCACCTTCATATGGTCTTGCCGCATTGAAAAACTCGGTGACTGACTGAGTCTCTGTAGAAAATGTCTTGTATAGCTCAATGGACATTAAAGCATCCGATTTGGTCATTTCAAAGTAATGTTCTTTTTCATAAATGATATATGTATATGTATTAGGGAGAGTGATTATAAAAATAAAGACTTACCGAGTATGTTTATTATGGATTCATTCACAGCTTGGAATAGATTGAAAATATCCTCAATGACCAAGCGATAGGCAAATAAAGAAATAGCAGGGTCTCCTTCGTTTAAGCAAAACTACATTTTTGCATGAATATATTATCTTGTTTTCTCTATTATGGATCTTTACCTTACAACTCAACGCACAAGCAAGTAGCTGCTGTAGCTTGATCGTTTCTTCAAACAATCCTTCGGACAAGGCGAGTCGTCGGAAGGTTCCGCTCTTTGTGTAATCTATTTGAGATTCACCAACAGCAGTGACTCTTCTGTCCAAATATGTTTTGTACAAGTAAATATTTTGAATTGTTCCTGGAACTAAGATCTTTGCTTTTAATCATGCATCAATCATCAAAGAAAAAAAAAAGTCATTACCTAACTTCTTATTCTTTATTTTACTAATGTCAAAGGTTTGAGGTCGACGCATACAAATTGCCTCTGCTACTTTTTGTGTGTTTCCTTCACGAATCAGATAATGCAAAATGATGAGCACCTTGAACGTGATCTGTAATAAATTTTAGTTTTAATAGTAGCTGTAAAATGATACAACATACGATCCAATAGCCTTCTCCAAGTCTTTTTTCAAGTAATTTTAACATCTTTTCAATACTTGATGGACTCTCCAGAGTGATGTTTCTCAAGGCTGAGATAATAAAAGAAGATGAGTAATAACATTTTTTACACAAACATGGTTTCTTTAACTGATCAAGTGCTTTTGTTTTGGTGGTCGATATTCAAGTCTTGTTGCCTTTCTTACTGCTGTTTCCATATTTAATGTAGAAAAAAAAAAAGAGAGTAATCCTCATTGTTTGCATAAAAAGGTATATTTTAAATTACAGCCAATGGTAATAATCCAGTTTAGGACTGACATATCGTCTTTTCATGAATACAGGCTTTTTATCATGAAACATTTCATTGTTTAAGAAAAAATACCAGCGAAAAAAAAAAGTGCATTACATATTACCAATTTATATCCTTTATTTTAACCTTTTTGAACAAGTCATTCTTCTTACAGAGCAAGTTATGAAAAGCCCTTGCCAGAAGCTAGCTACTATTATGACTTTTTTCTCATCACAAAAATGCAACTCAGTAAGCTTTCATCCTGTACATTCAAACGGAGCTTATTATCAATTAACGTCATCAATTTTTATACGTCACACTCTAGGGGTTAACGAGCGTTGAATGAAATCCGGGGCAATTTTTTATACTTGTTTGCAATAACCCCCCACTCTTTCTATATATACAAAAATGGCATCTCGATTAATTAGTGCCAACATGATGCGTCTTTCTCGCTCATTGGCTGCTGGTAAATGGGTATGAAGCATAATGGAGTCATAATACTAATATATACATGTAGCAACCACTGTTCGTTCAGCACCTATCCGTACCTTTACTTCAACTGTTTCCCGATTGCAAGGTAAACAAAAAGATATTATATACACATACTTTGATAATAAACATATACAAAATATATAGCTGAGGAAAACAATTATAAAAAGGTATCTGCTGATCCCAACTTCAAGAGCGGCAATGATCAACTTCACGAATACGGACAATATCTCATGTCTGTGATGCCCAAATTCATTCAACAATTCAGTGTATCCAAAGATGAACTTTGTCTTTATGTTGCACCTACTGCCTTGCTTCAAGTTATGCAATTCTTACGTGACCACACCAATGCTCAGTTTAAATCAGTGATGGATATTACAGCTGTTGACTTTCCCAGCCGTGAAAATCGATTTGAAGTTGTTTACAACATGTTGAGTATGAGATATAACGGTCGTATCCGTGTAAAGACGTATGCAAGTGAAATATCTCCTGTTCCTTCTGTTGTTCCACTTTTCAGTGGTGCCAACTGGCAAGAGCGTGAAACATATGATATGTTTGGTGTCTTCTTTACCGGTCATCCAGATCTTCGTCGTATCTTGACTGACTATGGTTTTGAAGGTCATCCCTTGAGAAAAGATTTCCCTCTTACTGGATATGTGGAAGTTAGATATGACGAAGAAAAGAAACGTGTTGTTACTGAACCAGTTGAATTGGCTCAAGCATTCAGAAACTTTGAAGGTGCACTTTCACCTTGGGAACAAGTTGGTAAGTTGACACTCTTTATGTTGTCGTGTGATATTTACATTGTATAGGCCCTGGACGAGATGATACACCGAAGAAGATTGAAGAGGGAAGTGAAGAAAAGAAATAGAGGAATGCAGCTGTTTATTTGTGATAAAATTTTAAAAAAGAGAAGAGGGACGACTTCCTTGAATAAACCTTATTGTAGAAAAATACGTGACTTTATATATATATATATAAAGGGGGGGGGGGGGAAAGGGTTGTAAGGCTTCTTATATATTAGTGAGTTTAACTAGAAAAAAAAATAATGAATTTGGTGACCATTTCCTTATTCAAGATTATCTTCCGATGCTATTCGGATTGGGGGACTACAAACAAATAATTAAATACCAAAAGAGAGAGAGAATAGACCTACTTTAAAGTGGCTTTTCTATCTACTTTTTCTTTTTCTTTCTATCATTCTTTGGTGTTATGTACTTTCATTTATAAATCAACCAAAATATAAAGAAAAAAAAGGGTAAAGCAAGGGGATCATCATTTAATAAGTTATTTAAAATGTTTGAATCAAGTGAGTAATAAACTAAAAAGGATGTATTGTAAATATTTAATCTATTTAGTAAACACTTCAACCATCTTACTCGGTGTCACTCTCTTGGTGGTTCTATTTGCTTTGATCGTAAAGACTCATAGCAGAGAAGAAAGGATAAATCAAGATGAAGAAGAAGGATTGGAAGGAAGTTGTTTGATAAAGACAACGACATATTACCAATGGAATAGATCAATACCACATCAAGACAACCAAAAATGGAAAGAGAGAACAGCATTACTCATAAAGAAATACTCTGCTATAGATTAAATACCACGTTATGTACTGATTGCTTTATTCGTTTCATTTTCTTCCTTTTTCAAGGAAAAATCCTGAAGTATAGGTGGTAAGACAGGTTGTCTTTGTTTTTGATGCATTTGTAACTGTTCCTGTAAGAGCAAGAGTTGCTTTTGTTGTGACTTGTGAGCGAGTAAGGCATTTCTTGCACTCATAGGTAATTCTGAGAAATCATTTTCGGATTTGATGACTGGAGGAAGAGTAGAAAGAGGAGGTAACAGAGAAGGCCGTTTTTGTGGTTTCTGAGATATCAACGATGGTGCTGACGACATTGTTGTTGTTGTTGTTGTCGGTAGTGATGTTGTTGTTGTTGATGATGATGTTTGTGGTGGAGGAGGGCATAAAGGATATGTCGTCATACGTCCTTCTACTTTAACACGTATTTCAAGTGATCCAATTTTGTCTCTTAGTGAATTATTCCTCTTTTCCAAGTACTTTATGTATTCAACTGCTTTAAACAAGACAGTGCTTTTTGAGTTATTAATGTTCTTGAGAGTGGGCACAAGCTCGCTGAGCTCTTTGAACCCGTTTCGAATGGTACTTCTTCGCTTTTGTTCAGATGCGATATGGTTCGCTCTTTTCTCTTCTTCTGTTAAGAGTTCTTTATGCGATCTGCTTCGTTTCGCAGGAACCGGCGACTTAGACGGGCTTGATCTCTTTCTAGAGCTGTCTTGATTTAAAGATAATGCATTGTGCAAAAATCTATCGTTATCATTTGTTTGATTCTTTTGCTTGTCCAATGACTGAAACAGGGAATGACTTTCTTCTTGTAGACAGTCTTGCTCACTGAAAAAGGAGTCCAAAAAATTTGAAAACGCCTTGCGATCGTTTTCATCAAGCACACTCGTGTTGTTTGCATAATTGAAGTTGGGTGGATCTCTTTGTAAGAATATAGGATCCAATTGGATATCATGATTGGTATGATTATCACTGCTATCACTACTACTACTGTTGCTACTACTACTACTACTATCACTACTGCTTCTGTTGTTGTAATGGCCAGTGTCACTTCTCATAGTATTTGACTCAATATTATAATCAAAGTTGAAAGGCACGCAAAAGGCAGAATCCATGCCAAAACTAAACTCGAATTCTAAACAAATCATGAGAACAGATGATATTTTATAATGCTTAGTCTACCTTCAAATGGAACTGGTTCCTGCAGCATATCTTGCTGGTTCCATGCATCATGGATAGTTAAAAAGGATGTGTTTGGATTCATTATATTGCAAGAAAGAGAAATAAATGAAAATTTTCACAAGCTTTCTCCACTTTTTCTACGGTTTGGTGACACAAAGTAAACCTTCGTTTTGAATCACATGTTTCTAAACAACTCCCTTCCTGATTTATTTTTTGTTTCGCTTTTTGTTTACTCTTTTAATTTGATACCCTCCCTCCTCCTTTTCCGAACCTATGGGGTTTTTTCCACAGTGATAAATTATATACATTTCGTTTTGTTTGTTTTTTTCTGTTAGATATCCAACGAAAAATGAAGAGAAGATCGAATGTAATACAATAAAATTAAAGTCTCATGAATTTGCCCAAAAATAGTGAAATGAGTACAAGTCATATGGGCAATGATGGAGAAAGGAGTAGCATGACTGGTTATTGATGACGATGGCAGGTGTAGTGCATGCACTTTTTTAAAAACTAAAGTCGCGTTTGCCCAAAAATCTTTATACACGATGAAGAGTCCCAACAATTTCAAATTGCATTGTGTATACATACATCTAAATTTCCCAGAGGGCACTGATGATGCCTTGTATGTGGTTCCTCTGCAATGGATGATGTCTTTTGTGGCTGATGAACTGAGCAGTTACAATCAGGCGAAAATGATTTATATGGAACAAAGATGTAAGTTACAGTGAGGTGTTTGACGGAATCATAGGTTGGTTTATTTATAGTACAAAAGATAAATGTGATATTATGTACTGATCGTTTAAACAGGGCATTACATTGGATGTCTCTAATTTGTGTCATTATCTAAGGAGAAGCAGATGAAGTAAAGTATGAGAAATTGATTATACCAAAGCACCGTATTAGCTTTATCGGTATATCTCTTGTGCCATAATCCTATGAAGCTCGCGCATAGCATACATGGTAAAATACCATGACGCTTTGAGGTTGCACATACCCTTACCAATGCCAAGCATAATGAAAAGTACGGTGAATTTCTCATAAATTCATAGTACAAGGCTTCCTAAATTGTTTATACTTGAAAACTGTGATTGGCTGACTGAATTTTCATATTGCTCAAATGTATTAAAAGTGTACAAAATTGATGCATTTATTAATCATTAAGTGTGAAAGATTATAAGAGAAGGATGAATGGAATAATGCAAGATGACTAATATTTTTACAAGTTCTTTCTTTGACGCTTTTCTTCTGCTTGTTTCTTACGGTAAGCGCGATATTTGACATCAGTTCCAAAGATGTAATCCCACCAGCGAAAAGAGGAAGCATAGTTACCTACAAATGCCATATGGTGGTAATCGTGATGATCAGCGCCTGCCCAAAATGGAATGAAGTGACGAAGCGACCAAGGGAAATCGTATCCGGAATGGCAATCGATGGCTTGACACAAGCGACAGACGATCCAGAATAGCATAGTGAAAAGATGGAGTTGCCAAGGTCGGTCAGCATGGATAAAGAATTTTTGGAAGGCATGGTAGATCAATGGTCCGCCAATGGTGCCGAAACCAAGAATAGATGTTTCAAGAGGATGAGCGTACTCAGCAGCGATACCAAATGGAGCGGCATATTCGTGATGAACCTTGTGAATACGTTTGTAGAGTGGTGGCCAGTGCATTAGACGGTGAACAGCATAGTGATAAGCGTCTTCAAAGACAAAGAATATGGCAATTTGAGGCAGAATGTATTTCCTATATAGCAGATGAGTTACAGTTTCTTCTTCTCTATATGGGATATCTTTACCATGCAGGGAAAGGCGCGTCAATGTTCATGCCCAAGAGAGATGCCATTGGATGAAATAAAAAGATGAGCGGTCCCTCGTACAGAAAGTGTTGATATAAGACAAGTTTGGTGCATTTCCAATAGTCGGCAGAAGTATTGACCTTGTTGGGCTGTATTTTATACTGTTTAAAGTAGGGAATAAAATCGCAGATCAAGAATGGAATGAATCTACCAAAATAAACGAGTTCATGCATGACAAAGGCAATGATACCAGTCACCACCAGGGGATCTCTATCCCGGTAAGCCGCTTGCCATTGTTGCTCTAACCAGCTGAGCTGATCAACTTGTACAGTAGAGTTCATATCTTGATAAAGCCAAGATAAAAGAAAAGAAAAGAAAGAAAATAAAAGAGTGCCTTATATATAGTCTATTCACCCCGGGACACCTCACCGATGAAAAAGAGAGAGGATCAAGTGGGATGATTTTTTCACTTCGGGACATCAAAAAAAAAAGTTATTGCGCACATCTCTTTATCCGATAAGTATTTATGAAAACAGTGTAGAACAGAACTTTTGGTTAATTGGATCATGCCAAAAGGCCATAGCGCTCAGGACACCAAAATAGTGAGCCAATAGTGCAATCACGACACAGACGTGAAATATTTGATGAGATGCACCCTAAAGTAAGCTGTATAAGAATAAATATATAAAGAAAAGCCATGATTTTCTTACAAAATAGTTAAACATGCCAGGTTTGACGCGTTCAGGAAATCTGGCTCCATAAATGACTGCACCCACAATGTAAGTTAAAGCCATGAGAATCAAGTGACTTAGAGATATGGTTCTTACAGCATTATTTAGCTACAGTGATGTTAGATATGGAATGACGATGTATAGTGTAAACGTACGCCATATATAATGATGCCATGAAGGGTAGGTACAACACCAAAAAGTCCTAAAGAAATAAACAGGAGAGCTCTTACCCATCTATAGGCAGGCGTACGAAAATGTTTTAACAAGGTGACTGTAGCCTAGCAACAAGAAAAAAGTTAAATCCTTGTGATACTCTTTAATGATAGACTTACAGTAATAGCACCCAAAGCAACAATGATGGATAGATAAACACCTAAATAGCAATTTAGTTTCTAGTATTTAATTGGCATCAATAATGTTCTTACTTTGAAGAGTCTGATGGCAATGAAAACCATAATAAATCATGGGAAAGAACGAGCCACTAATAAAAAAAAGGGGGTTAGATGATTCAATTGGATTCAACATATGATTCATACACTATAAGAGTAGTGATACCAGCATAATCACATCGATTCCAGGTAGCCGCAACTTTTTCTGAGTGACAAGAAAAACAATGGAAACTAGCACTGAATCCTAAGCAAGTAAGCGCACCAGCAACAAAGACAAAGAAATAGGTATAATCAAAGGACGTTAGAGAATCGGCAAGTGGATTTGACCATAAAAAGTGGAATCCAATGCCTATGAAGAGGAGAAAGGCCAAAAAATGACTCCATATGTTTACTAAGAAATGATAAGTACAACAATAATAAGGTACCATAAAGCATTACTAGATTCGTTATGTAAATAAAATAAACTTTGAACGCATTCAAGGTAGCTATTGGACTGTCTTCTATATCCACCAGTGATATAGACATTGTCCTGCATCCAAGTTGGTATTTCATGCCAGTCCAATATTCTTTTGATAGGTTGCTTGTTTAATAAGGTATCGGTGTCGTTAATATCTTCTAGTAATTGCATATCTGATTTAGGACTTCTTTTCTGAACAACCATATCTATAGTAGCAATAATAAATAAAAGCAAAAGAGAGACGTATTCATATGCTACCCATCTTTTAATCCCTTAAAGAGCCCCAATCTTTGGACTTGTTCTTCATTATTATCATAAGCCTATCACGTTAAAGAAAAAAAAAAAAGACAGTCAAAATCGACAAACACACCTGAATATGCTGAGTTTTATTTAATTTATCTGAGCCTTTCTTTACCTACAGACACAAGAAGTATACTTTGGGGGTTAAACTGAATATCTATTATATCATGACCTGTCAAACACAGTTGAACAAGGTCCTTGTTAAAGAAAGACCAGAAGTGACTGCTGATTCATGGTCACGATTTATCTGAACTCTAGTAAATGATCATGCTTTACGTGACCAAAGTATCCTTTTCTGTCTCTTTTTCTTCCTTCTATTATACTATTTCACTATAAAAAAGGAATGCTATTCCATACTATTCCTAAGCACACCGACTATTCAATCGATGTAACTATTTACCAGAGTAGTAAATACTCGATGATAATCTTTTATCTCAATAGAGCCTCAGATATGAAGAACTAAACCAGATGCTTTTGGCAGACATCATCGAAATATGTCGTGAAAGAAATCTGCCAACTGAAGGCACCAAATCGCAGCTCATAAGTGACTTATTATTTTGGGCAAGCTATACCTTTCTTTTCATATTGAGTGATCTGTAACTAACAAATTGAGCAGAAGGAAAATACGACCCGACTTGTACCTGCTCCTTCAACCCCTAGGCTAAACGAATTTGAAATATCACAGTACTCTTCAAGTACTTCAAACGCTAGTGCGATGAAGAACGAAAGAGAGACGTTGCGTTCTAGAGAGTTTTCCGTGTTATTTCTAAATGGCGAGACAGACACAGGTCTGGATATACCGTACAAGGAGCTTGTGATCAAGCAAAAGATTGGCAGCGGAGGATTTAAGGATTGCTATGAAGGTAATAAGCACTATGTGAGAAAGAACAACGGTTTTCTTACAAAAAAAAAAATTGCTAAATTTAGGTGTATACAAAGGAGTAATAATATTACCGTTTACAGATTGAAAAAAGTTATTACAAGACACTAACAGATCTAGTAGGAAGCCGTCGCTATTGGGGAGTTGAGGATCACACGATTCAATGAAATTAACTTGGCAGAAATAAAGCATGAAATTAACGTACTAAAGTAAGTTTATTTACTCTTCTGTTCTTTTGAATATTCATCCTTTTGTAGACAACTGAGACATGAAAATGTGGTCAAATTTATTGGTGTCTGTACTCATCCTAGTCACTTGTGCATAGTGACTGAACTTTGTTCAAAAGGTGACCTCTTTGATGTCATTCGCGCCTACCCAAGACCAAGTTTTGCACAACAAGTTATGTACATGTACGATATTGCTCTTGGGGTAGCTTATCTCCATACAAGAAGACCATCCATTATTCATAGAGTAAATATAAGCCAAAATAAAAGGTGACCTACTCATAATTATAATATATATTAGGATATCAAATCAATGAATATCTTGGCAAGTCTCGTTTTTATTAAAAAAAAAATTTAAAAGTGCTTATGCAACTGTGTTTAGGTATCTAGTGATGACAGAGCCAAGATTAACGATTTTGGACTTGCGCGTATTCGACCAAGAGCAAACGCTCTCATGCACACTCAATGTGGCACGCCAAACTGGTAAGTTTTATCTGCATACAAAACATAAAGATAAACAACTCATTCAATACATAAAAAGGCAAGGTAACGATGACCACATACTCGTTTTCTTGTGTACCTCATCATACTTTGCTTTTGTTAGCACCTGAATTCTGGTCTGTCAATCCAAGCTATACGGAAAAAGTGGATGTAAGGAGATATAAAAATACGAGGCCAGTTTGTTAAACCCAATATTCTCTATTGTTAAAGGTATATGCATGTGGACTCATCTTTTGGGAAATTATGACTTGGGGAACCTGTGGATACCCGTATCAAGGTAAATAGAGTATACATCCTACAAAAAACTAGTCATTTAAAATCAGATATTACAAGATTACTCTGAGCATGAGCTTTATGAGGCAGTCAAGTACCATGATGCACGACCACCTATATCACAATTGACAAACATATACCCAAGAAACCTGCTTGTCTTGATTATGGAAATGTGGGAAACAAATCCTTCTTTGGTAAGTGCGAAGCAAAAGGAAAAAAATACCCGAGGCTGATCTATAGCGCATCTAGCGTCCTTCGATGAACCATGTTGTTGAACGTCTCTCTACCTATTTGACCTAGTTAAAAAGCTTCAAAATGTATGTTATCACTATTTTTTATTCTATTTACTATATAATAAAATGTCTCCTTTTTTTTTTCATAAAATTGTATTGTTAGAGAGGAATCCATCAATGTGTCGATAAAAATATCAACTGGTCTATTGTCATATGTATCAGTACGATAAGACTTAGCTTGTATATTAGCCTCAAGCGAGAGTGGTTTCCATTTATTAAGCCATGGTATTATTGGCTGATATGCGCCATAACGTTTCAGAGTAGTAAACCATCAGTGTAATAGCTTGGTAGTGTGTTATTGTTTCTCATAGTTGTGTAAACAAGATATTGTAACTCGGCAACTTACCAATTACGTCTATGTACTACATCCTATCTTAAATGTCGATTGTTTACTTGTTTCTATTCTGTTTCCCCTTTTCTCTTTTTTTTCTTTTTCTTTTAATAGAATGTCAGAAAAGAAAGAATTGCCACCAGAACGCTATTATACACCACAAGTACAGAGCAGCGTGTCTCATAAACCGCCTTCAAGTAATCCTATTAAACTCGGGTTTTCTATTTAACTCATTCATACAATAGTATATCAACCTACACCTCAGCCTGAATCCGTCATAGTTCATGAAAAGACAAGAGTGCATAAAAATAACTCATGCTGCATATCTTGGTATGTAATTTATCATAAGCAATTGAATATATACTAAGATGATTATATAGTCTACTAGCATGTTTTATATGTCTGGCGGTAAAAGATGAAGGCACCAAGTCTCCAGAGCAATAGAGGGTCTCTTTGAATTTTACTGTTATTCTTCTTTTTTTATTTATTTAAATAAACAAGCTATATTAAAGATGTCATTAACGTCTTGAAATGGATCGTCTGCGTGGAGAAGGTGATATGCTGTAACTTCTGCCACGACGAGGTGATCTACTATAACGACGAACAGGGGATCTATTACGACGAGGTGTTCTGCTACGACGAACAGACCTGCTGCGACGAGGTGATCTACTACGGCTGAGAGGAGTGAGGCTTCTAGAATAACTTCTACTGCGAGAGTAACTGCGATTACGGGAGTAGCTGCGTCCACGAGAATAACTGCGTCCACGGGATGGGCTGCGTCTACGAGAATAGCTACGTCCACGAGAGTAGCTTCGCCTGTCACGAGAATAGGATCTGTCTCTGGAGAAGCTGCGTGGAGATCGAGAACGAGAGTATGAGTAGCGTCTTCCACCTCGGCGAGGAGGTGAGCGGGAGATGGAGCGAGAGTAGCGGCGTCCTTTGTTAAATCGATCTCCTCGACGTGTAGGTGGTGGGCCGCGATAGCTGTCTCTTCTATTATAACGAGGTGGAGGAGAATAACGAGCTGCTGAAAATGATGTGGATAAGCCAATTGCTGTATGCTTTTTTATATTATGATTACCTCTAGGAGGTGAAGAAATGGGTGATCTTGATCTTGATCGTTCCTTTGAAGGAACAGTAACCGTTAGTTTAACACCATCCAATTGCGCCTAAGAAATATAAATGCTTGTTATCTTTCTCTTGCTGTTTTACTCTGTTTGTGCCTACTGAGGAACTTACATTATCCATGTAGCTGATAGCTTTGTTAACATCTTCTTGTGTTTCAAAATCAATATATGCCTTTCCCAAGTTGATATTTACTAAAAGAATGTTGAATATAAGTTTCTTCGTATATTAGATAATCCTTTTATCTTTTTACATTCTTTGTCAAATGGAAACTTTATATGTGTAATCTTTCCAAATTGTCCAAAAATTTCTTTAATGTGTTCTTCAGTAACATTGCGAGTTAAATTGCTGACAACAACAGAATGTGAATTCTCAGGGCCTGCAGATCGAGAGCGACTTCTACGCGTAGGAGATCTTCCGCGAGATCCTTTTGATGGTGAACGACCTCTTGACAATGAGCGTGAAGGTGATCTTGAAGTAGGCCTACAAAATATACACGGTTATTTTTGTTATATTACGTGTTTTATAAATGATTTACATTTTTTCTTATTGTATTATATTCGTCCCTTTATGTAATATTAAAAGAAAAGTCAAGAAAGAAACTGAAAGAAAAAAAAAATACGCTCCTTCTCAGACTAACTGATGACGCAAAAAAGCGAGTCACAGACTGACACTTTTTGTTTCTCTTGTTCATAAAAGAAAGGCATTGCAAAAAAAAAAACCAGAGAGTATTAAATGATGCTTACAATCTTGATAAATAAAATAACCCAAATAAAAATAAGAATAGCTCATATCGTATCCTTTTATATAGTAAAAACGTCTGTCCAATTAGATAGTTTCATTAAAGTAATTTTTCGCAGAAAGTAAGTCTGTGTTACGTTTACAAAAATGAGCACACTTGTCTACATCCATCCTAAATCAATTTCCTGACAAATCCTTTTAAAGTTTTATGCTAATAAAAGAATAAAGTAGCCTCTTTTCTCTTCCATATTAACAGGCTGGCTCAATGATTCATAAATTACACTCGGCCATTAGTTGTTCTCAAAGATGAGACAAAAAAGTTTACTTGATTATCAACAGCTTGAAAAGTGAGTCGAGTGCCAAAAATATTGATAGAGAATGGTAGATGATTTGTAGTTAAGGAAATAAGACAAGGACTTAATAGGTAATACACATTTTGTAAACAAACCAAGAGAGGATATTATAATCAGATATAATTGCTGTATTTAATTGGAAGTGCATGGTTCAATCATGTATTATTATCACTGGTTTATTATATTGATCTTGATATCTAAAGGAAAGGAGAAGTGCCACTTGTGCGTGTCTATCTAGACTACATGAGGCCTTTTTTTATAATGTTTCCATCATGGTCAAAGTAGATATTATTTTTAAATGATAGAAAACGTTTTTATTTCAATATTATAAGAGTTCATCAAACAAATCCTCAAGGATTGCCTTTCCATAGGTACGAGGGGTGGATAAACCGACAATTTCACCAGCCAATGCATCATCTCTGAAGAGCGTGACTGTAGGAAAATCATTAATATTATATTCTCTAACAATATCCTAAAGTAACATGTTAATAATCACCGAGTTTTTTTGTTTCACTTATACTTACACGGTGATTAGTCAAATTAAATTTAAGAAAGAGGACGTTTGTATACTCCTTAGCACATAAGCACATATAAGTTTCTGCCGGTATGCAGTCGATATACCCCATCGAAAGTGAAGAGAACGACGACTTTGTTGTTGGTTTTGAGTAATTCTTTGAATTCAGCAACGCTAGCAGGTTGTTTAAGATCGGCCATCTCTCGTGTTCTATTTTATGTAAAGAAAAAAACAGATAGTTGGCTGTCTTGTCCAATTTATACTTGTGGATATAATGTAGTACAAGCTTCCCAACTTCATTTTCGGGAAGAGTGTCTAATAAGAAAAATTTTATATTGATAACAAAATAAAGTAGCCAGGTCAGCTCAAATCTCGGTATATTGCACGTAGCCTTTAGTTATGCTCAAAGGTGTGTCAAAAGAAAGTAAGGCATCTACATGGTTAGAGAGAGATTACAGACTTTGTTGGCTTAAACAAATCCTAGATTGACAGTAAAATTCCGCAAACGTAGGTTCTGTGGGGCGAAGTAGCATGACAATTGGTTGAAATACCAATAAGGAGACGTTATCTAGCCTGATGAGTCGTACTTTTGCGTGCAAGGCAGTAACTGCGGGCAAAAAGAGCGCACAGGAAGGAAGTGAGCGCTACTATAAAACCATCTAGTATCCACAGTGAAGTATGATGATGATTCTATGGTTTAAATATGCTTCTAAGAGAGGTATTTCGGGCCTTTAGAACATCTTTATAATTTCGTTTAACATTTCGTAAATCCATTTGACAGCTACTTAAATAAACGTACTATGTAGAAATATTGCTATGCTTTTATTACACATGACCAAACGTATTAAATAAATTATTGATGAAATAAAGTAAAGAAGTCATTGGTATGGAGTTATGCAATAAAAGGCACTATACATTTTACTTTGATGACGAAAAAACTAAGCTTTTTTTTTTTAAAAAAAAAAGCAAGTTGGTTTGGTAATCGAAAAGTAAAATGAGAGACTGTGAATACTAGATTAGACACTGTCATTCTTTCAATGGCGTCTAAACAAAGAAACAAATCTTTAAAGCTAAATCATTAAGCAATGTTAAAGTCATAGAATGCTTGCTATCATCTTGAGCATCATCTGAAAACACCCAAGGGTACATTGTTTTGTAGAGTTTTGATAGTCATAATGTTTGGATAACCTTAGTTCAGCAGGTCTTGAGATAAATAACATTTATTTGAATAGTAAAAATGGGAGGAAGACATATGAAATTATGATACCACATGTATATATGAGAGGACTGTGGGAAGATACATCATCCATGTGTTCGAAGGTTGAGTGCTTGCAAATCAGGAACGCTGCCTTGTCCAGTGGGCGCAAAGCGTGGATGCGGTAAATGGTTTGCCCATCGACTGGCTTGAACCCTTGCAGCAGCGTCTTTGGTTGAACTGTTGAAACACAAAACATGAGCACCAAAAGCAGACTATGGTATCAGTCGTAGATATCCAAGATATAACCCATTATTTGTTGAATAAAAGCAAGATTGGCTATTTGTTGCACCTCAATAAAAATGATAATTCGTTGCAGCAAAACACGCTTGCTGATTTTGTCAGTACCAGGTAGATACTCTGACGTATTCAGCCTTGTTATTTGAAAAAAGCCAGTTAAGTCGATGCTTTGCGAATTATATTCTTTATCAAGAAGAGCTGAATACTATTAAAATAAGACTCGTGTGTATTTTATAAGGAAAGTTGAATGTTGTGGTCAATGTGGATGATTTATCGCATCTGATGCGATAGAAGAAAGTAGAACGTAAGAACATAATCAACTCGGCGTTTGATTTCTCACCTTTGATTGCTGTCATGGTGACAATTATGAATATGCAAAACTTCGTAATCTCTGAGCTAGTAAATGCCTTGATTAGATCATTCACTGCGTCCTGAATGGTTGTTGAAACTTTTTCATCAAAGAAGTTTATCAAATGTTCCTTATGCTTTCCGTTTAGTTGACCAGCAGGTCTGTTGAAAGTGTGATTGGGGGTTTTTTTTTTTTAAATATATGCTCTTTCATGGGTCATTCATATAAGCTTGTTTCATTTGTGTGCCGTATCATAATTGACATTCGCAGCCTCCTTTGACTTCATAAGCTCTCCTTCCTTCTTATAGCATCACAAAAAGTAGTAGGTTCTGGTTGAACATGATTTTTGATATACTTTTGTAAGCCAATCAAGCTTTCTATTAATGGCTGCTTTGTTGCTTCTCTTTCTTCTTTGTCAAATATACTTCCACGACTGTCTTTGTAAAGAGCTGCAAACATGATTCAAATAGAATAAGTCAACTTTTTCTTTTTTGGGTCAAATAAAGTCCGACCGCTACCTTCAAAAATCGTCCAATTGACGATCTGACCACCTGTGCTTTTTGTCAGTGCTTTTGTTACACATAGACAAATGTCTTTAGCGGATTATGTCAGGAAAATAGCACAATTTCACTATTATGGTTGGTCCCAGCTTGTGATTTATTTACTCAGGGCATTTTACAACTAATTTTTACTGGAGAAGCTTTTGTTCAAAGAAACGTGTCTTGTTAATAAGGCATATTGACCTTACCAAAGATTAACATGTATTTCTTCTTCAATACTTTATTTTATTGACAATATCTTGATGAAGAATGAGTCAAGCAATACTATACAAAAAAAGGATGATCTTATTGGCAAGTACAAGCCAATCTATAAGTCATATCTTTACTGGTCTCATGGCCGTTCTTCCGTCAATAAGGAGCTACCCCTACACTTCTTTAAAAGAAAGGTGCTCTCTTCAGTCAAAATAAGCCATACTTTGGGAAAAATCAAACCGCCCATTGGGTGAATCACAACTGCCTTTTGGAAAAATTAACACCGCTTTTTGACGTTGGAACGACTGTAAACCATCTATCACCGAAGGGAATCGTATGGCACCTGAGGAAACTGCAAAGCCCAAAAACAATGGAAAAATATAGACAAGCATTCACAAACTCTACAAACAAACTGCTTCCATCCTCTACTTCTTCTTTCAACAACAGACATTCTGCAATCCATTACATCGAAGAGTTTAACACTAAACTTTGCCAGGCCATATATACGCCTCTGGACCAAGCCTGTGGGCGGCAAATAAATCAAAAAGACTCTCAAGCCAAATACTTTTGGACACCAGAAATGCAGGATGTCTTTAACCTTAAGGAGTACTATTATCGAAAATGGAGAAAAGTTCGTGGGTTAAATTGTCTCAAACTGGATCCTTCACTAGGAAACCAAAGCATGTCTACGGCAACTTGTTTTACGTCGAAGAAAGAAAACTTGGCGTCAGTTCTGTGAACAAATGGAACGCGGTGAGTATACAAAGGCTATTGTAAAGTTCTGTAAAATTCATAAAAACAGAAACTTACAGTCCTCTTTTAGTTCTATAGAAGGGCCTTAACATGCGGCTAATACCATGACCTCTCACTTACAGTCAATATACTCGGGAAACTTACTGCAAGATGTAAGCCAAGATTCAAGTGTACTACCAGCTTCCTTTGGCCCATTTGATGACAAAGGTAGCCCTATTTCACTAGAGAACATACAAGCATCCATCAAACGACTGCCTCCTAAAAAAGCTCCTGGTGTCGACCATATTCGACAAGAAATGTTAGTTCCTATTTTAAAACAAATTACATCTTTCTTGCTCCGGTTATTCCAACCCTGCTGGAAATGGTTATACAGTCTTTCCGGAAAGTAAATTCGCCTGTGATCGAAAATAAATGCACTTAATGGTGAGAACAAAATTCATGTTGTATGAAATGTAAATTCGCCGTTACCAAGAATATTTTCGTAGTATCAGCCCTGACATCCATGGAGATACTGTATTTCCAAATTGAGATGTCGTATTGAAACCGTTGTAATGTTGTCAGAGTAATAACAAATACAAAAAGAATATGGCTCACTATCTCATTTGACAGTAATATTAACAGGTGGGCTGCCTTGGAGTTGAAATTAACTTAATATTTGAAATAGCCCTCTTTAGTCTCTTTGTAAAAGCTTAAATTCTTTATTCGGTTTTTCCATGAAATCAGAAGAACATGTAGTCATATTTGGCAATGCATATTCTTGAATGGCCACGAAGCAGATTGCTTCTATTTGACATGATTTCTTTGTCTTAGGTACTCGATCCTGAAACTTGTTTGAAAGAAAAACATATAAAAACCCATTTTAATTGAGTCCTTTTTTTGCTTCTTTACAGCAGTTATCAAGTGTCCCTCTGAGTGTTCAAAGATTCACCAATCAAAACTAGCCTGTCCTCATGGTCCTTGCTCTGGCTCGCTTGTCCCGCCCTCTTTGCTCTCTGGCGTGTATCTGGAACGTTCCCCAATAGTCTCTTCTGACGCCCTGGGTTCTCTCTGTCCTCCGTTCCTTTTTTTTTTTGTTTAAATCATCCTGGGTAGTTATCGCTACCCTCCCCAGAATGCACCTTGGTGGTAGGTAAAACTAATATTAGGATATGTGCTCTAATACTAGCATACTTTTTCTCTCTTTTTCTACATATACTCATTATCTCTCTCTCTCTTTTGACATGATGTCGTTTTATTCAAACGTATTTTTCTTTGTCGCCTTTTTACGAAAATATTTTTTTTTATTTTACGACATTTTATAAAATTAACGTCAATAATTAATAAAAATACAGTATACACCGTCCAACTGGAGAATAGCACAAGTGATACCAATCTATAAAAAAGGTGATCCAAACGACTCTAGCAATTATAGACCAATTAGTCTTACTTCCGTGCTACGTAAACTATTGGAGCGCTGTCTCCTTCAATATCTTATTGATAATAGTCCACACTTAGACCTGGCTCAAGGTTGTTTTCGTTAAGCTAGAGGTTCGCTGTATCAAGCACTATGCCTAGTGGAAGTCTGCAACATCCTTCCCCGCTACCACTATGTTACTCCAGTACTAGCCTTTCTAGACATCAAATCGGCATATGATACTGTCGATCGCCGATTTATATGGAAGGCTTTAGAAACAACAGCACCGAAGGTGATTATTTGTCTACTTCAGAATCTTTTCGATGAGGTCCAGATTGAAATTCTGTTGAACAATGCCACTTCCTTTCGGTTTTCCCCTATGACCGGTGTCTTTCAAGGTTCTATTCTCTCGCCTTTCTTATACTCCATTTACATTAGTGAACTCCCTAAGCTGCTTCGTCCACGGCCTATATCACAAGACATTTCGGCAATCCAGTTAACCCCATTGATCAACTGCCTTTTATATGCGGACGACGTAGTGCTCATTGCTGACAAAGAGCACATGAAAGATCTGTTGAGAATATATGAAGACCATAGTTACAACCTTGGCTATAGGTGGAACCCTAGCAAATGTATAGTTTTAAACCCTACAGATCAATCGCTTAATTACTACCTTTACGGAGACCTGCTTCTGACTAGAACCTCCTTTTCTTATCTTGAGGTTCCTTTTCGTCCTGGAGGTTATCTAAATACATTCGAGCTTCTTACTAACAACATAAACAAATCACTAGCGACTATGAATAAATTAGCTATGATTGGACTCAATCCCAATGGTTTCAGCCGACTACTTGCTACTCGTTTTTACAAACAGATAGTCCGATCTCAATTAGAATATGGTCTTGCTATTAGCAAGGTTAACTCTCTTTTGCTCGACAAACTGGAAGACACCCAGAATACGTGCCTACGCAGAATATTTGGTGGTTCTTGCAGATCCTCTATAAAAGTAATGCTACAATTGACGAAGTTGCCGACTATGACAGAGCGTATCCATATATTACAAGCGCAATTCCTCTTACGATCTCTGTCATTGCCAGATGACGCGCTTCTGGCTTACTTACTTCCACATATACGCCTCTCCACAAGTCATTCACAGTGGTATACAATATCAAAAACGCCACTGTGGAAACGCTGTGTGCAATATACCGATGTCCTAGACAAACGGTTATTAAAGAAGTTACTTCTGCAATACCTGCAAGACAACTTAAAACAACGGCGTACTTCACGCAACTCAAATCTGCTCTCACTGTGCCGCCCAACAATCTCTTTGGATCCAATTCTTTGGTTACCCATGACAAGACTAGAAAGAAGCCGATGCATACGGTGGCGTCTTGATTGGTTACCCAGTTATAACACTACTCGCTGCCTTCGACACACCTCACAGCTCCTCACAAAACAACATGCCATCTATTGCCTCGACATGCATCACCGTCTACAAATACCGAAGTCTATAACTGATCCTCTGTCTCTCCTTTTAAATAAACTTCCCACTCGAAAACCACGCTCTTTTCAAACAAGATCGTTTTGGACTATCAGATGGCCCGTAATCTGCGCTATCTTACATGAGCTTGATCACATATAGCATGGAAAAGAGCCACCATCACCATCTGACCCAGGGCAGAAACTGATTAAATGGTTATTTAATTCTTCATAGCAGTGTTTTTAACACTTGTTCCGTGAATCTGTTAGCCAAAGCATTTTTGCCCTCGAGCCCAGAGGGATTTTTAGATACTGTCTCACAGCTTGAACTGGCCAGGGCAAAAACGATATAATAAAAATATCACGTGCCCTTTATGGCCTTTATATTTTATAAATAAGCAAAAAAAATTGTTTAACCGTATAAAATAAATTATTATTAAAGGAAACGTGGTAAAAAATATGTGTTCCATTTTAGGAAGGCAGAGAAAAAAAAATGAAAAAATCAGGCCACTTTAAAGCTTTACGAGGGGGACCAAACCAACAGTGTCCAATTGACCAAATAAAGCAAGTAACAAATAAAAAACTTGGAACTTAAAAATTTTTAGCCTTTCCTTTCTTCTTCTTCTTCTTCTTTATATTTCTTTGTAGAATAACCATGGAAACCTTTGCACCTTTTCCTGTGGATTTTTTAACAGAAAATAATACATTAAATGATGACGATCCTTATTTCTCACTTTCTCAATTCGATTTTGAATTACAGCAACAAGCACAGGCTGCATTACAACAAGATTCATGGCAGGATTTTGATAAATACTTGTCTTTAGATAGTAATCAACTCATAAATCAGCAACAACAACAACAACAACAACAGCAGTTATTTAATGATCCAAATTTATTTTATGCACCTTTAAATGAAATCATGCCAATGAACCAAAAGACAGCAATCGATCAATCAAATCCATTAAATGACGATTGGAAAAAGAATATAAAACAAGAATATAACACTCCGGAATCACTACCATTCTCTCCTTTACAACAAGATGAAAATAACACAAGTAGCACTGATCCTACAAATCAATCTCCGAAATTGACCACGGACTCGACTACTCCCAGTACAACTACCACAACAGCGACACCTACCATAGCTCCTCCCAATATTGATTTTATGGGATGGAATAGCAATAGCAATAGTTTGGAACCACAAGGTAATATCAATCTAGTCCCTTGTAAAAAGACTATGATTTATTAAAGCTATATTTTCATTTATAGGCAAAATCCCCATTCAAAGACTAAAAACTTTAAACTCTATTAACAACTCAGTCAACACATCCGCCAACAATAGTTCTTCCGTCAATGCACCGGGACGACAGCATAAAAAGACCGCCCATAACGCTATCGAACGTCGTTATCGTAATAATATCAATGACCGTATTGCAGAATTAAAAAATGCAGTACCTGCTCTTTTATATGCCAAGGTCAAAGATAACAACGGCCGAAAACGAAAGAACGATGAAGAGGACGACGGTGAAGACGGTGAAGAATACCTTGACGGTGTCGCCGTAGCCACTAAACTCAATAAGGCCACTATCTTGAGGAAAGCTACCGAATATATCAATCACTTGAAAAAGACAGGTGAAGATATTAAGCGTGAAAACGAAGTGCTTCAGAATATACTCAGTCAGCTTCCCGGTGGCGCCGATATCCTGCAGCGTTACCATATGCAAAAGCAACAGAGAGAAAAAGAGCTCCAAAGACAGCAACTGCTCGAGCGTGAGCTTCAAAAGCAGCAAGAGCAGCAGCGTAAAGCAGCAAACAGAAAGAGAGCAAGATATAATAGAAGCGTTCATGATGCCTCAGACGAATATGAATCTTCTTCCTCTTCTCCAGACCCTGCTACACCTCCTGCTATGGCGAGCCGTGTGTTCATGGCTATGTTTATGGCTATCACTTTCTTATCTACCTCACCGCTGACGACAAACACTACACCAGCAGAACATCATCATGTCTCAAGAACGCCGACTGCACCTGTAAAAGAAGACCTGAATGCCCCAGTACTTTCTACTTCTATCTTTACCTCGCTCTTTCAATTTGATAGCACGTGGTAAGTACCGTAAAAGTGTTCTTCCGTCTAATATTAACATAAATGCTTCTTTTTTAAAAGGTCAATGATACGAACTGTCATGTTTGTTATCTGTCTCCTGCAGTTATTCTTACCTTACATTCGATCTTTCTTCTTTGGCTCTTCTCTCAAACTGAAACGAGTTAACCCAGCTAGACGCTTGGCTTCTAACTATGTAAACCGCAAGGAAGTCAATAATGTGACACCTGGTGACTTAAAGTGCAGACAAATGTACTCTATCTTGAACCAATCTGGCCGACTCCTTCCTCGAGACATAATTGTAACCATTTTTGGTTTACTGAAAGAAACGCTCCGCTTATTTGCTCACCATGTACTTGGCTATGACATTCTCTATGGCGATCATGACTTGCTCACACCTGAGGAAGAGTGGGGCCAGGTCTGTAAGTGGATCAAGTTGAACGAAACCCTCTGTCTTGGTGGTAGCGGTAACGTCTCTCGTCTGTCTATGCTCTATGCTTGTTTCCGCATGATCAATCTTGTCGACTTGCTGGACGAAGACAAGCACGACCATGTCTATCAAACTCATGCTCGTGCTTATGCCACAGCTGCCATGCAAGTGGCCATTGCTATTCCTCGCCGAGCCTTGGCTGACAGATTATCTAATTATTTCTGGAAGCACGCCATCTACCATATCCAAAAGAACGACCAAGATATCGGATTTGAAGAAAGTAATCAATGGATGCTCTCATTAGCCTGGTTGGACCCTGAACAAGAACATGAATCTATCCGAAGCATGCCAGAGACACGTGTGTGGGCAGAGGCTATCGAAATGTTCTTGAACCAGACGCGTCTGAACTCTAAGCGAAATGGTCTCTCGATTTCTTACACAGCACCCGTCTTGGTCCCTGTGGCTATCCTTTCTACTCTCCACTTGCTTGATAATCTCCGTATTCAATTCGATCGACTGGTAACCCTCATGGCAACCACTGAGGATAACACTAATAGCGACGATGAACGTGATGATGATAATAGCAGTGAAATCAGCGATGCTATCGAAACTGAATTCTCAAACATCATGCTCTTGACTGAATCAAATGACGAGAAAGAAGAAACAAGTACGGATCAACAACGTTTGGCTTACTGGTTAGCTGCTGTGGGCGCAACTACCGAAGCACTCTGGAAGAACAAGATGGATCAAGTCGAGAAGTGGCTTCCTCATCTTATCCAACGCGTGCCTCGTTCGATGACGTCTAGAGGATCTAGTGTGGCACAAAAGGCAACCTTGAACCAGCTGGATGAATTGATCAAGAAGACCATGATACATACCCTCGTTGGCTCTGTTCTCCTCAAGGACAACGACGTTGAAAAACAAAAACAAGGCCTGGCTGAACTCAAAAGCGCTGAATCGCTGCGTACAACAATACGTAAACAACAGTCAAAGATGACAAGCCATTCTGCAACCAACGAAGATGGACATGATCTCGAATCTATCGTTCTTTCCCTTGCTGACTTTGTCGTTTCTTTCGTTGGTCTCGAGGCATGGATCACGGCTATGAAGCTCAACCAAGATGTGGTCGAGGTTGAAGACCGTGTGAGAGAAAGTACGCTTGCGCTGCGAAGGATGATTCGACATCCTTATTTGCAAATGCTGGGTGAGAATCAGTCGATCGTTGACCGCCTCACTCGACTTGGTCGATTTATCACTCATCATCCAGGAGATGCTGATTCTGCTTGTGATCTAACAGATGAAGATAACATTGTAGACACTGAAGATAATAACGCTCACCAAATCGTTATTAAACGAGCAGAGAAAGCTCAATCTATACTTCATGGCTTACTATAGATTACTATATACACACATATACATATATACACATATAAGAAATTATTCGCATACAATTTAAAATCAATAACAATTACACTTTAGTTGATTATCAATCTTTTTCTTTATTGTTTTCAACTTGAAAGCGTATAATAATATAAAAATGAGCTTGATATTTTTGAGAGATATAAAAGATAAATGTGGTCAGCACTTATAAATAACAAGTAACTGAAAAAGTCGTTAGAGACTTCATATAAATAGTCTGACCTTGACTTCTTTTTCTTTGGACCAAAAAGTAAGACCAGCTATTCTCCAGCTAGCTCTAAGGTATGTTATATTCTTTACTGTTGCAAGAAACCTATATGTAGTATAGATTGTCCATCGAAACTAACTCGGCGTTAGCTGGGGGTAGTTTGGTTGTTACCAAAGTTTGGTCCCATCCGCTCTCTTTCTTGCCTGTTTTTTTTTTTCCCTTCTTTCTCCGGGCCAGTTATTGCTGGCCCTTTTTAATGCACTTTTGGTAAGGTACTGATAAGCTCTTTTACAAGTTTACTCGTTTTTCTTGCTTCTCTTTTTTTCTCTTATAAACTCTCTTCTTTATAATGCAAGTATTTAATATCAATTCAATAACTGATTTACTAATCATTTCTTTATTCGTTCTTTTGCTTCTAATGGGCCCTCCTTTATCATTGTTTGTTGTCTCAAATTATCATTTTTCTATCAGTGCACGAATAATTTGTGAATAAAGTGTAGTAAAGACTATTAGATACATTTATCCGTTTTGCCTTTGTCGGCATAAAAAGTATGCAGAAAGGTTTACACTTGAAGACATGGACTAAAATTTGACTATAAACAGCATCTATTCTTGATATTTCATAAACAGAATGGGTATATGATATTTTATGCGCTAAGTCTCTTTGGTAGCAAGTTAGGACGGATAGTATGGTATGTCGTAATGTGATATAATTGTTTTATGAAGTGGGCATCTTTTTATGCAACCTTTTGATAATTATGGTAAAAACAGAAAAAGTTTTCCCAATTATGATAATAAATACTCTGTGCTTTTAGAGTTTATGCCAAGATTATATCCATCATGAAGAGTATCACCTGCTTCATAACCTTCTTGGTCATTCCTACTTTTACTATTGCTGCTTGTATTTATAATGTTCATACCGACTCTGCCGACTATGGTAAAAATAAATTTCATATACTTGACAAGTGTCATCCTCCTCCATGCAAGGATACAGAAGTTATTGTGCCATTTCCTGCTCCTGGTTTGACACCTATTAACATGTGTTGTCCAAGTGAATTAAGTGATCACTTTTATATTCAATGGTGAATCAATAAAAACGATTCCAGATGCATATCTATCGTCTTTTTTTTTTTACATGTCGCATGCTTTTTAGGAAGATGATACTCACGAGGCTTCTATTGCTTATCTAAACAGAAATCACTTTTGGTTTCATCTTTAAAGAGCAATGAATAAACAAGCCCCTCTATGTTAAAAATTAGTATAACTTTATAGTACGTTTTATTAATAGCTCATATACATCCTAAATGAGGTATGAAAAATAGAGTATATACTCTCAAGGTATTCTCAATCACAAATGATATATCCATGGTTACATGATGTCATGTTTGTCATCTATTTCGCAAAAATTATTTAAAGATCAGCCATCTATTTTTTTATTCTTTTTCTTTGTGTTTATATATTTCAACAAAGATGACAAGCGATACTTTATATTCAATATTTGAACAAAGAAAAGATGCTAGGAAGCCAGCCATTATCATTCCTAAATCTGCCCCTATACCAACCACTATCACATACCATCAATTACTGGACATCATTCACGACTTTTCAAACAAGCTATCCAATCTAGTACCCGCGAGTTACTTGGAGCCCGGCAGGTCAATCTCGATCAGCTATCCAAACTCATTGGAATTTGTCGTTGCATTTCTGGGCTCTACTTTTATGAACTTGATAGCCTCTCCTTTAAATCCGGCGTATACCGAAGATGAATTTAACTTTTATTTGGAAGATGCCAAAAGTTCTGTACTCGTATTACCCAAGGGTGCACTAAATCAAGAAAAGAATCCTGCCATTTTGGCTGCCAAGAAACAAGGTGTATTTGTAGTCGAGATGCACTGGAATGGTTCTCAAATGGAAATCAATTCTCATGCACCATCTGAGTTCAGTCAGCAACCTCATCGTCAGATACATAGCTTCAACCCGAAACCAGATGAACCTGCATTGTTATTGCATACCAGTGGAACGACGGGTAGACCTAAAGGTTAGAATCATGTGAAATCATGCTTATGTCCTCCTTTTTTTTTTTTTACTAATCGAGGGCAACAATTAGGGGTACCTTTAACTCATCTTAATTTGGTAACATCTATGCGTAATATAATCAATACTTATGAACTCAATACGCAAGACCGTACGCTTCTCGTGATGCCATTGTTCCATGTCCATGGCTTGATCTGTGGTCTATTGTCCACTTTACTATCCGGCGGTACTGCTGTCATTCCTCAAAGATTCAGTGCTTCTCACTTCTGGCCTGATTTCAAGGATAATCACTGCAATTGGTACACAGCCGTGCCTACTATCCATCAAATCTTACTCCGCAATCCTCCGAAGGAAGTACCGCTTATTCGCTTCATTCGCTCATGTTCTTCCAGTCTTGCTCCATCTACTCTCGAAGCACTCGAAAAGCACTTCAAAGCACCTGTTTTGGAAGCATATGCCATGACGGAGGCATCTCATCAGATGACGTCCAACCCTCTACCTCATCGCGGTCCCCATAAGTCGGGCTCAGTCGGCTTGGGTCAGGGAGTAGAAGTCGTCATTTTGGACGAACAAGGAAACCCTGCCGAGTTAGGAGAGGTCTGTATCCGTGGTAAAAATGTCACCAAGGGGTACTTGAACAACCCCGAAGCAACGGCCAGCTCTTTTACAAAAGACGGATATTTCCGTACAGGTGATCAAGGCAAAAAGGATAAAGACGGCTATCTGATCCTAACCGGCCGTATTAAGGAGTTGATCAATCGTGGCGGCGAAAAGATTTCGCCGATAGAGCTAGATGGTGTTCTCTTGAGCCATCCAAAGGTCGCAGAGGCCGTTAGTTTCGGTGTCCCTGATGAAATGTATGGGCAAGAGGTACATGCTACAGTCGTTTTGAAAGCCGGTGTCAAGGAGGATGAAAAATCAATCGAACGTGAACTCCAAGCTTACTGTCAGTCTAAACTCGCTAAATTTAAAGTTCCCAAGCGTATTTATGTTACAGACATTATGCCAAAAACAGCCACTGGTAAAATCCAGCGTCGTAAAATGGTCGATGTGTTCTTTAAGGAACCTGCTAAACCTCAGGCTAGATTGTAGATAAATTATTTAATAGACACGTGATTTAATAAACGTTGATTTTTTTTGCTTGTATACAGTAACCACAGGTTGCATCATTGTTTGCTTTTTTTTTTTTTTTTTTTTTTTTTTTTTTTTTGCTCTGTATAAATAAGGGGGTATAATCCAAATGTAAAACGTATCTAGCCGGTTTTACCAATACGTCTGACTGTACCTGATGGTAAGTTGGTAAATAGCTCGTAGATCTCTGCTTGTTCGTCGCAATATTGTAAAAGTTTGTTCCTTTCCTCTCTTTGTTGCAGAATATCCAAAAGTTGCTTTATGTCTCCCTTAACATATTCATCAGCCCAAGCAATGTGTTCTCCTGTTAACTTGGAGTCATATAAATGTTTGGAAAGCTGTATAAACTGTGGACGTTCCAATAGATCATATGCCTTGAAGAGAACCGTCTGCGATGCATATACATTCTTTGAGAGTTGAACAATAACAGTTGGAATTACATGGCTATGTTCTTTTTGATACTCTTCTGGCTCAGAATTAGCCTTTTCCAACAAGTCTTCAAACTTCGTCTTATCCTGTGTTGCGGTCTCTTTTGTTGAACAGCTTGAGCCTGTGAAGCAGCCTGAGCAAGATTGACAGTTCATGAAAAAGAAATATAAAAGAGTGGCTTATTTAGAGAAAAAAAATTAAAAAGGATAATAATTTGTGTCAAGCCATTTGTTGCATATAAAACTGTAGTTGCTCTTTATTGCTTCAAATGACTCCCATATGAAGTATCTTTAACTTTTTGACCTGTCGAGTATCATGATATACGTTACACACAGCTACATAATGAACTTCTGCATAAATCCCCTGAGTAGATATTTATATGCAGGCGCACTGTAATAGATACACACATGGTAATCACCCAATTATGTAGATCAGTAATACGTTGCTAGGCAATATTGAGATTATCACTCACACATCAAAGTATATGTATCTACAAGGACCCATTTACTGCTTTTATAAGTATATCATAGGGCTTTTTGATGGTCATTCAAAAAAAAAAATCAATAAAGGTAAACAGTAAATAGAATGTTGGCAAAGGACATAAAGTGTAGGTTCGCAAGGGATTTTTTAGTGTCATGTTTCAGATGCAAGCATTCGCTGTGATTCGCTGTTGATCATTATTCATAATTACAGCTTCATCGTGAAAGAAGATCAACATCATACCGTGTATATTAAAGATGATTCCCATGGCTGGATGTCATCTTTGCTTCAATGATAAGAGAATAGGGAAATAACATTTAAATGTCCGTTTCCTAGTGTGATGGTACCCAAAAGGATATTTAAGGGATTTTTACCTTGATATTCGGCATCAAATCAACCCGACTTCTCTCTCTTTGTTTGCAACTGATGCATGCAAAGAAGGATATGTTTATATTTTACTGCAATATCAGGCCTTGATGAGTAGTGCAACAGTTTTACATTGATTATCTTTCAAAAAAAAAAAAAGTAGTCGATCTTTCGTCATTAGCAAATCAAAACAGTACTATTTTATATTCAATTATTTCATCATTATCTAAGCGAGAGTCAATCAAACCTATTCAGCCTTTGCATAAAAGCCCTGTTCCTTTTTGCATCAATAGACTTTTTTTTTTAGCTTATATAATTATCATTTCTTTTTTAAAAGCTTTATTATATTTGTTTTTCTCCTTTGTAAATAAAAAGGTACACGGTCAATCTTTTTTATATCTTTTTATACCCTTTTCTTTTTGAAAAATATGCTTACCCACATAAAAGACTTTATTCGATTAAAGAAAGAAGAATATAGAACTAGACATATTAATAACACCATCAATCATAGTTCACATCAACAACACCTCATGGAATCTCGCACTGTACCAAAACAACAAGCACTCAATGATAGATTTGATCTGCATCGTAAGCAAAACAACAATACAGACTATGCTACCGTACCAAGATCAGTCTCAGTAAAAGAAATTAAAAGATCATCCAATGCAGCTGAAGAACTGGCAACGATGGTCATGGAACAGAATAATAAAAAAAGGAATCAATTGCCTCATAATGAATTAGATCGGTTCAAGATTCTCAAAAAGATTGGAGAGTAAGATCTACATAATTTCTTGATGACGCAGGCATATTCACGTTGTTTGTTGTAGTGGTGCATTTTCAAACGTCTATGCTGCTCGAGATATAGTAACAGGCAAGAAAGTAGCGATTAAAGTAGCGCAAAAGCCAAAAGCTGGAAAAGTAAGCTTTTACTTTTTATTAAAAAACATATAAAAAGTAATTCATTGATTAGAATAATGGTCATCGACACTTACATTCAAGTATCCAAAAGAAACCAAAGGCCACTGAGGTATATAATATAAATTTATACTAGTTTATTGTTATTGATGATATCATCGTTTGCTAATGCTACTTCTTTTTGTTTTCGTTAGCGTGCTAGCATTCTAAAAGAAGTACAGATCATGCGAAATATTCGACACCCAAATATAGTGCAGCTTATTCATTATACGGAAACAAAGGATAATTACCTCCTTACCATGGAGCTCTGTGAGGGTGGTGAACTATTTCACCAAATTGTTAAATTAACTTATTTCAGTGAAGAGCTCTCTCGTCATGTCATAACTCAAGTAGCTGCTGCCGTAAAATACCTTCATGAAGAATGCGGCGTCGTACACAGGTTTGTTGTAGAAGAAAACAATAAAGTGAAAAAACTAATCCCATATGTTTTTTTTTTGTTTTTGTTTGTAGGGATATCAAACCTGAAAATATCTTGTTTGATCCGATACCCATTATACCTTCCAAGCATCGTAAGCTTCGTCCGACAGACAATGAAAGCAAGATTGACGAAGGAGAGTTCATCAAAGGCTACGGTGGTGGTGGTATCGGCCGAGTGAAGCTGGCTGATTTTGGGCTTTCTAAAGTTATTTGGAACAATCCGACATTCACCCCTTGTGGTACCGTAGGCTACACTGCTCCAGAGATCGTATGTGACCAACAGTACTCTAAATCCGTTGACATGTGGGCCATTGGCTGCGTGCTCTATACAATCCTATGTGGTTTCCCTCCGTTCTATGATGAATCAATTCAAAGCTTAACAGACAAGGTCGCAAGAGGCGAATTTACTTTCCTGAGTCCTTGGTGGGATACGATAGGCCGTAGTGTGAAAGATCTGATACGTCATCTACTTTGTGTCGACTCTAAAAAGAGACTAACCATTGACGAATTCTTTAATCATCCTTGGATAACAGAGAAGGAAGAAGGTACTAAACCAAGCACAGGTTTGCAGCCTTCTACCCGAGAACAGATCCGATTGAACCAGGCGCATAAATACCAACCATACTGCCATGGAGAACAAGAGCTTACTCCACCAAAGGATCAAGAAGATGACACAGTCATGGTCGAAGCGCCCTATTCAACACCTGATGCTGCTACTCTGCGTGAAATATTTGATGTTACCTATGCCGTGCAAAGAATGGGCGAAGAGCAACCAGATGCAAAGCATCATCATAATCAGACACATCACGAGCAATCACTGAATAAAACAGTAGCTAATAAACATGTACCGGTGCCACAGACCCAGCAAAACCAACACTTACCCATTGCCCAGAAACTTGCACAGCATAGTCGAGGGGTGGCAAATCCAATGCATTATCAACACCAGCAACAGCCGTACCCTCACCAGTCTGGAGCAAGCCCTGTGGCAGGACCTACACTAGCACTGAATGAGTTCAAGCTGGATATGAATAAGGCGACCTTATTAAAAAATCGTAAAGGCATGATGAAAGCCCAAGTGTAAATTTCCTTTTTTGTACAATAAACTTTGTGTGTGTAATTATCGGTCATTAAAATTTGAAAGTGTTTGTTCATGCAAACGTCTTGTTTTTCCTTTTTCTTTTCTAAAAGAACATGAATACTGAAGTAAGGGCGCCTGGAGAAAAGTTTGATATAGAAGAACATTCACTGTCTCATTACATAGATGCAAGGTATAAGCAGATCCTTGGCCGTCATGACCATTACTTATTTTTTTCTTTCTTTTACAGTCAACTGGGATCTCGAGCTGTAGGAAATGACAATAGAATGACAAAAGGCAATGAAAGCCCAGAGCATAGACGCAGCTCAATCTCAACTGCACACGTAGAGTCTTCTCTTGTTGACCCTTCTAATGAATATGCCATATTCGCATACGATCAATTTGCTGCTTTTTGTGCGGACCTTTTATTGATAAAGCCAGTCATTGACGACACTGTCACATCATTTGCGACAAATGTACTTACAATCATAGCATCGCCCACATTTGATTTGGATATGCAAGAACTAAAAAGACGTATAGAACAGCTACTGCCGACAGCGTCTTCTGTGACAGATGAAAGTCCAAAATACAAGTATTGTCGAGGTGCAAAGCTAGCATGGTTGGACTTTGAACAGCTCTACAACATGGCTGAGCGAGTTGTAAACTGCAGTAAGGCCGGTAGTGGATTGACAATACTCGATGAAGATGATGGCGAGGAAGAAGATGAAAGTATTGAGACGCGCGATCAAACAAAGCGGATGAGTGTGAAAGGAGACGTTCAGTATATTCATCAGCCAGTTACCACACAAATCACAATGCGACAGACTAGAGAAGACGCTTATCCTAATTTTGTCGAGCACAACCGAGAAGATATGCCTTCTGATATGCAATATGATAAAGACATAACCCCGTTTGATAGCGAAGATGAGAATATATAGTAATAAAGGTTCATTGTGATCAATTTATTGCTTTTTTATTCGATTTCAGTTGTAAGATGCAGTTGCTCCATCTTCAACTGGTCGATTTTTGAAGATAATAGCCCGACTTTGTTTGACTCGAAAGAAAAAGCTGACTTGGCTGCTTTTGTTCTCTACAAAGACGGTCGTAGAAGTATATTTGGCAAAGAAGCGATGCAACAAAACAGTCATTAAAGAAAAGCTTGATTGGCTTACAAAAGTATATCAAAAATCATGCTCAATCAGAACCTACTGCTTCTTGTGATGCTGTAAGAAAGAGATCTACTCAGTGTAGCATCTGTATTGCATCTCGGAGGAGATTTGCACGATCACAAAATGGTATACAAGTTTATGTCAAAATAAGAGCACTGGATCATTTGCCAAATATTTGTACGCCCAGTTATTAAGAAAGCGCACTACAGGTGGTCGTGCTGGGCGTAAAATATTATACGTTGTGTAAGAGGAGGGTAGTGTAGTGCTGTAAAAATGCGCAATTGATAAACACTACTTTGTACTAATATTATGTTTGAAGTCTTTTTAGCGTATAATATTAGCAATTATCAAAGTAGATGCTAGAGTTAATCAATGAGCTGAAGACGGATGACTTTGAAATCAAAGAATGTTCCTCAGGATTATGGTCGTGCGCACAGTGTTGCCGATGTCTTAAGAATAATAAGATAAATATTTGTAACAATAAACGATATACAGTCCTCTTCCATCAAAAACCCCCTTTTTCTCTTTCGTGCGCTCTACCTTTACGTTTTTAAGACGAACTATTGAAAGAACTTTGTAATTGCTATTTGATCCAAAAGGAAAACATAGCTCGGATATAGCACATATTATGAGTACCGCCATTTGGCACCGGTGGCACTGTATCACCCTTTTTATTGTTAAAAAAAGGAGTAAAGAAATAGGCATGGCAGTGGCTCGATCTTGGCGCTTCGCCCACTCTGTGCGAATTGCAACATGTGTATTTTCGCTTCTTTAGCGATTCTATAACAAAGTAACTCTATCTAATCATCAGCTTTCATGTCAAACTCTAAAATTTTGAATAAGGTTTTAAAAAATCGTTCGAGTAGCTTTATACAAGCTTTTGTCGTGTTAATATAAAGTAAAAAGTTGTTTACATTTAAAAAACAATAACGGAACACAAAAGGTTGATCAAATGACGAAAGACTTGTTACCTCAAGGCGGTCTTGTAACCTTCTTTTTAAACGATGTAAGGAATGGGCTAGAGGATTATACGTGGGTTTGATTTATAATTAAAGGATCCTGGTCGTAGCAATAGTCGAACTTGCCCCAAGTTTGAGTTTTTTTTTTTGTCAACTCTCGTTAAATGGGTTCCTGGGAACAACTGTCATTTTATCGGAAATAGAATATATCGGTCTTTCTTCTTGAAAGAGCAAGTGACAACATACAAGGAAATGTAGATGAAATTGTGAGTATTTAGCTTTTATTTGCGTAAGTTATTATAGAGCAAATCCTAACACTTTCTTGATTCTATTTCTCTTTCCGTTTTCTTTTCTTTCCTTTTTTTTGGGCGGAAAGCTCATTGAAATGGAAAGTTGTGCCACAATATAAAAGGGGGAATAAAAAGGGTTTATCTTTATTACTTGTACCTTCCGAAATAAATTATTAGACAGTCAATCGCTAAAAATTTTGAGAAAGCTTAGGCAGCGTATAATTGGAGGCATATTTTATTTTGCTATTAATTGTCTGTACAGCCAGACAGGCGTGTTGAGTCTTGATCTCCCCGTCTTACTTCTATTAGGACTTGTCTGTGAGCAAGAGATAAAAATGCTTGAACAAAGAGGCTTTTTACCACATAGTTGTTTAAGTCGAATTCACTGATTCGCTCCTTTCATTCGTAAAAATAAGTACATGCATCACTATTTTATTAATAACGCTTACTAGTTCGTATAATGGCTTTACTAACTCAGGTTTTCAAATGTTTTTAATATTTGTTTTTAGAGAAACACTACATGCACCAGAAAATACACCAGAAGCTAGACTAATTCTACGTGCGCTATCTCCAGATATTACCTATGATGTTGTCCAACAAAACTTTTCGTCATTTTCGTTTGTTTATTTTCAAGAAGAAAAAGAGATAAAAGAAATGCTTTTATTTATTTATTCTAATTTTATGTTGTCAGTCTATCAACAAGGTAACAAAGTCATTCACATGTGTAATTATGATAAATTCATATTTTGTATCAGAGAGGGTGAACTAGACAGCCTTAGGTTAGGCAAAAACTTTAGTTATGTGAAGTTGTATAGTGTCTCTACATGTAGTGCTTTGAAGAAGCGTCCGCAGTGTTAGCTTGTCTTCTGGTGCATGTACTGTTCACCTTGTTTTTATTATTATAGCGCGATTTGTATATTCATATGCAAAAAGAAACTGTTGGCACAAAATACTTTAGAAAAAGAGCCTGAAGAAGCAAATCCAAGAATAAAGGTGCTATTACTAAAGTACTCATGAGTTTCTTAAAATGTGTATAGAAAAAAGGAGTAGGCTACTATATACATTGGCAACATCGTCATAACAAGGCATTATCAGGACAGTCTCAGTGAAAAACTGAAGGCATAAAAAAAAGATATATTACAGCTCACATGGTAGGGGAGTAAAGACATATAACCTTTTAATGACTATATCGGATGCCTTAAATGAATATTATACATTATGACAAGGCAATGCTCACAGGATATATTAAAGGCTCTGTGATAATCTCTTGAAGAACGTCCAATGATATAATCAAGGTCTTATTTGAGAGGTTGCAATGATATCAACATCTAAATATCTATTTGATCAATCGGCCGGAAATCTCTTGGTTCCCGTACACAAGGAAATGTCTGTTTCCTTTCTTGAGGCACATAACAAATTCCCATATATGGTAAATGCGTGTATCACTTTCTCTTCTACAGTTTGCCGCCCTACACTTAGTATCACATGTACTAATGTCAACAAAGAAAAAAAAAGGAGTTGTATTATGTTTATTTTTATTATCGCTAAAAAAAAAGTTTAAAAAGGTGCCCTTGTTAACTTTTTCTTTATTTTCTTTTCTTTTTTTTTCACAAAGTACAATGTCTGTTATAGTAACTAGATCCTGCGATATAATTCGCCATGGTAACCATTTTTCTTCGACATCATTACTATAATTATTTATTCCTCTTTTTTTTTTTAGACGCAAACCATGAGGCTATCGTCGACATAAAACGAAAGAAAGTTCCCCGATTAGGACCATTTTTATTATTAAAGACACTAGGTGTAGGCGAGTTTGGTAAAGTAAAGATGGGAAAACATATAGAAACAGATCAAAAGGTTTATTTCAATAATGTCCAATATCATCACGTGGGGTTTTAACCTGAGTCTTTTTAGGTAGCTGTCAAACTTGTAAGAAAAGACCATATTGATTCCTCGAGCCAATTAGAAAAGATACGCATGGAAATTGAAATATTAAGAGTAAATAAGACAATAGATGGAATGGAGAGACCTGCAGTTCTGACGTACTTTATGTATAGACTTTGAATCATCCATACATAGTCAAGTTATTAACTGTAAATGAGACTGATGCTTGCATAGGCATAGTTTTGGAATACGCTGAAGGTACCATCATTTTATCCAGGGGAAGACGTCATTCAATTATTAATTGCACGTTGTTATATAGGTGGCGAATTATTTGAGTATATTTATAGACAAAAGTATCTGCAGGAAGCTGAAGCACGTCGACTTTTTGCTCAATTGATAAGCAGTATTTACTACATGCATGAGAAGAACATCGTTCATCGTGATTTAAAGCTAGTAAATGTCCTTTTGTACTTTTTTTTTACCTGCATTTACTTACTTTTAAACATTATAGGAAAATATATTACTAGATGCTCAAGGCAATCTTATTGTTACAGATTTCGGATTTGCCAACCAGTTCTCGCCAATTACAGGTGATTTGATGTCCACATCTTGTGGTTCTCCTTGCTATGCCGCCCCTGAACTTGTTATGACGGGAAATTTATACTCGGGAAAAGCAACAGATATCTGGTCTAGTGGCGTCATTCTTTATGCTATGCTGTGTGGTTATCTGCCATTTGATGATGATATCAAGAATCCAAATGATAATGTTGGTCGCCTTTATCGATATATCATGGTCAACAAACCCAAATATCCCCATCGTCTATCTGATGACGCCAAGGATATAATTGGAAAAATGCTCGTGCCAGATCCAAGCAAGCGATCTAAAATTGAAGAAATCATGGCACATCCTTGGTTATACGAATACGCCGATCTATTCTCTAAATCAATAGAAGAGCTCGAAATGGAAGCCCAGTTGGTCAAGCAAATGCTCTTGAGACATACCTTGTCTCCTGAACCTAGTTGTGGCAATAGCGAATACTGCTCAAGTTGCTGCGAGAGTAGAGTATCTAACATTAGCTCTTCATCTTCTTCTCTTGCGTCGTCCTCTTACTCATATAAAGCTAAAAATGAAATTGACATTGGAACCATTCAAGAACCTACAGAAAAAGTCAATATTGAAGATCCTATAAAAGATGATCTGCAGGAGGAAGAGCAGCTATCACAGCAGCAAAAAGACCAAGTTATAGACAACAGCGATGATGATCTTGTTATATCTCAGACATCGAGCAAAAAGGAGCACGAGCCTATAGAAATAGTAGAAGAATACCAAATAAAGCAAGAAGATGAGATAGAAGATGAAATAATACCGATAGCTCCAATTCGTCATGATAACAGCTCAGTACATGCGACACAAGTACTTCCCACAAACGATCAAACAGGAGTAACAGCACCTCATGTAGAATCTGAGGATTCAAAAATACAGAAACAATCGTCACTAAATAAAACAAGCAACACCAATGTCAAATCAAGCGTACAAAAAGAGCGAACAAACAATAAACCAAATCCAGGAAATACTTCGCTTAGAGCAAAAATTTTCTCAAGTGTACGTATCCGTCCTCAAAAGCAGTCGAAAGCCACCAAGCAAGACAAGGGAAGCGACGTGAATAAAGAAAAGACGATCAAACAAAAGAACAAGCGAAATTCATGGCAAGCGCTTATGCATCACGGTCATTCTTTTGAGGTTCCTGCACCAACCCCACAACAAACAAAAAGCACTGGCTTCATATCTTGGTTGAAGAATAAGGCTCATCATAAGAACAGTAAGTTTTTATTACTTGACGTTGATGTTTGTTAACCTTATTATATAAGAACACTGCGATGCTTCAAGAGATGTGAGTTCCTCACTGATACCTAATTACTCAGGCTCTTTCTCTAGCAAGAGCGTCACACCGTCTACTTTTACAGATCTAAGAGTATATACAGGCGCATTGAATCAATTAGCACTTACCTCCAAATCACCAATGGAGGCGTTGCTAGAGATTACAAAAATATTGGTAATCTTGGGTATTGACGTAGAAAATGACGGGGGTTACAAGTTGATATGCACCAGACGAGCATCAAGTAGTGCAGCCATTTATGGTCACTCAGAGATTGATTCAGGAGAACAAGTCCAATTTGTCATCGAAATATGTAGCCTTAAAGATGTATTTGGTCTGTTTTGTATAGATATCCAGCCTTTGAATAGCGATAATGTGTATCAATTTATTGGACAAAAGTTATTAGACCTATTGCATCTGGGAGGAACTATAAAGGGCGCAGGATATCATGAAGCTATCCTTCAATACAATGCCTCCAGTTCCAAATGATGGTTATTTTAAATTTTGGGAATAAAAGAGTTGTGTATAGTTTGCTTCAAATATCTATAATATCATCACGTTCAACAGCAGCTTTGACTATCTTTGTAATGAAGCAAATTATCAAAATAATTTTAGGTAGCTGCTTCATTACAATGATATTTTTTCATTTTACTAGAATCCCATAAATATTTGAAGTTGTGTTTCCCATCAGCTATTCATTGTAGCCTAAAGTTATTTTATCATACTCTTCACTAAAGCTAACTGGACAAACATTGCCTGATACCCTTTCAAGGCGCCTTAGGAGTCTTTTTTCATTGCACGCAATGGTTTGCTAGGTAAATGCGATTTTTATCTTGAACAATAATGCATATTCTTTTCCTTGCATTAAGTTTAATAAACATACGTAACTGATACGAAACTAGTCATTTTAGAACAATGCCAAAAAAAAGCAATGATTATGCTTTACTAGGCGATGACAAGCCATCTTATGAGGTTATTCATGTCATCATTACTTTAAATAGCTTTATTCCAAGCCCCTCTTCAGCCTCTCTCATCAGGACATTGAAAACTGGGTGTTAATTGATATTATATAGAGAGCTTCTTTATGAACTGTATGTGAAACATGTACGTTAAAACGATAACTTTCCCATGGCATGACCAACTATCTTTTAACCGGTATAGTTTTCTGTATTTTCTTTTTTAACATTCTGGCAAAATAATTAAGAGAATAAGCTAATTGTACAAAGACATGGACAGTTCAAAACAGTCCTTTTCTTAGATAAGTACATAATTGATATTTCTTTTTCCCTTTTTTACATGTGTTTGCGTGATGTGATGCTGACATACCATCGAAGGGTATTTATTCCGAGGATAAGGGACCAAGGATATCGTCTATAAAAGTTATCCGCGGAATTGATTCTCCCCTTCCATGTGCCTAGTGCTCGTATCAAATACGGACTGAGCTGTGCAACACCACGGACGCGGCTAGATTTCATTATTTTAAAAGGTGACACTGGTGTAATTATTGGCATGACAATGGTCAACCATGCCTGACAGATCAAGAAATTGGAATGATATTAAAATAACTTAAAGTTAAGCTTAGAATCCAATATGCCAATAGAAATAAAAGAGGGAGAAGAATAGCAAGGGGAATGGTGTCATATCCATATGGAAAGTTGAAGGCTATTTGATAACTCGTTTGCGGCAGTTAAAATATGCTTCTTTATTTAGCAACTTTCTATTTTTTTGAAAATCCTCGCTTATAAAAAAAGTAACAGAGAAAAGATATCAATTCTTTTTTCATAATCCCCTCCTTTCCTTCATGTCAGCATCTGTTGTCAAGCAAAGTGTTGCCAGCAAAGATATTCAGCCAAGACAAAAGAGATTCAAAGTAGGAAAAGCATGCTTTACTTGTCGAGAGAAGAAGATCAAGGTGGGATTAAGATAAATGTAATTCTCCTAGGAATTTAACAATAATAAACTTCCATTAGTGCGATGGAGTTCAGCCTTGTATGCAGGTAAAATAAAAGAAATAGATATGGAGGACGATATTAACTTTGTGTATATTAAATAGTGTAAAGGTAAAGTGGACAAGTTATAGAATCAATCTGTATCAGAATAATAATAATATAATAATAATTAAATTACACAGCAAGAAAACGACCTTGCACATTTTCCAAAGATGGAATGTTAGATAATAGTGACCATATTGCAGACGAAGGAGAAAAGAGTGACCATGTTAAGAAGAAGATAAAGACAAAGAATAGCAGCAGCAATCATAGCAGCCATAGCAACGATAGCAACCTTAGCCATGGCAACAGCAGAAGCAGTAATGCGAGCACTAGTACCAGCAGTAGTAGTAGTAGTAACAGTAGCGCTAGTAGAAGGAAAGGCAGCAATGATGATAATAATAATTCTATCGATAATCCAACAGAGAAACAAAAGACAGTTGACATATTGGATAAATTAGCTAACCTGCTACCAGGTGAAGGGAAAGAAGGAAAGTGGGAGATTGATGATGGCCATTTGAAACTAAGAGGACATCATTTTTATTATAATAATCCTGCAGAAACAAATGATGATATAATAGAAATGCCTGATAGAACAGTACAAAAAGAATTAATCAACTTGTATTTTAATCATGGATATTCTGTATTCCCTATTCTTCCAAGGAAATTGTTTTTGAAGCAATTTGAGATGGAAACAGATCAAGAACTGATGCAGCCATTATTATTATTTGTCCTATTTGCATTTGGAGCACAGTATAAAGGAAAAAATAGTACGGAGACTGCAGACATCTACTTTAAGCAAGCAAAGCAGTTATTGGACAAGGCATTAAACTATCCAAGGCCAAGTACAATCATTGCATTAGCCTTGATGAGCTTATATGATGGAAACTTTTTTGATAGCAGAAAAAAGATATACAGTTCAATCGCATTTCAAATGTGCTTTGATCTAAACCTGATGAAGGATTACAGTGGAGATTATATTATCGAAGAGGAAAACAACATTGAGATACTTGAATTAAGGAAAAGAATCTGCTGGGGATGTTACTATCTAGACAAGATAATACATATTCAATCAGGCCAGCCTTGGATGATTCGATCAAAAGACATTGAATTGGATATGCCACTGCTACAGCCAGGGGATGATATCACTGAGCATGAAATACTGGAAGTGTTTGTCTCTAGTATGAAATTGATGCAGATTGGTGAAAGGCTGATACAGAATGATCAACATATTATTATTGATAATATACATAATGAACTATTGCATTATCTAAGATCATTACCACCTCACTTACAATGGACGACTACTCAATCTATTATACCACCTATCCCACCACCTCATTCACCGAGAAACTCAATGGTCTGTCAATTGCATATACTCTATAACTTGATTGAATTGATCATATTGAAGCCTTATTCAACGAGCTACAAGCAGAGAATTATCACAGTCTCAACCAATCTGATAAGACTTATCACACTGTTAACAGAGAAGCCAAAGTGGATCTTGAATTATCATTTTATACTATCCACTTTGATTGAATCCATCAAAATTCTGTTAAAATACTCTGCTTGTGAAGTATTGACGATTGCAAGGCATTCGAGATATATGTTTCAGCAATCCATTCAGTTACTACAATTATTTTTGTATGCAAGGAATAGTTTATATGCCACTATTAATGAGTTTGCTACCAAGCTGGATGCACTCCTACTCTCTACCAATGCCAATAATCTCAATCAACATCCATTACAGCAACAGCAACAACAACATCAGCATCAGCAACAGCAAAGTCAGCAAGACATTTATGATTTATTAAACCCATTTATATTACATGATAATAATACGCCATGGTCTATTGATTTCTCAACTATCAAGACCAAATCCTACACGACCCCTTCTGTTACTGCACCATCTTTTACTCCACATCATGATCACTTATTCCATACCTCTTGGAGAGCCGCAATGACCATTCCTGATAGAATTCATTATCCATTTGCAAAACTTCATCTCGACTTTAAGCCTACTGCCACTACGCCTACACCTACGCCTACGACAACGACAACAACACCAAATAGTAATAATACTAGCAGTAGTAATACTAATACTAATAATAACTATGCCCAACATCATGACCTATCAACAGATCAACTTGCCGCTCTGGTTGCTCAAATACAAGAATCAAGCGAAAAAGATAATGGCAGTTCAGCTAGCAATACCAGTACTCCCAATAACGATGATTTATTGTTCACTCTACTATCTGACACACGTCAAAAAGATCATCACCCACATAGACAATCATTTTCTCATCCTTACATGAACGTTGGTCTTGGCATCTATGCTTCTGCCCATCAACACCATAACGATGTCATTCGTCAACATATGCCTGATTCTTCAACTAGACCTGTCTTGCTAAGTCATCAAGGTCAAGCCATTGTAACAAATACAAATGATAATAAAAATAAGTGTTGAATTATTTTCTTTTCCTTTTTTTTTTTTCTTTATGAGTGAAACGACAAGAAAAGAAGATTTTAGACAACAAAAAAAAAAGACGAGAAAACTAAATCAGATAAAAAAGGGTTATTTAACTGTATTTTCTATTTTTTTTTTTTTTTTTGTATCTTTCTGCTATGCTAAGGAGCAGTCTTCATGGTGTTTTTTCTGTATATAAGCCAAAAGGCTGGTATTCAAGAGAAGCAACAAATTATGTTCAGCATGCCTTATCCAATGAGATTCTTGGTCGAGAAAAAAGTAATACGCGATTCAAAAGAAAAGAATTGATCAAGATTGGCCATGGAGGAACACTGGTAAATTTGATTCTTTTCCCCTTTTTCTTTATTGATCATTAATCATGTATAGGATCCAATTGCAGAAGGCGTCTTGGGTAAATTTGTATTTCTTTTGACTAATGAAACCTAACAGGCTTCTTTCTAGTTCTGGGTATTGGAAATGGGTGTAAGGAATTAACCAAGTACCTAGAAGGAAGCAAGGTAAGAAAAAAAAAAGAGAGAGAGGACGTTTTGTTTATATCATTACAAAAAAGGAATATATTGTTACTGCTAAACTAGGTCAAGCAACAGATACATACGATGTAGATGGAAAGATAGTCAAGGAAGGCAGGACTGATCATTTGACATCGAGCTTAGTTAAAGAAACACTGTCTACATTCAAGGGCCAGATCACACAAATTCCACCTATGTAATTCGATGAAGAATATTCAATATGTACATAGACTCATCATAATGATAGATATTCTGCATTAAAAATGAATGGAAAGAGGCTATATGACTATGCGAGAGAGAACATACCATTGCCAGAGGAAATTAAGCCACGAGTAGCATTTGTAAAGGACATTGAGTTGCTGAATTATGGAAATGATACCTGCGTATTTAGAGTTGAATGCGGAGGAGGAACTTATATGAGAAGTATAGTCCATGATATGGCAATCGCAATGGGGACCTTTGGACATATGACAGCATTGAAGAGGACAAAACAAGGATTGTTCACTCTAGATGATACATTGCCATTAGACTGGGAGAGTATATCTCTAGTAAACGTAAAGAGTAAAATAGAAGAAAAGCAACAAATAGTTAGCCTACCGAAGTCTTGATGTTTAAATGAAAAAGATATTGCGTCAAATTGTCATTGTTTATTTATTATCTCTTTCTTCTAACGCACGTAACAGCATTTTAATTCTATATTCTGCTTTATCATTGGCTGTCTTAAGTTCTTGTATTTCTTTCTTTAAGCTTTGAACTTCTGCTTCATTGCTGGTATTATTGCTACTATCTTGTTCTATTGACAATTTAGCGCCAATACAATCTAATGTCATTGCACTCACCTTTTGTATTTTTATTGTTGACTATTCGTTTCAATTGCTCTACTTGTGTTTGAAGAGCCTTAATAGCTACGTCAACTGGAGTATTGCTTAGATAATGTTCCTCTTCTAAAGTCATTCTTATTGTTGAAAAAAAAAAAAAAAAAAAAAAGAAAAAGTAGTCGGCTTGACTTAATATTAAAACTCATCAAAAAGATAGTGACAGGTCAGTTCACCGGGTTTATGAAAGTAGGCCTGACCAATACAAGAAAAATGAAGTGTATAGTATTGAAGAAAGAAAAACAGGCTCTAAAAGCCACATGAGGAGCCAAGTTCATAATATAAGCAAAGCATCGCTCGTCTTGGAGAGATCAGCATGGCTTAGAATACTTGAATACTTTATAAAAGATAATACTTATCGCCTCTCTGAAATTAACGAGGTCATCGGAATAGAAAAGGAAGGGTAAAGTATTGTGATCTTTTTTTTGATCTTCAGCGCGTAAGTCTACAATTATAAAAGTAGATTGTTCCCCTTGAAGACTTCAGATAAGCCAATTACTGCTGTTTGATACATCTCTAGTTATTGAATGCTGAGAGATACTATTTCAATCTTTTGTACTGTTTTTCTAAACTCTGCATTCACTGGCTTTACATTAACATAGGTCAATGCTTATTAGAAGGCGTTGTATGTTCCCCTTTTTGAATATGTGGGGTGCATGAACGTCAATTGTGAGAAACGGATTGAAATTTCTCACGAATCCCTGCTGCATTTCAAATGAACTTATTTCGTTCTTTTCTCTCTCTTTTTTCTTTATTAAAACTATGGCTGTTGTCAAACTCACTCAAGAAGAAAGAGATACCCTTTTATCACCTTTGCTTTCCTCTGGCTGGAGACTCGTTGACAATAGAGATGCTATCATTAAAGAGTACATCTTTACTGACTTTAATCAAGCCTTTGGATTTATGACACGTGTAGCCTTGAAAGCTGATAAGATGGATCATCATCCAGAGTGGTTTAACGTAAGTGGGTCTATTAAAACATTACATCTAACTCACCTATCTTTGTAGGTTTATAACCGCGTCCAAGTCACTTTGAGTACACATGACTGTCAAGGTTTATCCAAGCGAGATATCGAACTCGCCAAGTTTTGTGATGAAGCCAAATAAGATATTATGTAAACAATAAAGGAAAGAGCATACTGTAGGTCTCTTTTTGTAAGAAGATATGATCATGTGTATTCATGGTACACTTTTTCCGGAAACTTTTTGTGCACACTCTTTCCAGAAAGTAAATTCACCTTGGTGGAAAACAAATGCAGTGAATGGCAAGAACAAAATTCATGTAGTACGAAAAATAAATTCGCCCTGGTAGAAAATGACTTCATCTGATTGGCAAGAACAAAGTTCATGTACGAAATGTAATTTCGTCTTGAAGAAAATAAGCGACTCGTGACGGTCGCGTTCTTTCATTTTTTTTCTTTTAAACGATTCCAGGTATTGTTTGTGTTGGCTTGACGCCAAAACACAAAGATAAAAAAAGGCGATTTTGATATGCACTATTAAGATTTCCCACTCTCTCAACGACCCACTCATTTTCGTCCAGACGCTCAAGGTGTCCAAAGGTGTCCAAAGAGCGCCCAAGAGTCCGAACCTCAGGTCCATTTTTCTTTCTCACCTCTCTGCTGTTATCATGGCGACGAAATCAAGTTCGACTGAAAGTGTATATGAATGCGAAGATTCATGCGAATGTGAAAAAAAGGTGTTCCGTTCTTCAAATGCCTTGAAATTACACAAGAATAAGTATCACCATGTTTCCTATATGTTGTATTCAGCTTTAGTGTTATTGAAAAAGGTTATTAAGTCGATGACTTGCGAATTAGATTATTAAGAAGAGCTGAATATTATTAAGTTTGTGGAGAGTTGGGTAGAAATCTATGACTGCTATTTATATTATTGTCGTTAGTATGATTATTTATGCTTATATTATTATTGTTATACTAGTAGCTACTATAGCTATTAGCATATTATATATTATTCTTATCAGACGCGATAGAAGAAAGTAGAATGTATGCTCTACTGTAAGATTATCTCATCAAACACGTCGCAACAGCAACTATTGTGTGGTATCTATTGAAATGTGGGCTTAATGATTTCTGGTTCAAATAGCGTTTGCCGCATGTATCACATTTGAGCTTTTCTGCATCAGAGACTGTCATGGCAATAAGCGAGGAAAAAAAAAAGTTTGCTTTGAATTCAATGTGAAAATTTCTACAAAACATTCAACGGGATTACACAGTCAAAAATTCACATCATCATTATTTGCTGCTTTCTCTGTTCGACAAAGCTGCTGCTATCCTGCTGCAATCTACCAGTGGAAAGCTTGTATGAGGTTTTCAAATCCGGTGTCATATGAAAAAACCATCATTCTTTTTGGGTTAACAACAAATCGATAAAATAAAGATCCTCTGAGTTTTGGCTAATAGATCTCTTCAATCTGGCGAAGAGAGTGTAATTAAAGAACTAAAAGGACATAGCATATTTTGGTAAAGAGACTCACACTGTACTGCCCTTTTTAAGAAACGGTTTGTTCAACTGCTTTACTAAATTTAGCAAAGTCAAGGGAATGTTTTTTCCAAGATTCGATTGAGATGCAAAGAATCTATAATATAATAACATGTCCTTTGTTATATTCTTTTATGAATACAACAAGTAAAATATGAATTGACGCGTTTTTTTTTCTTTCCTGATCCCTTGCCCATTTCCATATTAGATAGGCTACACAAATGAACAAATTAAGAAATAAGGCACGAATGAGATTTTACAAAGAGATTTGAATAGACGGGGATCGTTTAGCAATATATAAAGCTTAATTTTGAGCCTAAAAATAAAAAAAAGAAGGTCAATATGAAAAATGAGGCTTTGTTTACAGAGAATAAAAAGAAGAATATTAATGTGTTATTAAATTGATTATTAAAAATAAAACAAAATACTCCATTTTAGTGAACAGATTCTTGTAGTAATTATAAACTGTACGCCTACAAAAAGATAAACAGATGCAATGTGTATATAGACAAAAAAAAAAAAAAACGCGTGCGTTATGTGATGAATAAACAATATAAAATGTTGTCAATGAGATTGACTACATTTCTGTTATTTCCATCTTTTTAATAATTGTAAAAAAGAAAGAGAGATTTCACTTTCTCTTCTTTCTGAACAGTAATTAAATTAAATTCAACAACAATAAAACAAAAGAGAAAATAAAAAGGTCATTTTACTGAATAAGGAATCTATTGTGCCTATTCTTGACAACACGAGGTAACAAACCCAATGTTTACTTTGTGAGCCTATAAACACAATGGAAATAGCGGAAAGTGAGTATTAGTTCAAATGCAACACAAAATCAATACTTGTCCTACATCAGACCTTTTTTATATTCACTTCACTTACTTTACTTTGCCCTTTCTTATTTCTCTTTTTCTCTTTTTCTTTATCTTTATCTTATTCAACCCCCTTCCTTTCCCTTTTATTCTAATTTTGAGAGAATGCAATTAAAGATCATTTCATTGGCCACCCTTGGCCTCTTGTTCCTTACGTCTGCAAAGTTTGGTGTTCAAGCCGCAGATGAAACAGATTTAGTTGATGGTCAACAACTCTCTGATACTTACCTTTCAGCTTTTGCTAACGATGAAGAAAATGACGACCTTGATTTTGAATTGTCAGATGAGGAAGTTCATACTTTGACTAAGCGTGCTGATAGCTGTGCCAAGTACCATACAGGTATTTTTATTATTATTGTTAGTATTATTTTTTTTTATTAATATATTCATCTAGTTGTCGGCAGCGATACTTGTATCTCTATCTCAAAGAAGTATGGTGCCTCTCTCAACAATTTCTACAGTTGGAATCCTCAAGTCAACAAGAGCTGCACCAACTTGATTAACGGAAAAAAATATTGTGTCAAGAAGGGCTCTTCTTCTTCTTCCTCTTCTTCTACAAAGAAGGCTGCAAAGAAAAAGTCTTCCAAGAAGAAGTCCTCCAGCAAAAAAGAAACCCGTAAAAAGATTCAAAGCCAATCTGCATTCACCTACTACTGGATTGCTCAGCCTAATGATTACAAGGGCGGCAAGAAGGTCGCTGTCAAGACCTGTAGTGGTCAAACCATTGGATCTGTCTCTGAAGACTACGCTGATGCCCTTGTCATGGAGGGCACTGGTGTTGTTGGATCCAAGATTGTCAATCTTGGTGGCTGTACTTGTAAAGACTTTAAGTGCTTTGAAATGGTCAACAGAAAGAGTGATCCTTATGGCTTAACTTGTAAGCAAATACACAAGGTTTAATTTTACTTTACTAATGTATATTATTAGCTTATGGAACTCCTCTTCGTCCTTATGTCACTATTGCCTCTAATGATATCAAAAAGGGAACCAAGATTTATGTTCCTTCTCTTGTTGGATGGAAGATTCCTGGTTCTAAAAAGACTCATAATGGATGCTTACTTGTTGATGGTAAATTTATATATTTTAAACATTATAAACTTGTATTAATCTATTTTATATAGATCAAAGCTGGAGTTTCAAGGGTAAACATATTGACTTTTATGTTTACGCTATGGACAACTATCAAACTTTGGATAAAGCTCATCACTTAAACAAGGTTGATATCTATGAAGGTGGCTCCTGTAAACTCTTAAATTACATGTAAACACAGCCAATAATAATTGGTTTCACGAATAAATTTATTTTAATGTAACATTTATTACCCTTCTCATTTTCTATTTTCTGACTTTTTACTTTTTAAAGTAACCAAAAATGTCCTGAGCTCCCTACAAAGAAATGATTGAACAATAAATCTTTTTCTTTTTAAATATGATGCTTGATCACATTGCTATGGCAACAAATATTATTTAGTAAGCTTAGTCTTGGATAAAAATGTCCTAGATTGCATATGATCACATATATATTATGCAGAGGATTTTATAAATCAAATACCTACACAGTTCGAATGATTTGCTATTTCAACTGACAACAAAAACTGTCTAACGCACGAAATATAGAGTCACGTTACTTTACTAAATCATTCCCATTACTACTTTATAATTTTATTTTGAGAAGCAATTGGCATGTCTACATTATTATTACTATCATTATTGTTATTATTACTATCGCTGTTATTACAGGACAATGGTTTCGCCAAATGCTGTCGTAATAAACTCACTTTCCTTCTCCACTTCTTGCTTCTTCAACTGCCAAGACGTCTCCAGTACCTTTTTTGGTGCCAAATAATTTTCGTCCGACATCATAAACGTGCCCCAATGAATACCAATGGATAAACGGGGAAATCCAAGGTCACGATGAGCCTGAATAGCATCTGTAGGACCCATGTGTAAATGCTTCATTAACTCCATTGGCAAGTAACTTCCTATGGGTATAGCAGCTAAGGTAAAGGGTGCATACATGTTGCCAATGGCTTGAAACAGCTCAGGGGAGTAACCGGTGTCACCACTTATAATAATAATGGCTTAGTATTTCTCTATTTAGATGTGTATGAGCTAATCCGCGTCTTACCAAAAAAAGAAGCTGTGTTTTGTTGATTTGATCACAAAGCTACACCAAAGTGTATTGTTCTTTTCAAATGGTGTTCTTGAGCCACTCCAGTGCTACAAAAGGGATATTAATGCATATGATTTTAAATAACCGCCAAGTTTTACATACCATCGCAGGCACACAAACAATAGTAGTACCTTGATGGTCCACCTTTTGCCACCAATCTAGCTCGACAAATCTAGTAATGCCTCGCTTGGAAAACCAACGACCAAGACCGAGAGGAATATACCAAGAGACAGTGTTGCCCAATTTTCGAACTGCATTTTCATCTAGAATCATTCTTTAGTACATTGATTTGTATTTAATAGCACCTGCTTACCCAAGTGATCAAAGTGATCATGCGAAACAAGAACAATGTCTATTTTATCTATAAATTCTTCCAATCGACATGGAATGGGTCGTAATCGTTTTGGCCCGAGGTAATCGTTGATAGATCGTTTGCTAAACACCGGGTCTGTCAAAATAGTTAACCCTCCGATTGTTACGAGACATGTCGATTGTCTAGGATGAGATTAACTCGGTGCTCCTCTTTTATATGTATTTGTTTATATACCCAAGCCAAGTAAACGTTATCTTGTCGTGTTGTTTAAAGATATGAGTCAAACACGGTTTCTTGCAAGGTAAAGACCTATCAAGTTCAACTTCATTGCTCGGAATACCGTTTCCTTTCCATCGTCTTGACCAAAGCAATAGTGTCTTATAAAAAGGAACTTCCTTCCACTCATCAAAAGGGTTCAAAAAGAATTCATTTATCTATATGATTTTTTCATCAGACATTCCCACGACATTGAACAATTGCTTACCTTTAAGCTTGCAAATCTTTCTTCTGACTTTTGTAATAACTTCCTTTTTGAAATAGACATTTGTCTACATGTTTCTAAAGAGTGACGAGAAGGATGAACATGAAGGTAGGCTACGATGGCAAGTAGGATCAAGAGATAAATTGAATAATATAGATGAACAAAACGCACTGTGTAGCAGAGAAGCGTAGGTCCAGCTAACTTTTTAGCAATGCCAGTCAAGTTTCTTTTCATTTATAAAAAAGATAGAGATAAAGAAGGAAAAAAAAAAAAGGTCAACCTAGGCCCATTCTCGGCTTCTTATTCTCTCTCTTTCCCTCTCTCTCCCTTAAATAGATTTGTTTATTTTTATGGAACCTCTTTTTTTGGTATCTACAGTAAGACCAACGCCAAAAGGCGGATTTTTAAATAAAAGGGCGGGAGAGAAAGAATCACAAAGAGCGGGTTTTCACATGGCAGTTGACGGCTTATTTTTGTCAAGGCCAACATTACATGCATCAGAAAATAATGCAAGTACGATATCATCATAATTTATACGTAAGATTGGTGGCCTTTGCTGATCAAACTGACAACATAAAGTTAGAATAAAGAATTTCTTTTTATCCCTTCTTCCTGAAAAGAAACAAACCAAGATAGTGACTTTATAAAAGTCATGTTTAGCGTGACGCGACACATACAAAAGTTTTGTTGGAAGGTATCAAAGGTAATGGGTAAAGGTAGCGCGTAGAGTTAGTCTAACTTCTGGTTCATGTAGTGTTGGCCCCAAAATCGACTATACAACAAAATCAAAATACTGCGGTGACAAAACCAAACTAGTTCTAGCTGGCAAGTGTCACTTGAACAACATTGTTACCTCTTTAAAAAACCTACCTGTTCGAGCCATCTCCTCTTCGAAACTATCAGTTATACAAGTGATGGATTTGAATTGTCACGTATACTGTTTATCAATTATTGACAAAAATGTCTACCTTCTGCAAAAAATTCAATCCATATCTTACCCCCGTACCTTACATGAAATTAAATCTGGAGGTATTAAAAACCCAATCAATGGATTTTACGTAATACATGTAAGCTTCTACATACTAAAAATTAAAATAAAACCCGCCTTTTGGCGTTGGTCTTACTGCACATAAAATTGAAACAATAAACAGTTACATGTGTTACGCTTCTGTACACTTTATTTCAATAGGTGATTTTAACCTCTTCAAAAGTCCTTGGAGTATCTGGTCATCTTCAGTGAGAGAAGATGAAAAATACATAATCTGTCTATTCCGATCATCCTTTATCTTGCCCAGTATCTGACGCACTTGTACACCATAGCCGGATCTAAACATAGAATCAGCCTCATCCATCACAAGTATCTGTACTTTCCATAGCCTCAGCAGGTTAGGATGATCCGTAACAAGATCCAGCAATCGGCCAGGTGTTCCAATCAAAATCTGTGCGCCCTTCTTCAAACGATAGAGTTGATTTGGAAAGGGCTCTCCTCCAATGAGCAGTGCCGTTCGCATATTCTTCATACCGAGAGCCAGTCGCTGGCATATGGTCTCAATCTGACAACAGATTTCACGTGTGGGCGCCATGATTAGCGCATACGGCCCTGCCCGCCGTTTGTCACCGTCCCAAGTCGACAGGGATCGGCAGTGGACCAAGGTAGGGATCAGAAACGCGCCAGTCTTGCCTGACTTGGGTGGTGAAGCTGCAACGAGGTCTCGTCCGGCCAGACCTACCGTTACGGCCTGTCGCTGAATGCCTGTGGCCATTGTCCACCCAAGAGACTCGATGTTGCGTAACAAAGTGGGTCCTAGTATGGTCTCGAGCTGGTCGAAGGTAACCAAGGGCTTAGGAATGACTGTACCACTGACTTCAAGTGCATGTGCTTTCAGCATGTACTGAATGTGTGTCTTTGTCTGTGAGCCTATTGATTCTGGTTCTTGGTAGTTGGTAAGTTTGGCATGCAGATTGTCTGCTGCATAGGCATGCATCGCACCATGCTCCACATTCTTGATGTTTTTCTTTCTCTTTTTTTCTAGTCGCTTCTGGTTGAGATCGGTGTTGATCTTTTTACATTCAAGACTGACATGATTTAGTTTTTTGGGAAATTATAATTATGCATCAAACATACCTGCAAATGTCTTGGTTGGTATCACTGTTGATATATTCTGCATATTTGCCACATACAACACAGACTGGGTCGTTATCTTGTGCCAATCGTTGTTCTGAAGAAAACTGTTTAATGGGTTCTTGTTCTATTCGACTTGTCTTTGTCACTCTATTGTCCTCAAGTTCATTTTTTCTTTTTGACATTTAATTACAAAAGAAGAAGCATTAGTCATAACAAAAACTGTCCCTTTCCTCCCCTTCCCATTTTTCTCCTTTCTTTTTTTTTTTTTCTTGCCGCTCACTCCCCTTTTTTATTTTTTTCCCTTTATAAACAGGTTCCTTAATGGCCCTGTTTATTCCTTTTTCTTCTTTTTGTTATGGTTCAGCAAAGTGACGCAGAAACAGAATCACTTACCTTGACTGAAGATATTGTATTAAAGCAAGTCGTCAAGGATGATTCAGAATCAGATAAAGAACTCATCCTTTTTTCTCTTAATGAGTCACTTCTTATGCACAAAGAGATGGTCGAACGTGTGCAGAACGAGAAAGACGATGTTGAAGACGACTATGAACAAGAAAGACGGGAACGAGAGGCAAAAATAAATGAAGCAAAGAGAACATTGGAGGAGAAACAACGAGAACAAGGTCAGAAGCGAGACATGCTCGAGACACAAGCTGAACAACTCAAAAGGGAGCTCGCATCCCGAGAAACAGAATATCGACGTATGGAAAGTAAATTTCAATCACATATGCGATCAACGAGAGCGAGTGATGATGACGTCTCTACCATCCAAAGAGACCTGGGCTCATTGCTTCAAGATATCAGTGACCTTTGTGAAAAGGTCCCTTCTGATTTTGATCATCAGAGTATTGACAAAGAAAAGGATGCTGAGACGAGATGGCTAGTCGAGAAATGGGTGGTTCAGGTCATGATAGACGATATCTTGAACAAACCTATTCAACCGGGCGTTGTGATCAATAGCGCATTTGGAAGGATTTTTGAATGGGTCAAGAAACGAAATATATCCTGGGCTGTACGTATGAGACAGCAAATAACAACGTTTATAGTGCGACAATCCAATGACGATATTGAACAAGCCAAAAAGGAAATTGTAGAAAAGATTATGGTTGTTCTTCATTTTGCAGCACAGTCAGATATAGTCAATTTAGTAGATAGGGCAGTGAGGTTAAATTTAGCCTTAAAATGCCAAGAGGCCCTGGTTGAGATAATGCCTATTCAAGAAGGTGGTTCATTTGACTCACAGATAATGAACTCAGTGACAGAGGAGGAAGGATTGATTAGTCTGGTGATTGTACCTCCTTTTATGGTAAAAGAAGCGGATCATCGTTTTATTTTGTTAATTCCTGCCAAAGTGCATTGTGTTCCTTTTAAATAAAATTTATTGTAGCTCCGAGTCTCTCTCTTTCTTTCTTTTGTTTGCACACAGAAACAAATATGAATAAGGAAGCAATGGCAAAGTATGCTTTGAAATCACTCATGAGTGATTCACAAAGACAACAACAGCAACAACTACAATTACAACAAGAGCAACAACAGAGCAAGAAAAAGAATTGGTGGTGGAATAAACAACCAAAGCCAGAATCAATTCTATCTCTAGAAGAGCAAAGGGTATTAAAAAGAGTGAAATCAAGAGCCCATTTTCTCGATAGAGGCGTATCCTGCTGTTGTTTTCAAGTTGGGTTTGATGGCATTATTGGTAAACTATCAGTTCATTATTTTGGTATTTCATTGCTTATTTTTTGACTTAGGGTTTATTCCAGTCATTGGCGACTTCCTTGGTGTGCTATTAGCCCTCCAAGTTGTGCATATGGCTATGCAACTTGATATACCCAATGAACTAGTGTCCAAAATGATGTTTAACATCGCATTTGATTTTGTTGTAATGTTGATAACCCTTTTATATGATTTTTTTTTAACTTTTTATGTCTAGATTGGTTTAGTGCCTTTGGCTGGTGATATACTTGACATCATGTACAAATGTAACACCAAGAATGCTTTATTGCTAGAGAATTACCTAATAAAGCGTAGAAGGAAAATAATGGCCCATGATACAACAGTTACTACGTCTGCACCTGTCATTAAAACGACAAAATGATGATTATTACAAGGAGATATTTTATTATTATCTCTATTTTTTTATGAGAAAAAAAAAAGAGAGAGGGAGAGGGAATAACAAAAGGTATATATTATTACAAGGTTTATAATAAAAGTAATTAGGCATTAAAGAGTTTGTGTACGTGAGTAATCAAAAATTCAATCACTGCGTTCTTATAGCTCATGTCTGTAAGTTCTCTACTTGCATCTGTATCTCGCATCAGTGTAGGTCCAAAGACCATTGCCAAATTCTTGATCGTCATTAAGTTTTCATTATGATGCTCTTGAACACTATATATACATGATAAGAAACATGGACACTATTCATACATTGTGCTTACCGGTACAGATGCTTCATCAATAGTTCCAATGTGTCATAATTGACCTTGGGTAATTGTGATAACAGTTCATAAAATCTATCCAGTTTTTCTTGTAGGTCAGTGACAGCTATAAAACACATATGAGTTAAATTCGTAAAATAACGTAAACACAACTTACAGACGGCGTCAATAAACTTTGAATACAGTTGATGGGTTAATAGAGGATTAGGCAACTCTCTGAAATACTGTTTCAGAATACTTGTCACCGAGCAAATATCATTAATAAGTTCATTGTCTTCCAAATCAATCGGATTTTCACCCGATTCAAACGATTGTTGAATGAGCCTCATCTGAGTCGCACCACCTGATTTTCGATAGATGCCTTCATAATCCATACCTCGCTTTTCAACTGCTTGTATGCACTGTACAATAATAGATGGTACGGGTTTCTCCTCTTGTTGTGCTCTGGTGCACAAGTCGTTGCCAAAGAGAGAACTACCTGACGACGCCCGATTGTTGCTACAGTTATTGTTCAGTTCAAGATCTGTAGAGTTTAATTCAAGTGAGCTTGTTGAGTAGCACATGGCAGGTACATGAGGCAAGCAACGAGCATGAGTTGCGCACAGACACCCAGCACATCTGAGCTCAGACAGGCCCCAGAGCGTCTCTCCGCATCCATCACATTTGGTTGGCCTCAAGAAGGAAGTGGGTTGGAAGCTGTGCGACCCATGCTGTACGATGTTCTCCTGAGACTGCTTTGATGGCTTAACGTCTCGCTTGTCATACGGATGCAAACTGAAGGTGCTACTCGAAAAATGGTTTTGGCCATAAATTGCGACGGCAGGATCTTTATTCTTCCCACTTAGTTTCGAGAACATGGTCTTCTTCAACTTGAATCCCGGCTTGGGTTCTGGGCTTGTCGTCAGTTTTCGATTGTTAAAGATGCTGTTCTCTGATGATTTTCGTTGCATGGGAGTAACTGAGCTCGTTTCGGACGAGAGACTGGGTGAAGGTGAAAAATGGATGAATGATGTTCCTGCCATCACCGCCGCTGCTTCCTTTTCTCGTTCAGACATTCTTCGGGATAAATCATTATTGATTTCTGTCAGTTGTGCATTTTTGGTGTTGAGCATGATCATTTCGTGTAGCACGTCGTCTCTCACAGACTCTAGTGATTTTATATCTTGTCTCAAATGGTTTCTCTCTTGCTGGAGTGATTCGACTTCGGTTGATACTATCGACTTCTCAACATTTAGACTAGAGAAAAGAAAAAAAAAAAAATAGTGTCAGTAAGTTTAGTTTTTAGTCTTCTTCTTTCATTTCTTTACTCTGAACCAACTGCCGCTGCCTTTGCTACCAATGAGTTGATCTCGGCTAATAAGACGTCTCGATACGATTTCAGTTCGTCGCATGTCTTGTCCAAGTCAGCACGCAGCTTGGCTACTCTTTCGACCTCTTCTTTTGTGATCACGGCTAGTTCAGAGCGAGTCGATTTTTTTGATTGAGCAAAGATGGTCAATTGGTGTCTGAGCTGAGAGATTGTGTATTCATGCTGTTGACGAAGAGCCACCTCCTTTGTAAACTCTTCTTTTGCCCTTGTCAGTTCGTCCAGGGCCTTTCGACTGGCGTCTTTGATCTTTTGATAGTTTTGCTGCAGATCAGTTAGCTTCTTGGCGTAGGAAGCCTCGATATCCTCATGCATTTTTTGAAGTGGTGCCTCTGGGATATCCACGAGCGAAGATTCCAGATATTGAGATGCTCGTGTGATGTTGCTGTTGGTCGTGGGTGTATCTTGTGAAAAATCCAACATGATATTAGCGCCTAGCTTCTTGGTTAGGTTCAACAGTTCGGCAGATTCATTCTCAAAAAAGGAAAAAGAGAGCATCTCTGATGCGTCCCATTTCATGGTGTTGGATGAAGTGCTACCGACAGAAGAAAGAGGTGAATTGGGTGAAGACTTAGTAACAATGTCGGAGCGAGAAGGTGTAGGCTGATTTAAACGCAATTTCATTGGCATATCTGCTGAATTGCTTCGTGAACGTGATGGTGTAGGGGGAGGAGGATGCTTTGCCTACAACAAAACTATATCAATTATTTTTGCTATTTTCATATTCTGGTCTGCTCATAATTACATGCATTTTTTGTTGCTCCATCTGATCCTGTCTCTTCTTTTCTCTTCTCTTTTGCTTTTCAAGCTTTCTTTTCTCATGGCATGGTGCACAGTGAATACCCTAGAAGGTGTCACGAAATCATATGTTTAAATTAATTATATGTTCTACCTTGCTAGTTTGAGTAAATACTAAATCTTCAATCTTCTCCTTGCATGATACACACCGAAAGCACTCTGAGTGATAAGCTTCATTGCCTGATAAGGGTATGAGTTGCAATCGAATTTAGGTATAATTTCCTAATTTTTTACCCGTCATGATGGCCTCATCCTTTATCACTTGCTTGCACACATTGCAGCTGTAAGAACAATTTTCACATACAGGTTTTCCATTCGATAATAACAATAAATTTGATTCACAATCGATTGTTTCGGAGCATTTTGCACAGATAAAACTACTCAAAAAGGGTAAGCTACCTACGACAATAATCAAGATATAGCCATGGTTACCATTTAAGGTGAAACAGCGAATTTCCAAAGGCAATCACCGATCCTTCGTCGATCACCGTCTCGCAACCTGCGCATAAAGAAGGTGCCATGGTAATAAATAATAAACTTGTATCAATGTAAAAAGAATAAGAAAAGAGAGAAATTAATGAAAAAGGTAATAAATAGAATAAAGTAATACAAAAAAGGAACCCAATAGTTGTTAAATGGTCAAATTGGCGTTACAATAAAAAAACTTTTTTTTCGTTACCTGTTCTGCCTTTTTCTCCCCCCTTTACTCCAGTCTTTTCTATCATTTATTGTTATACCTCCCTCTTCATTCTCCTTTAGAATAGCACATGGTTTGGTGTACATTAGGGGATGGCAAAGTTTAAAGATGAACGAAAGTTTCTTTTTTTTTTTTTGCCAAGGCTTTCAATTTGGGTTGGACAAAAAAAAGAGCCTGCATGACAACAGGATTTACATGTTACTTGGATAAAGTGACACTGAAATAGTAAGCATAGTTCATACACAGAACAAGTAAAAAAAAAAAAATAGTGGAGAGCCTCCTTACTCTTCTCACGTTTTACCCATGCATGGACCCTGAATATCCTCACTGGCCACTGACAGAGATTGCCTCAAGAGTAGATGATAACAGTAGTGCTGTGACACACATAACTTTAGGTACTTTTTTTAGTAAAATTTGCTCCCCTTATAATTTACAAATATATGCATTGCTGTGTAAGCGTAATAGCTAACATACAGGTATGAAAAATGTCACGGAGATATTCTCCCCTTTCTTTTACTTCTTTCAAGATGAAAGCTGCTTATCAACAACTAGCCGCTAATGTATTTTACAACTAAAAAGAGAACAAGAAGTGCCATAGATTAGATACTTCCGCTCTTTTTTACATTGCAAAACAATTGTGTGCAATCTTTATGTAAAAAGGCAACAGTGGCAACTGGCGTATGCTCAGCAGATGAGACCACAGCCACACTCGTAAGCATATCCTAGAATAGATATTTGCCAAAAATCGGATTTACTACAAATTTGGAAAGCTTATTGTATTCATTAGCAAAGGTTACAAGTCAGGATCGTCAATGCAGTCACCTTAAAAAAGAAAGACACATTAACTTTATACTAATACTAAGACAATAAATTCTCTTGTAATCGCCTTGTTCAACCATATGATACCGGTATAACCTCTGCTACCAAAGGCTCTACTCCCTCCCCCTCTCCTTTCCCCTTGTGCATGTCTATGTTTAAACAGCATTTATAAAGATAAGCTTTCACGATGATCTTGTATATGTAACATAAAAAGGGATGCTCATGTATGATTCTCTTTCTATAGCAACATGATATATTAGGAGTGGTCTTGTGATAGTCATCTACTTTAATAAGTGTACGTTTGAGCTTTTTGATTTAAGCTGATTGTTTTTTTTTATTCATCACGTACGCGCGCGCGTGCACAACGCGACTTTAATTTTTTTTTTTCTTTTCATTGTTTCTTTTTGACATGACAATAATAGGATACAGAGAAGAAGTAAATATAATATATGCAAAACCTTTTTGATTCAAACTAATCAAGACAAAAAAAAAAAAGGCAGATGATGTTATTTACTTGAATTACAATTCAAGAAATGAATTAACAGAAGAGATACCAGCTAAACAATTGCTAGCTGCTAATCCCATTTTACTTGAATTATTCAACTATCAGCATGATGTCACATTAGAGACTCGAGTAGAAAAGAGAATTGATAAAGTGGAGTACATCCCAAGAAGAATGCAAATGATGATCGTTGATTATTTTGAAGTAAACCACAGTAAAGACGTTTTAAATAGAGAAGAGAGAACTGTGGTACTTATGCACACACACACATATACACAGTTAACGTTGGTATGCAATTAATCGAAAGCATGTTTAGCACTGGTAAAAGACCGCCCAGGTAAGAGCGCAAAGTAATCGACAAAATATTAACAAAGAGTGAATACAAAAGTGCTTTACTATTGGCCTTGGTCAACCTCATGTTACAACCTAAAGACAGCTTTAGAAGCAAAGAAACACAAGTTACACACTGGACACATTGTAAACAAGCGCATATGCTACTCATGGACATTTTGACCCTATTTGGACCAAATATATATAAGCCAGTATGGAACGAATTTATGTATTTTAATACATCGTGTTCTCAGCAGAGCATTGAAGAGGAGGATGAAAGCAGCCATTACGAACTGTTGAATACCAAGGAGCTGTCCCATTATTTTGATTTCTGGGACTATACGGATAAACTACTGAATCATTCGAGTTTAACATTGAATGATAGATGTCGTACACTTGTGCTCGACTTTTTAATTAATGTTCTGCAGGCAGATTTGAAAGAAAAGTTAAACGATGAGAAAAAAGTAGGAAAGTCAATCCTGTTTGGAACCCTGTCGACAGATTCTATGTTATCATGCACCAAGTTTGACAAATACCTTGATATTTTACTAAAGAATTATCCAAACAAGAATGACAACTTGACACAACTGGTTGGAAGCTTATTGAATATGGTAAAACCTACATGTCTTTATAGTAACCCACTAACGGCTTTTTTGTCTATAGTTGATAACTATATCCTGTTTTGAGAGGATATCAAGTTTCGACAGCCTTGTATCTCAAATGTATTCAAGATTTCAAAAAATGGACCCTGACACATCACTACAGTTTATGCAGTCGATTAAATACCCATCGTTTCTCATTGCGCTGCTAGACAAAGCTCTATCAGATACGAACATTTCACTTGTAGATAGTGCTCATAAAAAATTCCGCAATAAGAAGCATGTGCCACTACGTCTGGAAAAGGTCTTGTTCTACGTCCTAAAGACACAGCCCATCTCCTGTGACTCGATCGATGCGCTCTATAAACATGTTCTTATTGTGTCAAAATACTGTATGTGTGTGTTCTCGACTGCATCCATCTGCCATAAGAAGCGATCAGGAGAAAAGAATACGGCTCTATCAGAGGAGCAACTCATCTTGCTTATTGAACAACAGCACGCTTCACTAGACGAATGGGAAACACTTATTGAAGAGCTTTTGGCGAAATTCATTACAGCTGATTTAAATCTTATAGAAAAGATTCGATGGGCTATAAAGTTGACTAGGCTGACAATTACTGAATATGTTTGAAGAAGGTTAATAATTGAATAAAAATAAATTAAAAAGGCCTATGGACGCGGAATCTACCTGTTCAAATAGTCATGAGAAACTGAGGAAACTCCTTATTGGGACGAGGAGAAAAAGGCCCTGATCAATGTCTTGAAGAGGTGGCTCGACATGCAGCGGTTAAACCATTAAAGAAATCATAATATATTTGACATGACTTATCCATCATTGTTTCCATCTGGTAACAACCACTGGTGGTTTGGGAGGCCTGTGAGGAAGGCTACTCAGATAAAAGGAAAATGTGTCATCAATAGAGAAGGGAAGATCCAAGCGGTTGTGTGTGTAAGGTGACCATCGCCTATTGCCTACGGCTGAGGCTTACCTCAAGGGAACCAACCAAGACGTCATCGAATGTATTGACTTGTAGTATGAATGGCCATGAGTACTCATAGGATGGTTCCACAATCGAATTAAATATCGCTCGCTTATTTCGTGACTAAAAAGTAAAACAACATTCGTTACTACAGTGATAAACTGCTCTACCATCACATTGCTCCTCTCTAAGGCTTATTAAGTTATTCTTTTACTATTTTATCCATTTCATGCATTTATGTATTCATATTCTTTTTCATGGCTATAAGACCCTTTATCATCGTCCAATAAATCACACATTTGATCATACCTCTTTGATCATACCTCTCATTCATGATACGCAAGTATCCATGACAATAAAGTCATTAATTGAAGTATGTCGTGTACCTTAGTAACCCATCCTGTTTCGAGCGCCATTTGAAATAGTTTATGCAGACTTAGAAGATCCATTGCTTTACTATAAAAATGAACGTATAGTCATCAAACCTATTATAATCATAGTCGTCGCTAATGTTTGTCTGTATTTCACAAGCAGAAAGGAGAAGGATAGGGATATGACAACAGGGAATAGAGGATAAGCACTTTACCTTTTACCTTTTTTCATGTGCACTAAAAATAAAAACAAAAACATTATACACTCTTATGTTTTCCTTAGTCAGCAATTCAATCACCTATGTTTCATGCCTGATAAACAGGTTTTGATACATAAAAGTTGGGTTACTTGATTTTGGCTTTTTTTAACGAAAGATAATAATTCATCATTACTTTTATGAGACAAACCAGAGTGCTAACCAAATAGATCAATCGCGATTGGCTTTCTTTCTTTGATTGACAAATAATAACTGTAATGGAGTCAATTGCGTGTGTTCCACAGAATCGGCAGTCTAGTGCTCTTTGAGAAAAGCCTTATTTTTTTGTTTACTATCAGCTGCATTTTTAAAGATGCCGTCCCCTCTCAACCTTTTTCCTTGTACATTTAACTCTCGTCTTACTTTTTTTTCCCTTTTTTACTCATTCTTAAAGAAAACAACCAGAAAAATAAAAAGCATACATTGGAAATAAGAAAAGTGAAGCAATCATAATAAAAAAAAATTATATATATATATGTGTGTGTGTGTGTGTAAGTGCGTGAGGTTAGTCTTATGTAAACAAGCGGCATCAAAAGAAAAGGGAGGCGTGAAAATTATGCAAAGTAAACAAAACAAAAAAAAAAGGGATACAAGAGAATATTCCATATTCCAAACTAAAAAAAAAAAAGAGCTGCTCGGATTTGCTCTAATATGGAAAAAACAGAGAATGAGTTATTTATTTATGAATTACTAGAAAAAGATAGATTGAGAAAAAGGAGGAATGAGCTATATATTCTCAGCCTAAATAACATAACTCACGTAAACAGAACACTATAAAAGAAACCATCATTCTTGTCTTCTTTTCATTCTTTATCTCTTTTAAAAATTCTCTTATGCTTTTATTATTTCCTATATTGAAAAAGTACAATATCATTTGGGGTGATCTCAAAGTACATATAACTAATGCCATCGTTTAAAAAATACACTTTTGCTGGCTCTATTTCATGGTTTCTGATGCATCTTACTCTATCATTATGGCCACTCACGGGGTGAAGCCTTAAAGAAATCTCTACTACTCGCTAATGCTCAAAAAATGCTTTGCTACTACTTATCGATGCACTCAAATAATCAAATGCTTATCAATACCTACAAATGATTATCAGTGCCTGAAAATGCTAGTGAATGCCTGTCCATGCTTATCAACGTCGGAAAGCCCCTAAAGAATTTTGCTCATGTCTATCAGTGTCTGCTGGTAATGAATACTGCTCTGGAGTAACTACATATTCAAGTCCTGAAGTCACAAGAAATATAATCAATCAATCTACTTTGCCATTATCTACCAAACTCTATCAAGCTCTGCTATAGGTCACTGCTTCGCTACGCTGGATCACTCCGAGATGCTTCTATTGTTATGGCTCTGCCTCTACAGCTGATGAATGGTCCGTAAACCCTCCTTATTACTGAGCTCGATGATTGCGATGCTCCAAAGGTTCAATATTCCGATGTCTCCACGGTCATCACCCCTTTCGAAACGCTTCGTCCTAGGTACTTAGAAGTGCACTCTTTGTACGTTGAAGCATCTCTTTCGTTGAATTTACCGTGGTATGGTTTTGAGATTGACTTTTGATTTTTGAGATTTGAGTCTTGAGTATTTTTTATTCATGGAGGGTTTACACCGTGTAGTCTTCTGGCATGCAGTCTATGGTTCTAGCCATCTTGGGTTTGAAAGCTAGCGTTAATGTGGCCTTCTGGACTTATGGAAAGAAAAAAAGAAGAAATCTCTATTTGCTCTCTTGATCTGGCTATCAGACTATTGCTTACTTAAATAAAAACTTCATTTTATTACTCACACTTTGACTTTTTGTTCTTTAATCTTAATAAAACATATTCACTTGACGCGCTTTTCTTTGATAATCTAAGGAAACAGCAGTTTAACGATTTATTCATATGCATCATTATGAAGCAGTTTGAGGTAATTATCATTATACAACCTCACATAGGTAGTTTTCATTAGTGAGATGCCATATATTAATATCAGTCTGTGCAATTAGCTGATCTCTAATTACAAGCTCCTGGTTTGAAAATGCAAAAAAATTAGAAAGCGTAGTACGAGTTAATTTCGGTGCTTCCAAATGACAGTAGCAAAAGACTACTTAATAAGAATATAAGCTTTTCCCCCTTTTTCTCTCCACCAGTTTTTACTGCTGTTAACTGATAAAAAAAATACTCATTAATTATCAATCTTTATGTATATACTATCCTATATTTAACAGAGACAATTTACTAATAAAAATAAAAGCTGTCTATAAAAAGCACATCAAAGTCTCAGTTTCTAGTTGTTTAAAATTCACTCCTTTTACAATATGGAAATTCCCTAATAGGTATCACTTTGGCTAACGAACTAAGACTGTAACCTGGTATTTTATAACTTCTGTCGTACGGCTAAGAGAGTCATGATGGTCAGGTTGATCAGCTTGAAGAGATTTTTATTTTGTATAGATAAAACAACAACGACCATCTTTCTGCAAGACTAATCTGAACCAATTTTATATAAATAGATAAACAACATTTCCCCGTGAAGGCTCCTTCTGACATGCAATTTTTAGTAGTTATTTATTTTTTGAATAAGTATGAATTAAGATATATCTTTTGTGTATTCAACAGCAGTCAAGAATCAAAAAGTTTGATAGCCTTTCCAAAGAAAAGGCTGAAGTCCTTATTTACATATTCTATTTACAATAGGACAATTTTTTTTTTATAAATATATCAATTTAGTAGTAGTAGTAGTAGTAGTAGTAGTAGTAGTTCCTCTTTTTGTGTATCTAGCTCAGTTAGGAAAAAGAGAAGAAAAACCAGGCTGTCTTTCAACTACCAGTAATACGCATTTGCTAAATCTTTTAGTGTGTTATTATTGCTGTTGTTAGATGGCCCGCCATCTGCGCTGCTTCTGTCATTTTCATTATTTGACTGCAGATAGTTTATAAAACTTCCACTTGTTTTATTATTTGCTGCCGACGATGGTGCTGTCTCCCAGGGCAGCGGCACCCCTGACAATACGTCCACGTTTTGATCTGTGTGTATCAAATGCTGCTTTTCTTGATAATGTGATACTGACGGTGCTGAGGTTACAAGAGCGGCCTCATGGTGTGATGATTGGAACTGATCCCAGTCATCAAGCGAAGATTCCCAGTATGAGCCAGTATCATATTGCTTATTGTTGTTAATATTATTGTCAACTGGAATAATGCCAGGAGCTGCGAATGGATCCATTGTGATACTATTTATTCTTTGTGGCTGATATGGATTAGGAAGATTCACAAAGTCGGCACTGTTTGTCGTATACAGAGATTTACGGTCATCAAATTCTTCACTTTTTACAGTTGTTGAGCTTATCCGTCCACTATAGAGTTCATGAGGTTGCCAGGATGATATACTGTTCTCTCGATCATCATTTCCTAGGTTAGGATCTTGAAGGCCGGTCAGTTCTGCAATAATCTGACATCGTTTACTTGCTGTCACCCATGTTGATTCAATCTCATCCAGCGCCTGCATGCATTTATTCACTTTCATCCTTGCTTCCATTAGCTTGTCAGAATTACTGTCGTTGGCGTCTTTAATATATATGATACCAGCTGAAAATATGTAGTAGACTGCAAAATTCCAAACGTATTTAAGCTGGTTATGCTCTAGCATATAAGTTGTGATGGATAAAATAGAGTCAGCAGCTGAAGCGCAAATAGAAGCACAAGGCAAAAGTGATGGTACTGATACGCTTTGGTCAGGTCCAGGTATAAATGGTCTATGCAATAGAATGACAGTTGTATAGTAAATCAAGTGTAATTGACACACAGCGACACTTGGTGCCTTTCCTGATTTGTCATTTTTGATTCTTAATGAGCTGGGTAACTGATCATACCACTGATGTAGTCTCTTGTTTAATGTAGTAAGCACTGAATCTGCTTGTTTAGCTTCTGTATTCTGCAAGGAGCGCACATAATAGATACACTTGAGAACATGCCCTAGTATATCACATATTTTGATTAAGTTGATAAAATTGTCTAATAAACGAACTGGTTCACCATCCGAAGAAAGCAGATTATGATCGTCTACTGATGGGAATGGCACATCACAGTCCTTTTCTTCAAAGGTCGTTGCTCGTCCATACATTGCACTCCCTAGTCTATCAACAATATAACAGCACCAAAACACTCTCTTTCGTCTCTCACGCTCTTCTGGAGGTATGTTCCAGTGATCGCAATTTCGGTGCAATCCTAAATCTTGCGCCATTCTAAAAGCCTAATTTTCAAACATTAACATACCTTACTAACAATCAAATACAACATACCATGCCACTGTATAGCCAAGCTCTTGCAGATCTCATTGCGCCATGCTGATGGCTGGCGAGTAACAGCAGTGATTGGACGGTTGATATACTTGGCTTATCATAGGACTCATCCAGCAATCTCTCAGCTCTTTCAAAGAATATATCACCAGCAGTATCAGGTGAAGCTGGATCTGATCGGACCCTGACATCTGGTGATATCCTTGAGGCAACTGCATAGATTGAGTTCAGCAGAAGGGGCGTTACTCCTGGTTCTACAGCAGAAAACAGCTGGCGTCTAAAGAATAAAGGCAAGAATGGGTAGAAATATCGAAAGTACAGGATGATAAGATGTTCTGATAGATCTTTGGGCGGCAGTTCTAGCGGATCAACAGGCCGCAGCTGAGGTATCCTTTTACGCTTTTTTCCATAGTTTGCAAAATGAAATGCGCCATTTTGATATGTTCGGCTGCTTTGCAATAAATAGTACCCAGATGATTTACCAAGATATCTCACTTGCCCATTCTCATCCATAGCCAATTGACCAACTCCTTCATCCATTGACTCTTCTCTTGATGATAGATCTTGTTCCTGTTGTTGATAATCTTTTGTATCACTGTCTGACAATAAACTTTCTCTTTTTCGCTTCCCTGCCTTGTCTTGCTGCCAGAAAAACACTTTATTTCGCTCTGACTTTGGTACCCTTCTCACCGGTCGTGCCCGAATCTGTTCTCCTGTTGGTGTTTCCAAAGGAGAGTTTAATTCCATTAATAAATGATTTGATTGTATATCACCACTTTTTGCTAGTTCTGCTAGAAAATTTTCTAATTTGTATAATCGATTTTCAATAGCCTCAATGTATCCTTTTGGAGGTCCTCGCTATAAAACAATTCATATGCAGGGTTTAGTATCTATCAATTAAACTTTGGACTTCTCTCTTTCTCTCTCTCTCTTCCTCTCTCTTTCACTGCCTCTCTTTTAATTATAGCTTAAATTTACTTTTTTTGTCATGTCTTTAAAAGTACATTCTAGTCCAAAACTTTTGCAATTTGCACAAACAGGTGTCGCACCGTCACATTTTACTTTCTTTCGTCTACATAGGTCACTTTTGTCATTTAATTAGTTACTGGCATGATTACTTATTAATAGACATACCAGGCCCTGCTCACTCTCTGCCTTGACTGCAATTCAGCTGTAGGTGAGGTTGCCATTTGTATTATTAATATAAAAAAAATGTATAAAAATAGAAAAATTGAATTTGCCTCTCATTTTGTTTGTAAAGCGGAAAACAAATTGTTGCTTGGAAGATATGCTTTATTTGTACAACTTTTCCTATTGGTTAATGATTGCCATGTAACAGCTGAAGGGGTGTTCAAGGATACAACGAACAGGGAAGTAGCGGGGAGCAAACTAATTGCATACTCCGGACATTCGGCGTAGAATGTTTAATTTGCAGGTTTTTAACCTAAATCGAGACGATTAGAAAAATTGAACTGGACAGTTTACAATTTTATGCTGTACTCAAGTCAAAAAACATTTACCTGCATTAAATTGCTTAAGCGGTAACTTAAGCGGACAATTTTGTTCTCTTGTTTGATGATGGACCTTCGCCTTGTCTTCGCTTGTAGCTTGGCTTTGGGAGTGGTTGTATTTGTCTAAAACAACTTGGATGTTCTCTAGTCTCTCTGAAACTCATCAAGATCTTTCTGAAGTTACACGCCGCAGCCAGATCACGGTTCCATAATTTGTTTGATGAGTGGTCTTTGCACCTCAGCAACCCATTGCACTTAACTTTTGACATGTCTTTTCGCCCATATGGCCTAGGGTTGTCAATTATCTTGATCTTTTCTAATTTTCCTTTACAATCAGGACATAACGATGAGATTTTGTATTCGTTTATCAAGTACAAATAAAAACCACTCTTCTTCAACATTTGAATAAGCCCCTTATTTCGAATGGGCCCATGGGATTTCACATTCGCGGCAGATCAAGCTTTGAGAACAAGGACAGCGTCGTGTCCGAACTTCTTTTTCAAACTTTTGATTAGTTTATCATTATTTTGTTGAAGAAGCAGCTTGCTTGAAAAGCGCATCTTTCTGAACGGCAGTAATTGTAGTGTCTGCAATAAAGAACTTGTGTCTTTTTTGAGCTTATCAAACTTATCTTCTAATTCTTCATCACTAGAGCCTTGAGAACTGTGACACCATTCCAAAATTTCAGCTGCGATAGAAAGAAGTTTATTTTTGTTCTCTATGGGAATCCGTCATTCGATGTGCCGTTGATCTAACATGATTTGAATATTGATAGCATATGTTTGTAGCTTGGTATTGTTGTCTTGTATGGCAATGCTTTTAGAGAAAATTGCAGGAAATCTTGCACCAAACAAATTTCCCCAGTACAAGTTGCATTTCTTGAATTCGAAATCATTTCTTAGATCTGGATAATATATTCCTTTTGGTCCTTTTGTTTCATGACTATCGTAATTGCTTAAGACATCCTCAAAGGCTGAGCTTGCTTTACTATGCTCAAGGAATATGTTGGCATTCATTGCTGATGATCTTGTTTTACTTAGCATCTCCTCAGCTAAACGGACTTCTTCAGGCTTTGCCTTCTTCCTTAGTATTCTGAAACGTCGTGAATGCTTTGATCTACAAATGCTTGTGAATCTTAATATTTGCTTATTTTCCGCCGAGCTTGTTTCTTTCATACAATAAAGTAAATCCCGATGGTTCGGGTCTATCAAAACGCATCTTCCGTTTGTTGAAAGAGGTTCGGTTCGAGTTAATATTTTGATATGTTTAACATTATTGTTATCCCCGATTGTTGTCTTTTTTGGTTTCTGTGATCTACTGTTGTCTGTTCCTGGCCTTTTCCGAGATGTGTCAAAGTTTTGCTTAATAATGGAGGCGCAAATCTCATCTGTTTCAATGGTGCCTTCAAACTGTAGAGTCTTCCCTATACCTTGGTTCTTCATGCCCTTCTTTTCTAAATTAATAACCTTGCTCCAGATAGTTAACTTTCTTTCCTTCTTGTTCTTGTACTTTAGAATGTAATAGTTTACTATAGTTGTTTCTAAGGTCATGTATCCAGGGATGAACGAGCTTCGTAAAGGATAGCATTGATAGTTTTTAATTTGATTTGCTTGGCATAATTCAATAACTTATGGAAAGCTTTAAAGTGTTTTCCTAGATTCGCCTTTACGTCATAATATATGGAAGCTTTTTGAAAATTATACTCGGTAGAGTACATTGAAAAGAATTCTTTTATTTGATCCTTGGCATCAGCATTCAAAATCTCGTCATTTGGTATTTGCTTCTTTGCAACTGCAAGTTTGACTTTCATACAAGGCAGTATAAGTGTTCTCTTGATAGTCTCTTGGATGATGTAGTCGGCATATCGTTCTTCAGTCATTTTCTTGCGAAGACAATTAGACTCTTCTTTTTTCTTGCATATACCATTCAAAAACATCCGAAGTCTACTACAAAATTGAGCTTGCCTTCTTCGTTTCTCCCTCTATTTATTTCAAGGAGTTACCAATAGACCTGTATTTCTCATGATCTACATATTTTCATACTATTGCTGAATACCAAAAGTCTATCTTCGCAGTTATGGTGGATATCTTACCGGAAGAAACCTTTCCCAATGTAGTCTATTGCTGTATGAGTGCCTTCTACTCTATATGTAGATCTATTGCCAAAATGTGCATATCTGTTGGCATAGCAACCAGCCCAATGTTCACGCTTTTTCAACGTGCTTGATATAAAAAAAAAAGCACTACTATATGCCCTCATTGTTTACCAATAGTCTCGGTGTAAAGACTAACCTCTCCAAGTATTCTATGCCACTTGATCCCTTTGCAATGACCAGGAGTTTTTAAAAACTTTTTAAAGTTTTCGATACTTTCATTAAAATAAATTACACTTCGAGCTTCGTGACCTTGGTTGTTGTAATCATTACTTTCTTTATTTGTTCGAGTTGTACAGATAAAATAAAGTACAGTAATAATAAGCTTTTTGACCTTCATCTTCTTTTCGTTTGAATTTGTATGCACTCAGATATTACCGTCGTCAAATTATGAATAGCAAGAACAATGGTTACGATCAAGCTGAATCTCTGACATGGGCCATGGAATTCTTTAGTCGCCTTTCCTTCTTGGAAATCAAGTTCGCATCTTCCCCCTTCCTACAGGAAGACTCCAACATAGTCGTTCGGTCTCCTGGGGCTGATTTCACTCCTTCTTCAGCTTTTTTGGAACATTGCCGCTTAATTGAGGAAGATTTCTTTCGTCATCCTCTTCCGGATATTGAACGTCGGCGTTTCCTGTTTGAATGCCCACACAATTGTATGATATCCAGTATCATATATCTGGTCTTACTCGCCCTATTGATTGGTTCGCCTATCAACTGGTTCACAGTCAGTGGGGTCTTGACACTACCCGTCAGCGATTCTTGGAATTTGTCAAGGCTATTCACGAGCTCCTGTCAGATCTGGTGTCGCACATCACCAAGCAACGTACTTCCAACATGTTCAGGGGTATTTCTTCTTTTTGTGGCCCACCTTCAGATGAACTTCAAAGCTACCTCTTGGACCCCAGAGATATAGTGGATCACATCGAACTGGCTCAAGCAGTACAAGCCTCTATACGTAGACGCTCCAGGCCTCGATCTAATCGCGTCATTTCGCCTCAATCGTCTTCAACAGCTGCATCTAATATATCCTTTGGCGGCCTGACTTCTAGTGGTAACACGACACCCTCTAATACCACTACTGACAACACTTCTATTGTTCATTCAAAGTCTGCGTAACAACAGTGGTGCGATGAAACCAAAAAAGTCGAGCCGGTAATGCACAGTAAAACTGAACTAAATGTTTTATTAATTCGAAATATGGGTCATATAAATACCAGTGGCTTAGTTATTCCTTATTAGTGTAACCTAGAAGACATGAATAGCAGTACTGCATGTATTTTTTTTATTCAAATTAAACTTTTTTTTATTCCATAGGTCTTTGACTACACACGAAACCTACAAAAACTAAGTTAATACAAGAAAAAAAAAAAACATAGGTATGAAAGAAAAAAGAAAAAGTATCAGAGAGAAGATTTCTTTATCAACAGCCGCTCTATTAGCAGCCTCAAAAATTTTCAGTGTGATACATTTATTCATCATCTTCTTTTTCTTTTTCCTTATTATTATTGCTAATACTTACATTGATGTTCCTTAAGAATAAGAAAAAAAGAAACAAGAAAAAAATTTTTTTCTTCTTTTATTCTTTTGACATCCAAAGACCGCTTGATCGGGGAGAGGGTAACGATAAATACCCACAAAAATTTAGTAGTCACAAAATGAAAAATAATATCCTAATCGGAACTTGAGTAAGATTGGGATGTTTATTTTTATCATGCTTAGATTTAGCTGACATAGATACCCTTTTCATCAAGAAACTTTACCTTCATTTGCCATTTAGCAACCCAAGAAATAAGAAGCAGTCCATCTTCGTGAGCCTTGAACAAAGTCTTTGCTCCTTTTTCGGTCAGCTCTTCCATCCAAATTTAGACGCTGTCCCTGTCACGAACAGCCCTTCTACTCAATTTCATCAATCTAGCATTGATGACGTTTCTAACATCATAATAGTTGATTCGAAGTGAAGAAGGAAAAGAGGAAGAAATACCATTTTACTCGATCTAGAAAAAAATCAGAAACCATCACATGAACTTCTATGATAAAGGAATACACACTTGCAAAAGACGAGCTTCGTCCATTCAATAGGGGCAAGCTTCACATTCATTTTGTGGCAACTAAATTTCTGTCAACATCCTACCCCCGGGTAGCTTTAATGACTAAGATATTCACATGGTTCTTTACAAAATTCATCACTTGGATACCAAGGTACTCCTAGAGATTCTCCGTGACGTTGTCAAAAACAAAATCACTTTGAAAGGTGTCCCTGTGTGTTTCTGTACTACAGATAAAGAAGCTACCAACATTCTTGTTGAGTGATTTATGTGACCACTCTGGGCTACTGTATTTCGAAAGTTATTCATGACAGAAGCAGACTGATTGCACTCTCTGTCTCAAAGGACTCCAGAACATGTGCCTTCTTAACAGACTTTGATTTATTCAGTTGGCACATATGACTTCTTCTCACTACAGTAGAGGGATACTAAGTCGTATATATTCTTGTGTGACCCCAGTACTGCCCAAAGGTGATTATAATCTGTATTGTGATCAAATAAAATAAAAAGATAGCTCTCCCTCACTGCAGAATATTGTATTTAACATGGGTGTTAAAGCAGTAATATGGTTCACTCATAGTCCATAAGTGATAAAACTCGAAAGATTTATTAAGCATACAGGTTACTCAAACCACTTTAGAGTGCACTGACTTTGGCCCCAGCCATGTAATAGCCATTGTTCCTTAAAGTCAACTTCTAGTCTCATCGTGCTTTTCAAATTGAGTTGTACTCTCACTTTTCCATTTCATGTATCAGATAAACAAGCATGTTCAAGCAGGTTTCCAACAAGTTGTCAAAGAATGATTAATCATAGTGCCGTAAACAATCACTGATTAACGAGTCGTCAAAGAATTATTCGTTACCTTTCTTTCCTTTTAATCGTTTTATTGAATAAAATGCGAAAAGTACACCAAGAAAGTGAATTTGACAGCACACAGCTGTAATATTGACCATTATCAAAACAGGATCCAAAAGAGCTCGCGAAGATGATAACTTCGAAGTATCAACCAGTATAAATAAACGCCCTCGTACAACAGGCGCTTCAAGTGAAGCTTTGATGGAATACTTTTATCAATCGATGGGGAACCATCTTTCCGCAAAGATAAAGCAGATAATTGAAAAGAGGAAAGACATTGAAAATAACCTGGCAAAATTAAAGCAAAAGCCTCTTAATGAATGTATACTGCCAAGAGGCATTCTAGCTGATGCTGCATGGGCTTCTGATTGTACTCCATCTTTCGCGAGGGAATATTTAGATAAATCAGCGCCAAAGAAAAACAGCAACTGTGGAACCAGTTTGTCGAAAAAATTTTCTATAGTATAGCCACTGAAGCGATGGCTGTACTGAGCAATGAACCAGCAGATGAAAAGCAAACCTCAAATAGAGACTCATTTACACAATGAATACAGAACATGCCCCCTAAGCATGAATAAAGTGATCAGAAGCGATTTATTTCTAACTTTGAAGAACATCATCGATCAAAAGCTACGTGAAACCACGATTAAAACATCTGATTACGTAGCCAACATAAATGAGGTTGTATACGTGATGACGATAACATTTAAAAGCCATTGTTTTGCCATAGAAAACAAGGAGATAGTTTTTGGACAAACGGAGTGCTTCAAAATCGCGGAAATCCTTCCAAAGGATTTCACTGATGACAACGTTGATGTTTTGACATTAACTCCAGCCTTGCCTTTGAATTTGATGAATCCGCCATTTGCTGATGAACTTGCTAATCATTTTGAAGAAGGCCATCTATCATTGACACACTCTTACTTTTTTGGCGCTTTGGGATCTAAGCAAGCAAGCTTAAACAAGCACCCTATACAAAATCTTGTTTTTAAGTCGTTGAGGCCTTTTGGCGTAGTCAGAAGAGCTTATGAAGCAAGCGGCCTGTCAAGTATTTAAATGGTCACTGTGTGTAAAACATACGCAACTAACCTTCACAACATATGGAGCGACAAAAGACTATTTAGTAAACTCTTGAATCATTTTTTGGGCGTCATTTTGCGTATCCACTTGGCCCTTAAAAGAGAAAAAAAATATAGAGAATTCGTAAATCAACGAATAGATAAAGCGAAAGAAAAGCAAGAAAAGAGAGAAGACCTTCTTTCCTTAGAAAACAGTAACCAGGCATTCTCACGAAATCAAAGCAGAGACATTTTACGTGCCGAGTATAAGAACATTAAAAAGTACAAGGAAAAAGGAATGAAGAATGACGAAGAGAAAGCAAAGTGGAAAGCAAGAATAAAAAGTTGTGAAAAACAAATAGCATATCTTAAAAATGAGCATACACGCAGGAAATTGATAATTATCTAAAATTTATATCATATCTGACAAGACTAACTAAGTCATTATCATTTTTTTTAGATACGACAAATGTCAGATATAAGCATTCTTCGTCAAGGAATTGAAGAAATAAAAATAAATCGAGCTGATCATAGTGATAGTGATGATGATAGCATGGAGATTTCCAAGACAGACACAAAGGATCTATCTCACAGACGGCTATTTTCTTTAAAGCCTGTCATCAAAGGTTTGCTCTTTGCAGATTCAGGTAGTTCAGTTTCTTCAAACGACCTAAAAGAAAAATATCCTGATATGAAAGAAGAAGAAATTGTAACGTGTCTGTTAATTGTCAACAGATTGATGCTATATATTCCACCCAAACCTTGCTCACATCATATAATATATCAGCTTCCGCTCACTCTGTTGACAAATGATATTCTCAGATATACAGGATATCAAAAGTTTACCCAGAATATATGCCTATTGCCAAGCCTCACAACGATGAATGCTCTTCGACTGGATGGTCCTTCATTGTGCCATGCTCTTTCTTGGGCTGTTCCATATAAGCTTCATATATTTGACTATGACAATTGTATTATTGAATCTGAAGATGTTGCTCGAAGAAATCAGGATGCAACATTCAGCTCTATATTCGATATGACAATCGTTAAAAACACATGCCAGCTTTATGGATTAAAATTCGCACACAGCATGATAATACAACCAGGGCTTAGAACAGTACGTCTATTGGAAACCACGACAGTACAAAGTGCCCCACCATCCAAGAAGATTTCTTATTATCAACGTCAGATGAATACTGCAAGTGTCATAGACGAGAGTAAGAAATCCAAGGCAAATCTTCAGCAAGAAATAGAGACACTACAAAGCCAAATAATTGATTGCTCAACAAGACTAAAGGAGGCATTAAAGAAACATAAGGAAGTTGATTACTCAAAAGAAATAAAGCAATGGAAGTCTCAGTGGAAAAAAGATGCATCTGATGAAGATGTTCAATATAACGGTTACATATACAGTCAAATTCAACGGCACAGAAAGTTAAGATATCAGTCTTACTTTGCTGTGGAAGATGTACAAAAGGAATTGAAAATAAGAGACAACTTCAATACACTAAGAGATTAGCAATCAAACGCCTGGCGAGTAACTACAAAGAATTGCATCAAGAAAGATGGCCATGGAGTTCAAAAAGTTGAAGAATGCTGCGTAGATTGTAGCGTTTATGTTGCTAAAGATTTCATTTATTCCTGAACAGATAACGGAATCAGTACAATGACAAACACGGTCGAGCTCACTCTTACAAGGTTCAAATTTCATCTAGAACTTTATAATATATATCAAGCTTTAAGTTGCTACGATGATAGCGCAACAGATATTGTAGAATAGTATAACGAACTTGGTCAAAGAAATGATTTTTTGAAGCTGCCGGCTTTCTTCAAAATAAAAACAGCCGATGTTGACGTTGGTTGTGGTTATCGAACAATTAGAAAAAAACGCGAGAGAAAGAAAAGAACAACAGAAGAAGGAAAGAAGTTCAAGAAATAGAAAAAGAACCGTCAAAGATGTCACTTAAAGAGGTTCAAGGAATTTGTAACCAGTAGCGCCAGTATCGTCCCGCTTTCAAAAGCTTTTACAATTCCAAAACTGAAGCAGACAATACAAGGTTTTTGGAAATACAGAGCAAAAAATACCGACAAAAGATATGCTCATCTGAAAAGCGGTTTGTTAGAAAGCAACGAGGTAATCTTTACCATTAATGTGTATATAATTATTTCTGACCACATCTTATTTTAATATGTAGATGCTGCTACGAAAGCTAAGCCAATCATGTTCATTGGCAATAGAGGAATCGGCGTTGGCTCAAGAATCAAGAGGTATCAAAGATATGGAGGAGATTGGAAGCAAAAGCTCCATGAACAAGAAACCCAAGTCTGTATCACCAACGAGAACATGACTTCACAGACATGCGTGTATTGTTTCAGCAAGCTCGATCATCCCATTCACAAAAGAATGATTAAAGGAAAAGAAATAACTGTCACAAGCAAAGGGCCCTTCATTTGCCGTAACCCAAAATGTGTCTTGGTGACCAAAAGACAGCCTGTGAAATCGAGAGATACACTCTCAGCCTTGACAGTAGGTCTGCTAGGCCTCTCATACATTTTATTTCATCGAACATTCCCGTGTTGTGAAACCAGCCTCAGTCAGTCTAGCACTGAATTTACCAACATTACTTCTTCCTTTTTAAATGCAAGAGAACGATTAGGCAGTGACGATGTCACTAATTGAGGTACAAAATAGAACTTTTGAAAGACGCTTACAAACTAAATTTTTTGCGTAGAACTTTAAATTCTTTCGGAGATTTTGTGTTCTCATTGGGAGAGTAAGCGCTGGTTTTAAAAAAAGTTTTATAACGACTTGAATCAGTGAAGCTGCAATATGCTTCTTATTTTATGGCTGTGGATGTTATCTTTTCTGTTTTTTTTTTTTTTTTTTTTTTTTTTTTTTCTTTTTCCAAGCTAAATAAAACTTGTAGTAAACTGAACTCTTCTCTTTACTTGATTCATAATCTGCCAAGGAAAGCACATTTATTAGAATATTTCTAAATTGCAGTTACTAGCTGCAAATACGACCATCACCCTCCCTGTATCACTTTAATAGATGGTCCATTTGCTCATATTAATCTGAGTATATCATACACTACATCAATTAGGGGGCAGCAGTTATATTTTAGTCTTTACTGGTCCTTTCACAATATTCACTCTTAGTTTAGTTCTGATAGCCACTAATGAGGCATTTAATTCGTTACCTTTGAACCCAGGAGGTTATTTTGATCCTTTCTAATCCCTTCCGGCTGACCTTTATTGTCCATTGCGCTTAGCTGATTGGTACAAAAGAGACATCCGAGGACGAAGCCACTGGTGCGACTTGTTTTTCGAAAACAATGTACAATTGTAGTAACTCTGTTCATTAGATACAATGTTGAGCTATTAAGTATTTTTGGTAATGGAGAGTAATGAATTGAAATTAAAACAACCTTCGTCACTTGGCTAACTTTGTTATTGTCACGATTGTGGCCATGTGATGGCAGGCGTTGGTCTATTTTCTATTCCCGCAGTTAAAAAAGGCACCATTGTCTATGTGAATGATCTTAATTCAAAGAGGGAGGCTTTGTGTGAATATCAAACAAGGTATATTCATAAATAATACATAAATAACAACAACAATAATAATAATGATAATAGTTATGCAGACTAAATGTTTACAACTTGAATGATCATGCATTTATAGAGCATGATTTACATATTTAAACACATGGACAAAAAGACGCTTCAAAAAAAAAAAAAAAAAAAGCTGTACAAATAAATCAACTTGCTCATGTTCATAATGTTCTCTTCTTAATAAAGAATCTATTCTGCAGGTCATCGATTTAACTTACTATTTCAAACTTGCAGCTAATACAACAGAGAATCATAATGAAGAATAGTATATGTCACATATATGGCACTTTATCATTGTCTTTAACAGCGAGGAAGATATTGCCAACACTTTAATACTAATTCCTTTTATGATTTTGATAGCAAAAGCTTTAGTAAGGATAAAAGCAGCGAAAAGACAACCAGAGGGATTGAGCACTTACAATTTAAGAAATTTGACTACGAATGCGATACGATACTCGCCAAGAAGCGCAACCTTTTTTTTCATTGCTAAGCATCTTTCAAAGAAACTTAAATATAGGCAGTCCTATTCAATCATAACAGCCTTTATGAAATATATATGAACAGCAATCCCATTATTGTTCTAGAAACAAGAGTTCTTCTCGTTTCAAGAGACTCTTTTCTGAGCGATATACCCATTTGAGCTTTACAAACCCGCCATCTGGGCGCAAGGAAACCGCTAATGGAAGTTACGAAACTGTTGTGAGCTTTTTGAATACCGCCACTTGGCACTGTACAGGGATCAACGAAAGCATCCGGCAACGTTCCCGATAGCCCATTGTCACTGTTTCACAAGACACTTTGATTCCGTAAGAACCAAAAGACATGCAAAACAAGGTTACCAAAGAGGAGAAAAAAAGGGGGATTAACTTGTCATTCTTCATATGATATATTGAAAATTCCGATTACTGGGCGCTGACATTTGGAGTTCATACGGTTGCTCCAAGAAAGAACCCTATTGTGTCTCATCCCGCCCTTCTACCCGAAATTGCGTTTTTTGTTTAGTTCACACGATGCTGAAACAATAAACGGAATTTCGTAAATAATCTTCTTTCCTATAGGGCTTGTTTAAGATAAGAAAAACTAGTAGAGAATTTAAAGTAACGGATTTTGATCCAGAATCACATCAACATAATGTAGAGCCATACACTTTACTTTGTTCTTTCGACTGGCTATTTTTTATAGCTAGCTTTTATAATTGGTAATCTGCATCGTGTACTTTAGCTGTGTAGTCGAAGCTGCGTATTTTCCGCTGCGAGAATCCGTTGATGGATTACTAAAATGGTATCCAAGCAACCATAATTGAACTCCGATCACATTTGCTTTTTATTTTGCCACATAAATTTTATCTATCTTTCTCTCTCTCTTTTTTGTTTTTCTTTCTTTCTTTGCTCCCTTTTTAATTTCTTTACCCCTTGCTTTATATCAACGTTATTTTCTTTAAATATATTTTAATCAAATAACTCCCCTTTTTCTTAATAATTTCAGCAATAGCAACAACAAAAAAAAGCGGGACGAATCTGTTTATTATTTTCTTTATAGTATTATACATAAATAAATGAATAAACAAGTAGAAACTGATAAAATAAGGCGTAAAAGACTCAAGGTGATCAGTGCTTGCGGGGAATGTAGAAGAAAGAAAACAAAATGTAATGGAGAGTATCCATGTTCTGGCTGTTTAAAAGCTCGCGTCGAATGTAAATATGTCACAAATCAAAAACCTGGTGCACCAACGTCTATTATAAGAGAACGATTAAATAATAATGTTCATTTGATTACACAGCCTATCCGCAAGAAATCGCTTAATTCTCCTCCTATGGTTGAACCATTAGCAACGCCAACCGTCCTACCGCCGTCAGAACAACCACAGCAGCAGCAACAACGTCATCAATTCCAACAACATCAACCGCAACAGCAGCAGCAGCAGCAACAAAACAATACAACGCATCATATCCAATCTATTGAAGAACGTTTATCAGCTATCGAAAATATTTTACGGACTTTACTCGGTTCCGGAAGACACAAACATTTACTACAAAATTTGGATCACAATAACGTACCTTTACCACCACCGCAACCCTCTCCTCGTTATCCTAGTCTATATCCTAACCCACCAATGCTTGATCAGCAGCAGTATTCTGATGCTCTCTCCTGCCGGGATATCTATCATCCTCCTGTCCATGTTTCCTATATCCAAAATGGGTCATTATCACGGGAAAAGCGAAAAAGAGATGATCAAGACATTGTAGTAAAGGAAGAACGGGATGCACTCGGGCCACAGTTGGCCCCTATTAAAACCATAGCAACTACACCTGGAACACCGACAATACGAAACTTGTTGAATGATGATCCACCCTCTGCGTTTCATAGACTATCGCCCACATCCTCTTTTAGTGACACTACAGCTACCACTACCACTAATAATATCTCTAATACTAATTCTAATACTATCAACCCAATCAACAGCATTAATACCATTATTACGTCTACCACTACTACTCCTACTCCCGCAGCCGGAGACTTATCCTCTTGAATCTTTACAAAATAATAATAAAGGCTAGTCCCTTATTTTAAAAATATGCATATACACACACGTACACATTCGGATGCGGAAGGGTATAAAAATTTTATTATAAACCAATCATACCAAATACAACAAGTTCACATATATACGGGACGAGCACTGTTTTTGCAACAAAATAAAACAATATACCAAAGGCAATAGAGATAGGAAGTGCCGGCAATGCCTTCTTGTAAATAGCCAACAAAAAAATAGTAGCCGTCAATCCTGTCAAAACCGCAATCGTACAGCACACAGTTGTGATCCAGTCGTACATTGCTGCGCGCGCAACTAAAACACTGTAAAAGACAAAATCACCCAGACCGAGCTTAAGTCCATTCCGTTCGACTAGATAAATACAGTTAGCTTTCACAAAAAATAAAAAATAAAATAATAATAATAAACATCGCGTGTGCGTGCAAATTACCATCCTCCTCGTCCTTGTTTTCACTCTCTGTAGTCATTGTAGATCGTACTGTGGTAAGGATCGACCCATGACTTTCATCATGCAGTTGCATAAACCCATCATGGCTCATTCTTTGCCCTGAATTAGTAATCGGATGACCAGTAGATTGGTACTCTCGGCTATTCCGAGCTGAAGATGAAGGCTGATTAAAGTGTTCTCCTGCTGATGCCATCATCAGCCAGACAGCATTCACAGAGTAGAGTAACGCAGGCACTTCACGCTGCTGATTTTTAGAGCTTTCGATCAACAATCGTAATGGGCCAAATGGACATAGAACAGCGATCAAATCTATATTTGTTTAGATGACTCTGTATCTTCCCCCTTGGTATCTCCTACTTTACCCCATATTGCAAGCAATCCCAGTAGAATCCATGTTGTCCACTGTTCTAGCCCTGTTAATGAAAATGCCTAGATAAAAATGAGCTACCGTACCCTGTATAATAATGCTTACCATTAATGAACTCATAACAGTCAAGTAAATCTGCTGTAGCCATAATGGACCTTTCCAGAAAATCGAAACTAGGCCAACAACTGTAAAATTCCATAATGCAAATACCATCGTCACATAATCTAATGGTATCATGAACACTTGAACTAGGTTGCTATTTTTTCCCCAAAAAGAAAAGTTAGTTGCTATCGTAACCATCAAGGGGAGCTTGATACTTGCAGGATTAATAAGTAAGTCATGAATCCCAATAGGAGTAACACAACCACCATGAAAAATCCGATTAATATTTTGATCCAGCCCTTTTTAAATAAAAATACGATAATGATTGTAACTAGTATAATCTGTCCAATAATGATGGCTGCATTTGTAAATGAGCTTGTAATAGAGGTTCCAGCAGAAGAAGAAGAAGTAGAAGAAGTTGAAATATTTACATAAGTGGTTCTTGATGGACTATAGTTTAACATGTCAATTATCTTATCTTTATGTTGATCAATCGTACCTGTAGTCACTTTGTTTGTTAAACGATACTTTTACCCAAAATATACTTAATATGATACACGCTACAACAGGCTTAATGATTCTATATATCTGATTCGTGTAGAACCGTAATTCTTCTGCTATCTCTTCAGAATCTCGCTTTTCTTCTTGGTTATTATTATTATTGTTGTTGTTATTATTATTAAGATCATTCATGGGTATATCATCTATACATTTAATAAAGGGTCAATCATTCCTTTTTCTTCATACAATGGGTATATACTTGATGCCTGTTCCTGCAGAATTCTTTGTCTATTCCTTATAGCTGCTTTACACACTGTGTAGTGGCCCTGCTGCCAATGAGTCTTTTGACATTCAACAGAACAATACTTTGGTCCCAAGTGGCCACATGATGAGCACATGAAGGTTGCATTCCTTTGACATTGTGCACATCGGTTGGCTATTTCTTCTACCTCTTCTTGTTCTGCTGTTATTGAACTCATCCTTGAGGGAAATGAGATAGAGGGGGAGAAAGAAATAATAATAAAAAAGGCACACAAAACGCACAATGCCTTATACAAAAAAGGAAAAAATAAAATCTCAAACTTTTGAATAATTTAGAGCAATTTAGGGATGATACACACTTTTAGTACGCTTCAATGATCATTGCTTTTAATTCAAGTCGGCTTGAGGAGAAATAAACGAGCTTTACATGTTACCTGCACACATACACGCAATTGACTAGAGGAAAATCAAATCAGTTATCACTCGCTCTGAGGGTCGCTTTAAAAATAAAGTGCAAAAATAAAAATAAAAAATGGCGAGCCTGGCTTGAGTCCTGTTTACTGATTACTATATACCTCAGCAAGTACAAATTGGTCTCTGCTCTCAGCCATCTCTAAAACCTTTCTTTTTTCCATAATAAATTTACGTGAAGAAGCATAACGCACCGATAGTCTTTCGTCCAAACTATCTTTCTGGACTATACAAACTGAGTAAGTACATTCTAAAGCGCCAAAGCATAATTGCAATCTTCACCGGCCATTACTGGGATCGTATTCCAGGATGCTGTTCAATGGAACAGTAATATATTATCAGAGATTCTTTATATTCCCCCATTTGTTCATCCAGCCCACCCTTATTCAAGTGCAACAAGTAGCTAACCTAAACGATTAGGAGCGGTATCACTAGGTGTCAGACCCTTTGATATTCTACATTTAAGTGTTAAAACAGGAGCACTGTACAAAAGTTTCAAACTAACAGCAAGGTTATCCACTTATTTGTAAACAGCGACTTTTGGGTAAAGCAAGGTCTCCTTACACTATTTCAAGACTCTCTTCACTTCAAAGCACATGCTGTCTAGTTTCTTTGAGATGATAGATCGGCCTGCAAAGCCTCCCAACCTCAGTTCAGTCGAAAGCTTTTAAGCACAAATGAAAGATCGTAACTATCAAAGAAACACATGGTCAAACAAATCGAGAGCATGTACCATAGATATCCCAGAAGGTTTGAAATACAACTGAACACGGAAAGTATCAATGCCTTTTTAGACAATATACCCACACTCATAAAGAAATAATAGAAAGAAGCAATAAAGTATAAGGGTTACACTATCCACTACTAAACGATGTCGCTGTTCGTATTCCTAGCAATTTCTTTCATAAAATCCTCGGGTGTATTAATAATCAACAAGCCTTTTAGATGCATTCAGCTTCATAGCGTCATGTTTAAAGAGGCTAAAGGATCATGAAATGCTCGTTTGAGTTAAGGTTATTTGGAGATGACTATACATATTATCTTTGACCATAGAATTAAAAGAAGATAGCGATCCTTCTATCCACTTGAACCTTGAATATAAAACGTCCATCTATTTTTATAATTATAGAAACTACTCGTACACAGCTCAGATGCATTCTTATAAACAACAGCGTTATTTTCACACCAAAAAGTGGGGTTGCTAAAAATTAACGTTTTGATGTAGCAGATGAAACTTACTGGAAGAAAAAATAAATAGTGCATTTACCTTGACCTGAAGAAAACAGTTATCCCATAAACTACAAGTAACACACGAAAACACGTCATGGTAAAGAAGGTCATGTGAATCAAATGATATAAAAGGGTAAGCCCCGATACATGACGTGTTATTGTGAAAACACTGGCGAGATTTATACCAAATGCAGTGAGAAAATTTGAATGTACAGTAATCGTAAGATTAAATGACTAGTTTGTAAATAAATGTTGTAAAAAACTATACAAAGACAAAGGCACTGTTTCTTTTCTATATACCAGTTTCTGTTTCTTGAAAGACAACTGTCGAAGCAAGTATCTCAGACAATATATCTGAGTAACAGCGATAACCTAAAGCGCCAGGGTATCTATGTTCTCTCTCTATCTATCTGTGTGCGCTGAAGAGGTGGGACGAATAGAAAAAGTCAGTCCACAAAAAGGAGTTTGAATTTATCATAATGATAAGATAGTGTTTATAAAGATAGTCTAAATGTATATCATCGGAAGTGTACTTTTTTGATCAAAACCAAGAACTTAAAGACAGTATGCACACACAGTAACAGTGTATGGTTAAAATTTGAATCAATCGAGCACCTTCTGGCACTGATATGACACAGGGTATCATTCCTTTCTTTAGTATTAAAGCCGTCCAATCAAAATGAGTCTCGGCGTTAAAACCAGTTTGACTTTCCTTTAGAGTAAAATGAACGTATATAGTAATAATATAACATCCAAAAGAGGCTATCTTTTTTTTTTTGTTTTGTTTTCTCAGTATACAGGATATATTGTTATGAATTGAGGAAAGCTTGAAATAAAATGTGACCCTAGTTTTAATTAGGTCCCGGGAGAATCGTGAGAAATGGTGTCTTAATAAAACTTAATCGCGCTGAAAATGGATAATGATAGGCTATCATTCTCTGTCCCACTTTCCCATCGTGTTTCACCTACCTGTACAACTACTGGATCTTGTGGCCTAGCAAAAGTTTATCTAGTTTAAGACCCTTTCTGAAGGCCCTATCGTGAGAAATATAGAGTTACAATTTCTGTAAATGGATACCATGACTACGCATTTGTGTTTGCTAGGATGATCATGTCGATAATATGAATATCAAGTATAACGGAGTTTTATTTAATCATTTATTTGGAAAGAATTACATTAGGTGGTCATAGGCTCAAAAACTACTATTTGAACGGTATTTGGTAATTCGTTACTTTACGAACCAATTAAATTGGTTGTTTTCATCGGGGATTGGCGGGATGTGTTGTGTTACACAAATTGATTTACAAAGTGTTATAAAAGCCTAGTGTTTCTATTGTTTGATTACTTTTTTTTTATTATTATTATAACTTTTCCTTTTCATTCTATGCCATCTGAAAATTACGCTACCTCAGATACAAGCTCTGATAAATTTAGCAAGGTCGAGCAAACCGCTATTGACCGCTTAGAAGAAGACAGAGCCTCTAGCATCAATGAATTTGGTCATGGTAGCGGTAATTTCATGACAGCTTATTTCAACGTCGTTTGTGTCGTTGCTGGTACCGGTACTCTTGGTCTTCCAAAGGCTTTTGCTGAAGGTGGTTGGCTTGGCATTCTAATCTTAATTTTGGCCTATGTTATGTCTGTTTACTCCGGTATCGTTCTAATTCGTTGCTTATACCATCAGCCTGGCAAGCGTCTCCATGACTACAAGGCAATTGGTACCGCCGCTTTTGGCGTTATTGGATACATCATCGCATCAGTACTTCATCTCTTGAATTTGTTTGGCTGTCCCGCTCTTTACCTCGTTTTGGCTTCTGGTAATATGGTTGAAATGCTCAAGGGCACTAGTGCTGCTTATATCCATTACAGAACCTGGGTCATTATTTGGGGTGCCTTTTTGTTAATTCCTTCCTTAATCATGAAGACACTGAAAGAAGTTACTGCTATTGCTGCTATCGGTGCTGTCTGTACTATGATGGCTGTCTTTGTTGTTGTCATTCAAGGACCAATGTATCGCAATGAACATCCCGACGAATTGGTTATGCACGACTCTGTTATCTGGACTGGTTTCCCTATTGCTCTTTCAACCATTGCTTTCTCATTTGGTGGTAACAACACTTACCCACACGTTGAACATGCTTTGAAGAAGCCTCATCAATGGAAGTGGGCCGTTACAGCTGGTCTTAGTACATGTGTTGCCCTCTACTTTATGACTGCCATTGCTGGTTATTGGTCTTTTGGTACTCACACGCAATCTCCCATTTATAATTCTCTTCCTGATGGCCCTGGAAAGTTACTCTCCATGATCGTCATGACTATTCACGTTATCTTAGCTATTCCTATTTACAGTACTTCTTTCTCGCTTGAATTTGAAAAGTTTGTCAACTGCTCTGAAGACAGATTAGGCAAATTCGGTGCTTGGGTTGGTCGTGCCATTATTCGTGCTTGTACCATGGTCATCTTGGTCATCTTGGCCTGTTTCATTCCCTTCTTTGGTGATTTTATGGGTTTAATTGGTGCTCTCGCCAACTGTGGTCTTGTTTTCCTCTTGCCCATCCTCTGTTACTTGAAATTGACTGGTGTCAGAAACAAACCCTGGTATGAACTTGCTTTCTGTGCTCTTACCCTCTTGTTGGGTGTTGTTGGTTGCATCTTTGGTACCATCGATGCTATTAGGGCTTTGGTCCACGATTTCAACCCTTAATAGAAAAGGAAAAGCAGTTGTAAATAGTTTTTTAAAAATTAACAATGTATATATTATCCTAATATTTATCCCCAAATAAACTTGATGTTTAAAAAATAATTCTTTGGGTTGTCCTGACAAAGTTTTGCATATATTACCGGGCCTTTTTTTAAAACTGACCTGTGTGGTCATTACGAAACATGACTCTGTTTGAGGAAAGATTTTATAGTGTATTTTACCATAAAAGGTAAAATTATTATCTTTTATCAGCATTATAGATGACTGAGACATAACTTGAAGCCTCTCTACTTTAGCCATTTTTAAGCAAAAAGTCCCGTCTAAGCATTCTCAAATAATTCTAGCAGTTGCTAATCAAGCTGTTACTTCATGTTCTCGATAAACTAAGTATTACAAAGGCAGTTGCTCAGTCGATACATTAGCTAAGGAAATAATATTTTGCTTAAAAGAAAGCTTTGCTTGCTTATTTTAATATAAAAATCGCAAGTCTCAGTGTTTTGTAGAGCCAATTACGAGCATTGATTACTCCTTGGCATTTATCTTTCATGCTTTCAACCAAAGTACGAAAATACATTTGTTGTAATTGTAGTACATTCAACTAAAAATATTTTTGACACAAAGTTGCTAAAACATACAAACAATGGCTTTATCAAATAAATATTATCAGCTTCAGCTTTTATTATATACGCAGAACCAAGTATTATTTGTTTATTCCACTCGCTGTACACAGTAGTTTAATATGAATTTAAGACTAACAATTTTTACTAATGGGATATCCCATTAAAAACATGGTAAATGTTACTGGCGATTTCCTCGTTGCTCTTTGCAATTTCTGAAGAGAGAAAGGAAGCTAACTGTTTCAATTGTCTATTTAGATCAATGTTTCTTATCACTGGAATTGCTGAAATATCCTTTTCAAACAATCCGTCAGTATGTACAAGAATTTGTCTTATTATTCCATCAGGTTTGCATTGACCTCTCAAATAGATGGCAAATTTACGTTCTAAGCATCTTTGATAGTAGAGTTATTAGTATCTCCTGGAGCGGTCCGCTAATGCCCAAGCTATCAAGGGCCTAGTACATCAACCATTGGTATATTTTGACGAAAATCTGTAACAAAGATACGTAGACAGCTTATCAAACTTGGATCTAAGCTGATGTGGTTGAGCAAATTCATCAAAGGGATAAAATAAAACTTGGCGAGAGTTAATTTTGGTCCTTTCGATGAATAATCGCGTTTCTCTACTTGGCAAGAATCCATTTGAACTTGATGGCCCAATGACTGACTTTTCATTATGATCTATACGTATGGACGGCTTAATCAGGACATCCATTGTCTTAGTGCCCAGAACAAGCTTCTTACTTCTATCATCACTCATCAAGGACAGTTTCACATTAGGGTACATCGTGTCAATATGAGAGAGAGAACATTTAGGAAAATTGCCTTTCATAGTAGACGTTTTTACGTAATATGGATTAAGTGAAGGAAGCCTAGCATATATTTCGTCACAAAGTACAACCAGTGCTTTATCATTCTCCACAAAAAGTCATTTCTTCAAGTATTTTGCAATAATATGTGCTGCCATAGGATTTCTAGCTCAACTACTGTTCAGCCAAAGTGAATGTTGATGACTTAGCTCAATATAATCATCTTTCAACAGCGTTTTTATACGGACTACATAAGATAATATTCCGTATGGAAGATGATGAAGTGCTTTTGACCTTCTCACCAAAATAGCTTCTTCTTTTTTTGGCATGATAGGGACAAATGATGAGCCTTGTTCTTTTTCTTGAGTTAATAATAAATTGCTTATTCTTTTCGGGACCACCAAGAGACTGTGCTCTTTTCCTTCATGATCAAAGTATGCTCTGGGTTGAAGATCTCATAACTCTGCTATTAAAAGGCTTTTCTTTTGATCCTCTTTTGATTGCGTTAATGCATCTAAAGCTGATAAAACAGCAGTCTCATAGTCCCGCGCTGTATAGGTCTCTGTGACTAATGCTTGCGCATCTGATGGTGATATAGCCGTTAAACAATCTTTTATTAAACCGAAGTGGGCACGTAGTGCTATTTATACTGAGATTGCTCGGGCAAGCTCAACAAAGTGGGGTGTACAATGTGATGGGATGGGAAGATACTGGTGGTGGAGGGGGAGAGCATACAATCTAATGGGGGTAGGTAGAGGGAGATAAACTAATCGCTATAATTGGTGGGTTAAGACTTGGTCGTGTTAGGGTTCATGCTTATTTCAACCTGAGCGGATAGATGCACACTATGCGCACGAGGAAATCCACAAAAAGGTTAATACTAAAGGCACTACTTGTGATACCATCAGTAAACTCTTTCAATGTGTAGTTCCACGTTAAACTTATTCAGAAACAGATATATTTCCATCTTATTTGATGTAGAATGTGGATTATCTTTTCAAGAAGAAAGGGATAAATTGTTATTGCTGTATTTTAACAACATCCCACTGGACAAACGTAGGTTAGATAGTGATTTTGGTAATGTGAGGCTGTAAATTGATATCACAGGTAGTGCCTAGAAAAAGTGTCCGTATTGCTAACCTTCTGATGGATTTCTTTGTGCACCTAAATTTGGCTCTTTTGATTGAATGATGCCCATAGTTCAACGGAGAGAATGTATTGCGCTTATATCGGACTTTAAAATTACTTTAAAGCGCGTCTTAGCTTGGTAGATCTACTTTTTCTTTTGTTGTCCAGTTAAAGCACAATGGCGAAAAAAAAGTCCAAGCAAGCTGGCAATAATCGCGGTTTTGCAACAGTATCAGCTCCTTCAAAAAAAGCTGAAGTACCGATCGAAATTGAAGAACCAACAGAGAAGCCAAAAGAACCAAGCAGTAACAAAAGTTTGGAGACCTGTCAAGTAGATCATGAAGACAAAATCTTGCAACTTGTTGAAAAGTACCGTACTTTGCATGAACTTAAAGCTGATTCAATATTGGACAAGATGCAGAAAGAAGATATACAATCGAGTTCTCGTAAGATTAGATCATTCCGACTTGGTTCAAACTTGGAAAAGGAGCTCGTATCAATTATTAAGCAGAAGGAGGGAGACCTTTTTGGTATGCAGAATAATGAGAAAGTATCAAAAGAAGCTAAGCATACTTTATATTTTTGCTTAGAACCTTGTCCTGTCCAACTTAAATCGGAACAAGCAAAGGAAAAATTGATTGGACATTTGGATATACTGTATAGAGCTTTAGTTAAGCTCGGGTTTAGTGATATTGACATATACGATTCTTTTAAATCAACCTTGTCTACATCAATTGATGATCATCTTGATTGGGTAGCTTACGGGAATACATCTATCTATTGTGATTTACCATTAATCACAAGTTTTTAGCTGTGTATCAATACTCCTTACGAAAGAATGCCTGTTGGATTCTTTGATAAATACTATAATGAAGAAGGTAACAAAAAAATATTATTTATTATATATTATTACTCATATAGTCGTAATTAGAAGGGGATTCACCAGTTACTTTGATTCACAATACGAGTAAAGAGAAAACAAGTAATCATGAGTCAGGCCAAGATCAAATAGAACAGGAAGTTGACTTGGTTGTAAAGAAGCATGAAAAAGAGCAAGATAAACTTGATGAAATTAAATCACGTATCTTACAGGCTGCTAATGAATATATGGTATGGTAAATCAATACATTGGACAACGAAGCTTATTGTCTTTTTGACAACTGCAGTATGAACAAGAGCAAAATGCCAATGAGAAACACGCAATGATGAAGATTCGCTTACAAGAGCTAGAAAGCCTTTTGCCATCGAAAAAGAAGAATAAAAAGAAGCAAAAGGACGATACAAGTATAGAGAAAAACGTTGATGTAAATGCAGTCATGAAAGAAGTTAAACATATAAAAGATAATCTGAGCAGTCTTGAAATCGATTGGGAATTTGACCAAAGAAAAGCAAACGAGCTATATTTAAAAAAGCTCGAGCTAGCAGCTGAAGAAAAGAGAAAAATACAAGAGGAAGAGATCAAAGCAAGAAAAGAAAGTGAGCAAGAAAAACCAAAGGATAGCTGTGATGTACTGAATGATGATGTGGAAGATGATGAAGGTGATCTGTTTGGCGGATTAATGGGAGAAGAAGAGGAACCAACTTATGGCACTGAGGACGCAAATCAGCTCAACGCTGCAACTAGTTGGACGATTATCGAATTATCTGTGCCTCAATCGTGGAAAGGACAGTATCCTAAAGATGTTCTGGCAGATTATTGCAAAAGGAACAGTCTGGGAAAACAAACATACAAGACAACAGAGCATGGCTTTAATACATGGCGTTCAGCGCTAAAGATAGCTCAAGATAAACATCCAAATGAGCCCTTATGCTTTGAGTTGCCAGAAGGTCTGGCGACCAATAGTCGAAAGAACGCAGAGAATCTCATAGCGGTAGATAAATTATGCATGAATACGTTTAATTCTCTTATTGAAAAAATTTCATGAATAGGCATATACTCTATTCAGCCTAGATCCAAATACTTCAATTTACAAGGCTATTCCTACAGTCTATAAAGACCTGTGGCTAGGATGGCTAAATGAAAAGGTAAGCATGATTGGTAAAATATGAACTACTGCCTAATGCTTTAACAAACTTAGCAACTGAAAGAGGAAGGGCCAAGGATTAAAATGGATAAGCAAAGGTTTACATTTATAACCGACCTTGTAAACAATTCTTTTATCAAGTTAAATCATGACGATATTGTAAGTCTGACTTATTATGTAATGTGCCTTGATTTTAACCTGTATCCTAGTCCGCTGACGACCGGTTGAGTCCTGAGCCCAAGCCTAAAAAAGAATCGAACGTAACAGCCAAACAAAGCTCCAAACTAAAGTCCAAGTTCAAACAAGCTAAAGAGAGTTTTAAAAATCGCATTGAAACCAAACAGTACATAGATATGAAGGTATATTATCTGAGTTGACACAAACAACGACTTAAGCTCTTTCTATAGGGAAAAAGAAACGACCTACCAGTTGCTGCGTATAGAGAAGAAATACTCGAGTTGGTGAAAAAGAATCAAGTGTTGATTATTTCTGGAGAAACTGGATGGTAAGAAAGTATAAGTGAGATGATATATAACTAACACGACTCTACACAGTGGTAAAAGCACGCAAGTACCGCAGTTCCTAGCTGAAGATCTGCTATTAGGATCTTCAGAGAGCGGGTTGGTCATTTGTACACAGGTATATGGGAGACGTGCAGTGTATTGTTACTTGAATTAAAACAGAAAAATAGCCACGTCGTATCTCTGCAATGTCAATTGCAAACAGAGTATCCATGGAGATGGGTGATGCACCAAACACCACTGGATCTAAAAACGCCATGGTTGGTTATCAAATCAGACTTGAAAACAGAGTGTCAGAAGAGAACGTGTTGTTATACTGCACAACGGTAAATACGATTGAATAAACCATAGCTTTAGTATTTAAATACATTCTAGGGTATCCTATTGCAGCGGTTGCAAAACGACCTGTACTTGGATGGCGTATCTCATGTGATAGTGGACGAAGTACACGAACGTACAATTGATAGTGATTTCCTACTAGTCATGCTGAAAAAACTTATCAATTTACGTCATGATCTCAAGTAATAGTAGTAGTCTTATTGTAACAAACATACTTACTCCAAGCATAGAGTAATATTGATGAGTGCCACAGTGGAGTCTAAACGCTTCTCAGAATATTTCTATAATTGTCCTGTCATTACTGTACCAGGAAGAACTTACCCTGTGCAAGTACAGTTCCTTGAAGATGTCGTGCAAGCTACAGGTTTGGTGAATTATAATGATGCATAATAGGCTGATTAATGATTTTTATGGAAATAGGCTATGTATTGGAAGAAGATTCTCCGTTTGCTTTAAGAAAAACAAGAACTAGAGCAGGTAAAAACTATCAGTAAAAGTAAAGGCAACGATAGGCTGACAAGGTATAAAAACAGAGCATGGCAGCATTAATGTCTCTGGAAGAAACGGTTCCAAAAAACGTATTTATTATGATATGTTTGAAGGTGATACGGATGAGGAAGAAGCGTATGACTCTGAGACAAAATTAAATATTCAAGAGGAGGTTGACGATATCAATGCAGAACAAGATGAGTATAGCAAACAAACACGAAAGATGATTAAAAGAATGGATGATAATAAGATCAATTATGATCTCATACTCGAGCTATTAGAATACATTTGTATAAGCAAGCCTAAAGAAACTGGAAAAGACAACACACAAAAGGAAGGCACATGCATTCCTTCTTCGGGTGCAATACTCATCTTCTTACCTGGCATAAACGAGATCCGAGCACTATATGACCTGATATCCAGCCATCATATCCTGAGCGACCCTGAAAAGTTTCTTTTAATCCCTCTTCACTCGACATTATCATCAGAACATCAAGAGAAAGCGTTTGATGTGCCACCAAAGGGCATCAGAAAGATTGTACTTTCCACCAACATTGCAGAAACTGGTGTGACAATTAGTGATGTAACTGTTGTTATAGATTCTGGTATGGCCAGAGTTGTTAGGTACACAATTTACCAATAAGAACAACATAAATACTAAACGTTACGTTTTTCAGCTATGACGATAAAAGAAGAGTAACCAGACTGCTTCAAAAATATGTCGCCAAAGCCAATATACGACAAAGACGTGGTCGTGCTGGTAGAGTGCAAGAAGGTATCTGCTTCCATATGTTTACCAAGCAGCGTTTTGAAGAGGTAAGTTTATACATTGCCTTTTTGGTATGTGAACTAACTTAAAGCAGATGCCTGATTTTGAAACACCTGAAATCCTTAGATTACCACTTGAAGAGCTATGCTTACGCATTAAAGTGTATAATCTTGGATCCATTCGCTCTGTTCTTAGTACTGCTTTAGATAAGCCTTCGAGCCAAATGATAGACAATGCCATTTCAAGCCTAAAAGAGGTAAAAATATACAATGAAAATATATATTACATAAATTAACTCTTTTGTTTAGGCACAAGCTTTAACGACAGAAGAAGATGAAAGATTAACTCCACTTGGCTCGCACTTGGTCAACTTGCCTGTGGATATACATATTGGAAAGATGATCCTTTTTGGGGCCATTTTCCGCTGTTTGGATCCTATACTTACGATTGCTGCCATGCTAAGTTATAAAAGCCCCTTCGCTCGACCATTTGGAAAAGAGCGTGAAGCTGATATTGCAAGGTCAAGGTTCGAAGTTGGTATGTATAGTGACGAAGTTTTATGAGCATATCTATTAATAGATAAATAGGAAAATCTGACTTCTTGACAATGTATCAAGCATATAAAGTTTGGCGTGATTATTTGATGCAAGTGAGAGGAAAACCAGGTTGGCTCCGTCATATGCATGAATTCTGTAAAGAGAATTTCTTGAGTCAACAGAATCTAGAGATGATTGAAGAAATGAAACGACAGTTTTTAGCATTACTGATCAACATCGGTTTTGTAAAGACGAGTAAACTGGACATATCTATTAATAGATATGATATCAAGCGATCTATTCATCTGTGTGATGTTCCTTCGGCCTATAACAAGTATAGCCACACTCTTCCTGTCGTCAATGCTGCTCTAACGGCTGGTCTTTATCCTAAAATTGCAGAATATGTTCGTGAGTCTGGCATCATGGCCAATCGTATGATGGAGGTCAAGCTACACCCCTCATCCATGCTCTTCCTCCGTGAAAGAGAGGTACATTCTGAAATTTTGGCTTACAATACCCTTATTATGGGTAATAAGGAATATCAAAGGAATATAGCAGTCATTCGAGATGCTACATCAGTTGATCCCGTTGCTCTTGTTTTATTAACAAGAGAAATCAAAATTCAGGCAAGCTTCACTTTAGCCCAAAGATTGATCTTATTTAACATATTTTTTTTTTATTTATTTAGCATAAGCAAAGAAAGATCACTCTTGACAATTGGCTCTCATTCGATTGTTTTGCAAGAACAGCGGTTATTTTAAAGTTTTTTAGAAATGAATTGGTATGAATGTCTTTCAGAGAAACACCCATTGTATCTAACAACTCTCTTTGTATAGAACCGCTGGCTTGCTGAAAAGATGAAAGATCCAGCTGTGGATTTGACAGCTTACAATCAAGACATTCTAGATGCTATAGCGTACATGTTACAATCATGCAACTATTAAGGGCTTGTGTTTTATGCTGGGAAAGAAGGTCCTCCTTTTTTATTTACTGAATAAAAATCGTAAGCCAATATCATCTGTAGTACCATTTTAAAATGTCAATAAGTTATTTTCTTCTGTCATATTTGTTTGTGACCGAAGTGATGTCAACTCATTTTCGAGTAACTCCTTGATTATCAAGATTGCATTCTGATCATTACTATACTTGTTCTCTAATCTATAGTTTGATTGTTTGTTAGTACTTTATAAATAATAAAACAAGGGGAGCTTACCTTTTCAAAATAGCCTCTAGTTCCCTTTGAGAGTTACATAGAATGGATAGTATGTTATTATCTACTCAACATAAGTAACTCCAAATATCACAACGTATATTCTCCTTTTACCTATTTCACATTCTAAACGCTCATACTCTTTCTTTTGCTGACTCAATTCTTTCTTCTTTTCTTGCAAGCGTGCATTTAATTCATCTTTATCCTTTTGTTCTCTTTCTTTATTTGTCTTTTTCAGCTGTTCATCTACTGCTTTTATCTGATCACAAATCTCTGCAGCCTTTTCATATTGGTCCGCCTCAATGGCCAGACGCTTTTGAATGTTGAGATTGTTCAACCAAGCAGTGAGCTTGGATATGTTGTAATCCAGCTGCAGTTGCTGTTGCTCTTGCACATACTCGGTTGATTGTAATTCATTGATAATCTTTGTGTTTGCGAGTAAATTTTCCTTTGCCCTAAGCAAAAAGGTCAGCTTACAGGGGTAACGCTATAGCTTGATTCACTACGATCAAGAAAGCATTGAGGTATAGCAAAAAGAAGGGAGAATATATGATGATGGTGTTAAATAACTTTTGCCCATATAAAGAAATCATATGTATACACCGTATTCATATATCCAGATATCTTCCTTATAATTGTAGTGAAGCTTTTCTTAACTTACTGTCTTAATCTTGCTCTTTCATTATCTATAGCTTGATCCCGTGTCTCGATGGATGACTGTAGTATATTTAACAGCTCCTCTGCCTCTTGCTTGCCATTTAGCTGTCTGCTCGCTACAAACGCTATACTTCTTTCCAACTCTTCAAGCTCCTTTAAACCCTTGGACTTTTCCTGGGAGTGACGTTCTATTTCTATATTTATCTTTGCATCCTCCTTATCTAATTGAGCCTAGAACCCATATGAATACTACAAACCCGAATTGTAATCATGGACCTACACTCTTTTCATTCAGCTCCTTTTGCCTCTTTTTTATTAACTCTAGCTCCTGTTCATGTTCACGTCGCTCCTTTTTCACTGGTTTTAATTTCATCTCCATTGCTTCATCTAACTTTGCTATAGTATCTTTGTATTTCTTTTTCTCTTGCTCCAATGCTTTTACTTTTTCCAGGAGCTCATTGATTTCATCCTAAAAAGAAAGCAAGCTTGAGTAAATAATAAACAAGCTATTTCTTTCTTTTTACCTGAATTTGGTCTGTCATTTTTGCCAGTTCATTCTTTTTCTCTGTTTCTTCCAAAACTGTTTCATACATTCGCTCCTGTAGTTCTACATCACTTCTGTCCCAAAGTTCAAGATCCAAGGCAATTTCACTATGGACATATTTAGACTTTTTTTTTTTGCTTCCTTCAATGTAGCTACCTCTTTTGAGATTCGATGTCTTGCCTTTTCTCTTTAATACCTTCCAAAAGCTGAGCATCCTGTTGATCCATTTTCTTTGTATATTGATCAAACATCTGCTGCCTTTTCTTTTTCTCCTCTTCAAGGATGTTCACCATATCATTTGATTTTTCAGGTTCTTCGGCCAATATTTCGGCCATTTCCTTCCAAGCTGAGCGTATTTGAGACTGTATGTCATGCAAGTTTGTATTGGTCAAGGTATCCAATTGTTTCTTATACTGCTCTGCCTGCTTTTGAAAGTCTCTAACAGACAAGAACTGCTCTTTCTCTATAGCATCTTGCTTTAGCTGTAGCGTGTGGTCTAACTTTTGCTTTATCTTTTGAACCTGCTCATGTATCTGTTGTTGTTTTGAATACAAGCCTTGAAGATGCGTTCTTTTAAACTTTTTCTTTTCTTGAAACGTTTCCCAGCGATACTTTTTCTGTCTTGTAGAGTTTTCAGTCGTGTCTAAAAGAGCTATTTAGAAAAAATAGATAGTTTTTGAAATTCTCTTGTTGTTACTGATAGTGTCTTTGCTTGCAGTAGCTAAAGCACGGGGCTTGACTAAATTAGGTTCAGCAATACATCAATATAAAAAATCAGAGTTAGAAAACGGAAACAAACTACTGTGTTGCGCTTAGTGAATATGCATACAATCCTGAAAAGAGGGTCCTCCAAAATGCTCAAATACAATCTCCTCTGGTTGAATGCTCTGCCTAAAATTATGTCTCTTTGACGGGACATTCTGTGTAAAAAATGACTTTCCTGAAGAAGCATTCTGTCCGAATGAAAGTCTTCTTGACGGGACATTTTGCCCAAATAAAAGTCTATTTGACTGAGCATTTTCAAATGTTGAGTGTTCTAGTTGAGCATTCTGTCCAAAGGAGAATGATGCATGAGGTGCCTGGTTAACAAAACTTGAGAAATTCGAGGATTCGGGTACCGGTTCGACAACTTCCGAGCTGAACAAGTCTTTTCTCTTTACTTGTTGTTTATTGCTTTTGTTTATAAAACCGAATGCAGAGGCCATTTAACTGGGATAGAAGCAAGAAACTAAAAAGGGTAAAATACACTTGAATTTCAGACGTTTTTATTTAAATTCAGATGCTCCTTTTCTTTTTGAACGAAATAAAGTTCAAAACGTATTTGAACAATAAGCTTCACTATGTCTTTTTTTTTAGCTTTAAACGTCTTAGAATATTATTTATGGCCATACGAGGTGTAAGTTTATCTCCTAGTTATCATCTTTTGTGTCTTCTTTCTTATCCAAACTCCGAGTAGTCGATGCCTACCTACTCGCGTTCTGTCAAAGCTGTGTCAAAATAAAGCTCCGTATGCTGTGTAAAGCATCTTGATACGTACATTACACACATTTTCTACTAAGAAAGGCTGTGGTCTTTTTGCTGGGAGCAGTATACAAAAGTTAAGAATATAAAAAGCACTAGTTTGCAGATGAAGTGCTTTTTATAAGAAGTAAATGTTAAATGTATTTTGCATGAATTAAAGCGTGGCTTGAATGTTTTCTTTTTGTGTCTTGGGTAACGCTAATGTCAATCCGCCAGCCCTGAACTTATTTTGAAATGCACCAACATCTCCATATAACTGGATCCATGAGTGATCCACAATACGCCCTATCTTTATGAATTATAATACAACGAATCCCTTTAGTCGGAAATTCACCCCCTGAAATGGTTTGCCCAGTTTCTCTAACCTTACATGTCACCTAATTTTTTTTTTGTCTCTTGTGTCTAATAGGGAGGAAAAGGGGGCTTTTATACAAAATGACTGCTTGAACAAAAAGTAGGAGTTGCCGGAGTTTGCATACGAGAACTTCCTGCAAGTGGGCGGTTAGTCAAGGGCTTCAGGGCGATCAAACGCAGCAACACCAAAAAAAAATGGTATTAATCCTGCCTACTGTTCTTTTTTCCTTTTTTTCTTGTATTTATTTTATAAAAATATGCTCTACTTAATATCTTTATTACTTATTCTAATCAGCTTGTCTAATTGTATCAACGGTAATTTTTATATATATATTTTTGTGTATATAATTCACTTATAAAGAACTTTAGTATGTGATCCGAGATTACCATTATGCTCACCAACCTGGGACGAGATATGGTATCATTATAACAACTACACATTCTCTCGAAACGAAAAGTAAATGACCCTCATTCATCTACATGTAATAACGCTAACTTGTTTATATTATAAAAAGCAATATTTTCTTTATAAAAAATGTATGTATGTATCTGTTTTTTTGGTATGGATTAGGATTGATAATGTGCGTACTTACACTATATAGAATATCACTTCCTTTGATTTGCATTTGCTAACATTTGACACAACACCAAATGTCAAAAGGACGATCAAATCGTGGTTCAACCTGACCCAGCCGAATTTAGCTGTACGTGTTACAGATAACTGGTTCCCAAGCTCATTACCTTCTGGCTCTACTAATAAAACTTGGGCATTCTTTGCCTTCTTACTCGATCACGACTCCTCTATCGACCCAACACATATTAGTGTAGATCAAGCCTTTGTTGAATTTAAAGTCGTTCGTAAGTTACATGAGCATATATGTTACTGATGTATTTATGATTTGAACCTAGAATCGGCTCCACAGCCAGTTACCATTAACTATAAACCACTAGAACCATGGATAGTGGCACTGATTGTAGTCTCCTGTGTTTTAGTTGCCTTAGCAATGGGCATTGCTGTTTGGTGGTGGAAAAAAAGGATGGAAAAGAAGGCTGTGCTGAGTAGACCAGACGCGATGTTGATTGCCGATAAATTCCGCGAAGTGATGTCCACTTCCGATTTAGCGCAAAGAAACGAAAAAAATGCGCAAGATTTATTACAGAGACAACTGCAGGCTGAGGAGGGCACTTCGATCATTGAGATTAGGCAAAGTAGCTCTACTATAAATAAATAAAGTAACCACTCTTACTCTCTGTCTCCTTTGAACCAAGCACAGGTATTTGCCCAACCCACTATCAAACAACCAATATTAAGCCTAATGAATTAAACTCTAACTTTATATGCGTATGTATGTATTTAATAATAAACATTTTTTTCTTCTGTATACATTCTCTGCGTCTTTTGCTTATAAGCGAAAAAGATACAGCTTCAGATAATTGTGTTATTTAAAAAAAGGAAAAAAAAGGGGGAGAGGGGAGAAGGTGGAATATGGTTGAAAAATATCACTATGAGTTATGCGTTATCCTGCTTGGCAGCGTCGATCACAGGAGTATCCTCGGCTGATTGATCTTTCAAATTGTTATTATTGACTTGAGCTAGTGGGGTAGGTGGGTCTACGAGGTCAAAGCGAATAATTTGGTCCTTGTTTTCGAGAGCCTGTTCAGGGGCCCGCTCTGTCATTTGTACTGGAGTATTCTGTGGTTGCATTATATTCGATAACGATGGCGCACTGCTATGCTGAGATAGTGATTCTTTTGAGTCTTGTTCTATTGGCTCTTGCTTGCTTTCCACAGGACCACTCCAACTTTGCTCCACTAGATTCTCCTGTTGAGGCACTGGTTCAACACTTTGTTCTGCAGAAGCCTCTGTGCTCTGCTCAGTTATTGTTTCATCAGCCTCACCTTCCTCAACCTTACGCTTCTTTGTTGCTCGACGACCTGCGCCTGTACCACGTTGTCTTTGTTGTGCAGGCTTTTGTCGTTGGCGTTTCTCACCGTCACCTCTAGGTCTTCGTCTACGCGTATTACTTGCACGCTCTCTCAAGAAAGCAGCAATAATACGACGAAGACGCATGCCAATATCAGCTTTGGATGGCCAGACGTACACTTTGTTCTTATCGCTACCAGCCTCTTCTTCCTCGGCAACTGCTTCTTCTTCTTCGTTCTTTTCTTCATACTCGCTGTCTTCGTCCTTTGGAGCATATGTAATAGGCTTCTTTTCTTCAGTCTCTAGCAAACTATCTTCATTCTTGGGCTCATCATCATCCGCAACATCGGTCTGACTGTCATCATACTTTTTACCATAAAAGCAAAACTCTGGATCATTTCGAATAGCCAAGTACTGTTGATAGCCATGTTTCAAGATACCCAGCAGCAAATCACGGTCTTCATCAGCCTTCCACCATGGAGCAGGTGGCGAACCAGTAACACGAGGAATCTCCAGTTTCTTTGCTTCCTGCCAATCATTGGGTACAATTTTATCACGAATGATGTGAAGCATTTGAATACGGAGCAAGAAGTTACGACCTGTCAAAAAAAAAAGGTCAGACACTTTGTTACACACACATTGTTGTTGTTGTGGTAGTTACCTTTGCGTTCAATATGATCAGCGTACTCTGGGGGAGACAAGAAAGATCTGTACTCCGCAATCTGTTTCTTGGTTGCACCTACGTAAGGAATGGTGTCATGCTTCCGTGCTTCCTCACGTGAATCCTTGACTAAGATTTCCTCGATATCTTCAACCAACTTGCGGTCTTCTTCTGTACTCTTGCCAATGGCAGGTAAGGCCTTACGCATGAGAGCACGTGTGACCGCCTTAAGATCCTTCTCGGATCGACGAGGGAAGTGGGTAACCATCAAGTCCCAGCTTCCGTAACCGTAGATCATCAATTTTCTTTCATACTTTGTCTTTTCCGAAAGCGACCAGTGACGAGGTTGTTCACCACGACCACGACGAGAGGGTCTTGAGTCAGATTCGTCCTCATAAGCAGCATCAGAGTCGTTTTCATCCGAGTAGGATCCATCTGCAGGTCGTGAACCAAATCGTTGGACTTGACGTCTTCGTCTAGGCTGCTTGATGATCAATGCATTTTCGTCAGGCTTATCGGATGTATCAATCTGCGCCTTGGCAGCCCACTTTTCCCAGAAATCGGGATCGTCAAGGTCGACACCCAGGTTATCGCCATCAGCAGCAGAAAAGGTAGCCTTGGAGAACACGGAGCCCTTCTCGTTACCTTCGTGACGAATGATCTTGGTACGTCTCTCTAAAATTTGATCAATATCTTCTTCACAAAACTTGGCGCTTTCTTCGTCGTTCAACATTGCACCATAGGCACCCTTCTTCAAAAGATCTTCGATTTCTTGACGGTTCAGTTCAGCATTCTTATTGGCATTACCATCGTCGTGCGTGCCCATGACGGCCTTGTCAAGACCAAGCTTCATGCCAGCACGATCAAACATGTCTTTTTCATAAGTGTTGGCACAGATCAAACGGTAAATTTGAACAGGCTTGGTTTGACCAATACGATGACATCTAGCTTGAGCCTGTAAATCGTTTTGAGGATTCCAGTCACTATCAAAGATGATACAAGTATCTGCAGCCTATGTTATATTGATCAGCCTTGTTTTTTAAATGTTAAAGAGGAAACTTACTGTCAAGTTAATACCAACACCACCGGCTCTTGTGCAGAGCAAGAAAACAAACGATTCTTCAATCGGAAGAGTTGAGAAACGATCAATGGCTGCCTGTCGCTGATCACCAGGAATACTGCCATCAATTCGTTCATAGGCGTAATTACGTCCACGAAGGTAATCTGCCAAGATGTCTAAGCAGCTTGTGAACTGAGAAAAGATCAATACTTTATGGTTTCCGAGAATCAACTTTCTCAAGAGCTTGTCGATCAAGACAAGTTTACCAGAGGACTGGACCAAACAGTTGAATTGTTCTTGTTGGCCCTTTGCATTGCATTCAGAAGTAATCACTTCTTCAGCACCCTCCAATAAATAAGGGTGAATACAACATTTACGAAGCTGCATCATGATATTGCGAAGATGAGGCATATCCTTGTTATCTATTCATAACTTGTTTAGCAATTGCAAAAATAAAAAAGAAAGCTGTTTACTTACTCTTGGTTCCTCTTTTCAAGAAACTAAAGTTCTTTTCCAAGATGGCACGGTACCACTTCTTTTGAGGATTAGTCAATTCAACTTCAATGACAGTTTCTTCTTTAACAGGAATAGTCTTTTCAACATCTTCCTTGAAACGACGCAACATGATGGGCTTTAGCAACGCTTGAAGCTTTTCAACTTGATGAGCAGAGTTCAAATTGCCATATTCACTAAAGAAATACTTTTCATCGTCATAGATATGAGGTGCCATAAAGTGAAGCAAGCTGTATAGTTCACCCAGGTTGTTCTGTAATGGTGTACCGGTCAACAAAAGCTTGTGATCAATGTAGAATGTACGTAGAACTTCGAGCACCTTTGAATTTTTGTTTTTCAAGCGATGTGCTTCATCAAACACACCACATCGCCAAGGAATATCCTTCAAGGTCATGGCACTGGCAGAAGCCATTTCATATGTCGTAATAAGAACATCAAACTTGTATTTTCCTGGGATATTGTTGGCCTCTGCGTCTTGGTAATAGAATTCGGTCTCGATGATCAAGTTACGAGCGAAATTGCTTCCACGGAAATCAACCACGTTCAAGTCTGTCCAAGCGTTAAATGCTCTTACCCAATGAGGGATTGTAGATAAAGGAGCGATAATCAAGAAGGGTCCACGAATGCCTACGTGATGATAGATATCGTTCAAGAGAGCAACAGATTGTACGGTTTTGCCGAGACCCATTTCATCTGCTAAAATACAAGATCTAAACGTATAGTAACAGTATCTAAGCCAATTGAGACCTTCTAACTGATATGGACGCAATGTGTTGTTGTATCTGTAAATAGGTGAAGAATCGTATTGGATGAATCGAGTGACATCGGGACGTTGTGGTGTTGGTGCGAGCTTATGAGGAGGAATTTGCTTTCTTGATAAAAAGTCATCAAGCTTGGCACTATCTACTCTACGAACATCATCTTCTGTTTCCCATGTAGCTTGATCATAGAATAAGCCGCTCCATTTGACGAGGTAATATATTTTACTATCGCCTGTTTCGGGATCTTCTAGTTCTCCGTCATCAACAACACGATCGATCTAAAAGAAAAGGTTAATTCAGCACGAATCAATAAAGGGTTTAAATACCTTGAGATGCTCTTGAAAATCTTCGCCTCTGTTACCATCATCGTGATATTTTTGCAAGAATTTCTTAACGCGGTGTTTTCCTAAATGCTCATTTTCGATATTCTCAAGAGGAACCCATTCGACATGAAGAAAACTGGTATTCTTGTATTTAATGAGCAATTCTTCTTGACCAGTCATTTCATTTCTTCTATAATCCAATATTTTTTCAAATGCCTTCGAACCTAGCGGGATCGTTATAGGCTCTTCAGGGTCAACAGATGCACTAGCTGATTGACTCTTTCTGCCCTGACCTTGCTCGCTATAATCACTTTCAACAGCAGCATCTTCTTCGTCAGAGGTAATATCCTAATAACAATAGACTGAGTATTATAATATAACGAAATAATGTTTTTTTTTTGCTTACAAATTCCTCTTCTTCTTCTTCCTCCGAAGATTCTTCATAAAATCGTTTTTTCTTTGTTGCATTCCTAGTGGGACGTTTAGGTTTTACATTCACTTCTGTAAAAGATCGTTGCTGATGAAGGTAATTCTGATGCTGTTGATATTGTTGTTGTTGCTGTTGTTGCAGCAGATATCGCTGTCTTTGATACTGTTGCTGACGCTGAATTTGCTGTTGATAAGCTTGCATGGCTTGAGGTGAGAGTTGCTGCTGTGGAAAAGCAGCTTGCTGTTGCATATAAGCTTGTTGTTGTGGAAAAGTACCCATGTACTGTTGTGTGTTTGGTCTCATTTGCATTTGGTTCAACACGGGCTGTTGGTACATGATTGAAGGATTGGAGTTGGCTAATAAGCCGTTCATTATCATTGGAGATGTTTGCTGTTGTGGTTGTTGTGGAGCTTGTTGTTGCTTTTGTTGTGCCAGCGGAGACCTTGCTTGTTGAGGATAGTTATTATATCCCATGGGTGCAAACGCCATCTGCTGAGGGAAATTGGCTCTTAGATAATTCAACTGTTGTTGCTGTTGTTGCTGTTGTTGAATTGGCTGTTGTATTGGTTGCTGTTGCAATGGATTATTAGTCATAGCTTGTTGCTGTTGGAGTTGTTGTTGATAAAAATAAGTTGGGTCCATTGCAACAAAGTTTGGGTTATACATTAGATTTTGTGGCTGTTGCTGCTGTGGTTGACTTGAATTATTGTTATAAGCAGACGAAGCCATAAAATTTTGAAAGACATCTCTTTGAGCCATCTTTCACTTCGGAATAAATAAAGCAAAAAAAGACGCACGCCCCCTTTTTCTATAAAATTTTTTTTTCTTTATAGTGTTTCTAAAAAGTCTCGTAAGGCAAGGAAAATTATTATCGGTATTGGTTGCGATGGTCTGAGATTTAATATTATCAGTGACTGTACCTTTCTCAAACCCTTTTCTTCCTTTTATTGTTTCTGGTAAAACAATTGGTCAGTGTTTAAGAACATAAATGTACTCTTGGGTCTATATTGATTAATAAATATATAATCATTTATATATGCTATTATAATAATAACAATAATAGTTCTATATTATAAAGATGTCACATAAACTAGTTGCTTAGATGATTATGACTCTATGTAAAAGAGAGAATATATAATATGTAGTAATTCTTGATCAACTCCCCTCTCCTTTTGCTCAAATCTCTCTCTTTGTTTACTTTATTGACTCTGAGAAAGAGAGAAATTAAAACGGATTTTAGGGAGGTATGTCATTACCTCATTGGCTTATATCCTATGATACAAGTGTCAATCATACGTGACTTGACCAATGATGATATTATATACAAGATGGGCTTCTATAGGGACTACACGGAACTCGGGTTAATACATTTCCATAAATTAAACTCTTTATATAAATTCTCCATTTTAAAATTTTTTATTCCTTCTTTTTCCCTTCTTTCTTTTTTGTATTAAGAAATGGCAACAGTAAAGAGATCTCACCCATTCTACTTTGGTGGTGCAGCCTCTTGTGTTGCTGCCATTGTCGTTCACCCTTTCGATTTAACCAAAGTTCGGCTTCAAAATACAAAAGGAAGTGCAAAACTAGGCATGTTTTCGACTATGGTCAAAATTGCTCAAAACGAAGGTTTCATTAAACTCTATGCTGGCCTTTCTGCTTCTATTCTTCGACAAGCCACTTATTCAACGGTTCGTTTCGGTGTTTATGAAAAATTAAAAGATCTTGTCTCTAAAAATAAGAGTAAGTTTAAAAAAAAAAGATCTGAGATAGATTATGATTCAATAAGACTCATAACCTGTATAGAGGCCAATTTGGGCGAATTGCTTGTTTGTTCAAGTATTGCTGGTGCTTTGGGTGGAGCATGTGGAAATCCTGGTGATGTGATCAATGTTCGAATGCAAAATGATGGTCAGTTACCACCTCATCAACGTCGCAACTATAAGCATGCTATTGATGGAATCATCCGTATATCGAGAGAAGAAGGTTTCTCTGCCCTTTTCCGTGGCCTTGGTCCCAATATCAACAGAGCTATCTTGATGACCTCTTCACAATGTGTTTCTTATGACATGTTTAAATACCTCCTCTTGAACCACACACCAATGCAAGATGGTCTCACCCTTCATTTTTCATCAAGTGTCCTTGCCGTAAGTATATATTTATAAAAAAAAAGAGAGGTTAAACGGGACTAATCATAAAAATAAGGGTCTTGTGGCTACCACCGTATGCTCTCCTGTTGATGTCATAAAAACACGTATCATGTCAGCCAGCACAAGTGATCATAGAATGACATCTACTGCGATCATGAAGCAAATGTTTAAAGCAGAAGGCATCAGTTCATTCTTTAAAGGTTGGACACCAGCATTCATCCGTTTAGGCCCTCAGACGATCATAACCTTCGTTGTGCTCGAGCAGTTCAAGAGTTGGCATAACATTTTTATGGATAGAAAACAACAAAAGCTGAATGTAGCTAAACTCTAGATTGCATTTCTTATTTATTTACAAGCATTCTCATGTGTACACCATAGACTATTTATTTTTACCTATAGACAATACAACGTATTTACCCGTATTTACCCGTAGTTTTCTTTTTGTCTCCGCTTTTGTTCTTGCTGTTACCCATATTGACCATTCGTTTGTAATACGATTAAATAAATATTTTATTAAAGAAAATGAAAGGCCATTATGAACGTTCGTTTGTAATAGGCATTTTCAGAAATTATGTGCACATTACAAGTTCAATAACAATTACACTTTAGTTGGTTATCAATCCTTTATTATTAAAAAAGCAATGAATCCTGTCTTTTTGAGAGAACAGAAGATAAATGTGGTCAACACTCATGAATAACATGTAACTGAAAAAGCTGTTAGAGATTTCATATACATAATCTGATCTTGATTTCTTTTTCTTTTCTTTGGACCAAAAAGTAAGACCAGTTATTCCCCAGCTAGCCCTAAAGTATATTATATTCTTTACTCTTGTAAGAAACTAATATGTAGTATTATAGATTGCCCATCGAAACTAACCCGGTGTTGACTGGGAATAGTTTGGTTCTTACCAAAATTTGGTCCCACACACTCCTTCAACCCTTTCCGCTCCTTTGGCTCTTCTCTTTCTTGCTCCTCTCTTGCCTCTTGCTAGTTCTCACTTTCTTTCTTTTCTTTGCTTGTCCGAGCTGGTTATCGCCAGCCTAAACTATGGTGCACTTCGGGTAAGGTATTAGCGATTTCTTTTGCTAGTTTACTCACTTTCCTTGCTTCTCTTTTTCTCTTTTAAATTCTCTTCTTTATAATGCAAGTATTTCATGTCAATTTAATAACAGATTTACTAGTCATTTGTTTTTATATCTCATTCTTTTGCTTCTTGTGGGCTCTCTTTTATTATCTTTTTTTTTTTTCTTATCAGTGTGCGAGTAATTTCTGAATAAAGTATAACCTATGAATTAAACAGTTCTTTACACTCTATGATCGTATTTTGGTATATCTACTTTAGTGATTGAATCAGTTCACTTGTGTATATGTTAGGATAACACATTACATTGCATGAGCTATTAGCATCAAATGGTAATTGCATGCGTGACGTACATTAAGTTTTAATATAAAAAGATTTATTATGCATTTTTTTAAAAAAAAATGGCTATAGTGTCAAGTATAAGCAAGCAACATTTGATAAAAACAATGGCGGTTTTACAATCAACATCATTATTGTTGTATGTATGCTTCATTACCAAGAACACACCATAAATGACTAAAAAGAGTATAGCATAATCGCTCTTTGTAAGAGTAAGGGGTTCCCAAACTTGCATCTTACTCGTTTACAGCAAGAATATCTTTGAACACATGACCAAAGTGATGTATTCTAACATGAAGCAAAGTATACAATCTGTTGTTTATCATTTGTGCATAACACTTTGTTTAACAATAATTGGATACAGAAATATGCTTTGTGATTTATTTAACAATTGAGCCTCTTGCTGATATTTAGGTTGTTAATAGCAAGGCTTTACAATAACGTCTAGCAATAAAAGCCAAAATCAACATCACCTTTGTTAATTTAACCATGCTTTTGCTCTTTTGAAGAAGAATCAGCATTTTTGTCAAGCAGCTCAGTCAAGTCTTTCTCTTTTTTTTTTTCTTGACGCCTGAACTTCCGCACAGAAATTCTTTAATTATAAATCATTGACTCTATATATATATATATTTATCACATAACTTTATATTATAAGAGGTTCACTTCACAGGAGATATTTTAAATTGAAAACTTCTATCAACATGAACTTACCAAAAAAAAAAAA